AATTAAAAAAACTCAAAAATTTAACATTTTCTTGTGTGTGTTAATACACACATCTTGTCAAGAAAATAAAAAAACTCCAGAATTTAACATTTTTGTGTGTGTGATAGTACACATATATTCTCAAGAAAATTTATCTAAAATTTAACATTTTCTTGTGTGTGTGGTAATACACACATCACAGCAAGAAACATTGAAAAACTCGTAAATTTAACATTTTTTGTGTCTGAATATACATATCTTGACAAAAAAATTAAAAAACTCGGAAATTTAACATTTTCTTTTTTGTTTGTTAATACACACATCTTGATAAGAAAAAAAAAAAATAATCCTGCAAACTTTAGAAAAACAAATTCACAGAAAGAAACTCGAAAATTTAACATTTTCTTGTGTCTACGTGTTAATACACACATCTTGGCAAGAAAATTAAAAAAAGTACAAAATTTAGTATTTTTTGTGTGTGTTAATACACATATCTTGACAAGAAGATTAAAAAAAACTTGAAAATATAAGATTACACACATCACGTCAAGAAAAATAGAAAAACTCGCAAATTTAACATTTTTTTGTTTGTGAATACACATATCTTGACGAAAAAATTTAAACACTCAAAAATTTAACATTTTTTGTGTTTTTATTAATGTGCATATCTTGACAAGAAAATAAAAAAAATTAGTCCTGCAAACTTAAGAAGGAAAAATTCACCGAAAAAAACTCGAAAAATTTAACATTTTCTTGTGTGTGTGTTAATACACACATCTTGACAAGAAAATAAAAAAACTACAAAATTTAGTATTTTTTTTGTGTGTGTGTTAATACACATATATTGACAAGAATGATAAAAAAAATCGAATTTTTTTTTGTGTCTTTTAATACACACATCTTGGCAAGAAAAATTAAAAAATTTGCAAATTTAACATTTTTTGTGTGTGTTAATACACACATATTGACAAGAAAATTTAAAAAACGTGAAAATTTAACATTTTCTTGTGTTTGTTCATACACACATCTTGGTAAAAAAATTAAAAAAATTGAAAATTTAACATTTTTTGTGTGTATTAATATACGTATCTTGACAAGAAAAATAAAATATAAACTTTAAAATTTAACATTTTCTTGTGTGCGTGTTAATACACACATCTTGGCAAGGAAATTAAAAAACTCGAAAATTTAACATTTTATGTGTGTGTGTGTTAATACACATATCTTGACAAGAAAATTAAAAAAAACTCAAAAATTTAATATTTTCTTGTGTGTGTGTTAATACAAATATCACGGCAAGAAAAATTAAAAAAACTCACAAATTTAACATTTTTTTGTTTGTAAATACACATATCTTGACAAAAAAAATTAAAATCTCTAAAATTTAACATTTTCGTGTGTGTTTTTTAATACACACATCTCGACAAGAAAACAAAAAAATTAGTCCTGCAAACTTAAGAAGGAGAAATTCACAGAAAAAAACTCATAAATTTAATATTTTCTTATGTGTACACTATCGTGTCCATATCACATTATGACACATTCAATCATATATATACAAACTACCATATATATACAAACTTTCATGATCTGGTACAGCCGGTTCATTAGAAAGAAGCACACCGGTGAAAATCTGACATCGTTCTTTAAACATATTTACAATTTGATTAGTTTTGGCCATAAGAAAAATTTAAATTTTAGAGTTTGTATTTTATTTTTCTTGTAAAGATACGTGTTTTAATACACACAATTTTTTTTTTGTACGTGTACGTGTATATCTATTTTCACTAACATATGTACGTGTATATCTATTTTCACTAACATATGTACGTGTATATCTATTTTTTGTACTAGTGGCGACCCTCATTATAAATCTTTGGAACAATGAATCCTCAATATGTATCGTAATTCGTAACCATCCCACTGCATCGTGTCCAGATCACATTCACGTTGACCATATATATATGCAGGCCTTCATGATCTGGTACAACCGGTTCATTAGAAATCGGAAGTATATCAGCTGAAGCTATTATGGTAACCACAACCTCAAATTCTTTCCAACCCAACTGAGATCTCATAACAGCCTTCTCTAGCTCACCAACTGGAAGATCCACTCGGTGAATATGTGACATCATTACTTACATATTTAAAATTTGATTAGTTCTAACGAGTTTGTTTTTTAAATGAATTATTTATTTTTGAGGGCAAGAAGAAACTAACATAAGAGAAAGTTAGTCATACTTCTATATCTATTTTCACTAAAACCACTATCATTCAAAAGCATGAAATAAACCTTTTTCCTGTACTAGTCTCGACCCTCATTATAAATCCTTTAGAAGGGATCAAGCCAATCATAATTCGTTACAAGAGAGTTAGATAGATGAAATCTAGAGAATTATGTCTTCTCCAAGTATGGAGATTCTGGAATGATTGTAAGATATTCTGAGAAGTGAATGACTTCTTTATTTATAGCCTGATAAGGTCGGTTTTCTGGAGATAACTTCTCATGTTGAAATAAGAAAACTTTATTTTTGATAAAGCCGACTTTCCATTTTTTCTGAAACTTGGTCAGATAAATAGAAAATTTTAATTTATCTCGCCGACCTAAATATTCCTTAGGATTTTAAAGTGGGCTTATCTCAATTGATGTAGGACTTTTAGAGGGGGTACGAAACCCATCTCTAACATATTACACCCAATTTAAATCAATCAAACTAAATCATAAACCGAATTTAACCCAATTGTAATCAGTAAGTGTTAATTAATTAAATCGAGAAATGTTAAGAATATAATTAATTAATTAAATCGAAAATAATAAAAATAATTGTGGTGTAAAACACATTAGTTAAAATATATATAATTAAAATAATGACATGTTAGCCTATAATGTTTTCTGTTTAATATATAGTAAATATTTTCTGTCATATTTATTTAAATCAAATTGTTTAAATTATATATAAAAAATCTAAATATTAATGCAGATTTTTAAAACATTAAATACAATTAAAAATAAATAATTATAGAAGTTTTTGTTTGGTTGCAAGAAAGATTGTGTTTGGTTGCAAGAATAAAGTATTTAAGTTTTTAACCATTTTAAGATTTAAAATATTCAAAATTCTGGGATAATGACACATAAATCACTAATGCTTCCTGTTTAATATATGTTATACATATAACAAAATACAGATGTAAGTTAAAAATGGAATTCAATTGTCTAATTGAGCCAATTAGTTTTTTTTAGAAGTGTAATGAAAAGTGTTCATAATATTTGTAAAATTAGTTTGTTTTCTTATGCTAACTAATTTTGAAACATTTGTATGTACAATACATACACAAAGAATGCATGAACTAGTTTGTATAGTAAGTAAAGAAACTAAAAAATAAATGACAAACATTAAATAAATATTATTTATTTATTATTTTTATTTTATTCTTATTTAGTTCCAAAAAATCTCTTTCCTCTAGGCATAATTTCTCCACAATAACAAAGAAAATTTGCACAACTACGTGTAAATCTATCCTTTCTGAGACAATGATATACACATTCTTGACAAAAACCAATTATGTTATCAGCGGACGCAAGTTTAAGATGTTCAATTGGAGGACTTGATGCTGGATTGGAAGAGTCCATTTCATCTTCAGACAAAGAGTTTCCCATACACACACCTATTAAAATAAGAAAATAAGAAAATAAATTATGTGATAGAAAATTAATATGTCAAGGCTATAAAATATTTTACATATCATTTATATTATACAAAATTAAACATACATGATAAAATAAGCACTACAAGAGTTGAAAACAAAACAATTGTCTTTATTTTTTTAATTGAAATTTAATAATATGGAGTTTTTGTTGTTATTTGTTTGATTTTTTGCAGTGAAAATTACAAAGCTTAATAGTGTCATATTTATATACTTATGCACTTATGTTACACAAAACTAATGTTCTAATGAATACTTTCAGTGTGATAAATGAACTTTAAAAAACGGTTCTCTTATAAATAATAGTTTTTGTATTTAAATATTAAAAAAGTGTTAAAAGTTTCTAATTAACACTTTAAGATAAAAACGATTATCTTATTAACGTATAATCAACATTTGTTTTAAAATCTGTTAAGTTATAAAATCTAAAATGAGATCATAAGGTATAAAATTTTAGAGTTAACAATGCTATAAGTATTTTTTATCAATCTATTCATATTTTAACACATAAGTAATGGTTCTAAAGACACAAATACAATTTTAATATGATAATATCTATCTACATAAACTATTTTTTTTTGTTATCTCTTTCCCTCTCATTCTTAATATATATTGTATACATCTTGATCAAGGAATTTTTTTCTGTACCTAACAACTCTCTGTTCATAAAATAACTAATATGATCATAGATTCATAGTTTTCATGTAAACAATAAATGCTGTTTTAAAGCGAAGCTATAACAATGCATATAAATGAAAATTAGGAAAACTGAAACTCAAAAGTGTAATCTGTATAGGAAGAAAAATTTGTCCGAGTAGTAATAAACATAAATTAATATACTTCATGCTCATAAAATTTTGAATACTCATTTAGAAAAACAAAAAATTGAATCCATAATAACTACACCTACTACTTGTAAATCTATTTGTGAATTAAAATTTATGAACAAAAAAAATCAAAACTCTAATAAAAAACTTAAACCTTTTATTATATGTCTCTATTTTTCTTTTACAATATTGTTTTTAATCAAGTAAAAACCCAATATTTATAATATGTTTTACGAATTGAATCCTCAATATCATAACCATCCCACACTATCGTGTCCATATCACATTATGACACATTCAACCATATATGATATATATACAAACTACCATATATATACAAACTTTCATGATCTGGTACAGCCGGTTCATTAGAAAGAAGCACACCGGTGAAAATCTGACATCGTTCTTTAAACATATTTACAATTTGATTAGTTTTGGCCATAAACATATTTACAATTTGATTAATTCTGACCAGTTTGTTTTCTGAATGAATTATTCATTTTTGAGGGCAAGAAGAAACTAACATAAGAGAAGTTGTATATCTATTTTCACTAAAAACCACTACCATTCAAAAACATGCAATAAACATCTTTTTTTCTTTTACAACTCAAATACAAGAAGTTGTGACACACACTGTGATGAAATGGAAATAAACAAGAGCCTCTTTGGATTAATGGGCTTTGTCCATAAGTTGTATAGGCGAAAGTATGTTGGCTTTGCTCGTCTCCACAATGCAACCATTCATCACCATTTCTTCGAGCATGAAGTGAGCTTTCTCCAGATGGAACATTATGTCCAGCTCACACTGCATAATTTCCACATACAAAAAGCTACGAATCAAAAAGAAGAAACACAAGAACAAGACAGGTCTATTCTTTTTCTGAGAGGGAGTATGAACCGAAAAAACTTACCACATTTCCAAAATGCTTGTCCATTGTCTCGACCAAGAGATGTATGAACTCTAGAATCGCCAGCTCGTTCTAGGACAAGACTCGATCAAAAGAGCATGTTTTAGTATAGAGACATGACTGAACAAAAAGATCAAAGCTTTACTGTTGACAAAGATAGGATATCCAAAATTGTTTCTATATTCATTATGAATGATCATTTACATCGTTTCTATATTGTTCCTCAACATCATCATTAACAGATATATCATACGAATTTCAAAAAATCGATTTTGCAGCTCAGAAGATAAACACAAAGAGTATATAACTTACTTCATCGTCATCAACCCCAACCATGAAAAACAGAGATGCGTAACGCCTGTAGACGATCTTGTAGTTGCGATGCTCCACGAATGAACACTGTTTATCAATGAAAACAGCAACGGAGTTAGAGTCGGATACCGTAAGCCAAACAGAAATTAGAAAAGAAACATCTTTCGAGCTAATCAGCACTGCACCAGCTTTTACATGGCAAGACGACAAGACGAAAGCAAAAAAAAAACGTGAACAGATCACAATGATGATAAATCTAAAGCCAAAACTAGTTTGATTCCAAATTGGCCAATGGTCATTGGTTAAATGCATCATCACCTTCGAAATTCTGAAATCACCATAAAGAATTCTATATTTCGATTTCCCAATCAAATTTCAGATTCCGATCATAAAACCTATCTAGCTAGACGCAATCAAACCAATGGCGGATCGATCATCGACCAAATCAAATTTCGCAGTTGATCAAAGTCCCAAAAACGTCCGAAACTGGCATCAATTTAATTAGGGAGACGAGATCCGTACCAAAATCACGAGCGATCTGATCGAATTTGAAGAGGAAAGAAGAATTTTTACCTGCTGGTCGTTGCGGGCGAGGCATTTACGAACGATCTCGCCTTCGAGAGCGCGACGCTCCTCGAGAGTGAGCCATTCATAGTACTGAGCAAGACGAGTCTGGCCTTGCTTGTTCACCATCAGTATGAACCTTATTCCCATCTCTCTCTTTTCCAAGCTCAAAGCTTGTTCCTCTGCGTTTTTCAGATCTTTCGATTTCTTCTTCTTAGGGGAGAGATACACACGTCATCACTGTTTTTTTTTTTTTTAATTTTATCGAAACTAATTTTTAGAAGGAAACAAATGATTAAATTTCAAATAATAAAATACTAAATTCCGCAATAACTTTTATGTACCGGCCCATATAACTAATTTTATTGTCAGGCCCATATAGTCGTTCTCGACGGCTTTTTCCACTGCCTTTGTGGATCAGCTTGATGAGAATGTGATTTATTTGCATGCTTTAGTGGATCAGTTAAATCAATTTTGAACGAGAATTTTTTTGGTAAGAGTGAATTTTAATGCAACTAATGCATTATACAGTATTATGTTTTTGTAATATCAAAACCCTTAAACCACTTTTTTTTTTTTCATCTGAAATAATATTATATAAAGTAAAAAGAATACATGGTAGAATACATAGTGAAATACAGATAAAATACATGGTTAGATACAACAAAAGAATAACCACCACTCCACAAAATTTAGGTAAAATACAGTTAGAAAAAACAAAATTAATACATCACAGATCCGAATGAAAAACATAAACTAATGCATAAGAAGCTAAGAACAGCAAAACTAAACACATAAATCAACTTCACACCAAAATATGATGACTAATCCAAACCTGCAAATCTTCTGAAACTCTTGTGAAGTTGAGCCTGAAAATAACATATATCTCCTCCCAAAATGATGAGAGGCCACATCTCCGTCATACAGTAACCAAAGCTTCAGAATCCAGCAAGACTGGACTGGATCTATAGATCCACATAAACCCTTAAACCACTTATCAATGTTTTTTTGTTACCAATCTAATTATGGAAACCTTCTATGGTTGAAACAAGGACGACAAAACAAAGATAGCAAAGTGTAACTCAGCCCTTTGAAGCTCTCGAAAAGCACTTTCTCAAGTTTCTGAAAAGCATTATCTTAAGACTCTTCCAAGCTTCGGGATGCACGTTCATATGTTTTTGGAGAGTTTGGGAAATTAATTTTTAGCATGGAAAACTAATGACCGAATTGTTGCCAAATTAAATGTTATGTTAATGTTACATAAATGACTAAATGTTTGTTTAATAGTATTAAATTTAGGGCAATTTCTATAATTACATTGAAAATAAGTTTTCAGGACAAATATAACAAGGAAGCTAAAATTTTTCCATCCTTAACATTTGTCATTTGAGTTTTCCGATTTTACCATTTAGGAAAGTCTTCCTAAAAAAAATTTTCTGATAATATTTCATGATTTTTTAGGAAGGTCTTCCAAATACTAGAATTTAACATCGTTTCATATGGTTTAGGAAAGTTTTCCTAAATTTTTTAAAATTTTTTGAATTGTGGAAGAGCTTCTTCAATTGTGGAAGGGTTTCCTGAATTGTGGAAATGTTTCTTGAATTGAATTTGAGTTGTATAAATTAACCAAAATAATAATCAATTATACAATTATACGATTTACGAAGGCATTCCTAAATACATGTAATGACTTCCTTAATTTATACATTTTAGGAAAATCTTACTAAAACTTTAGAATATATTCCTAAATTTACGTTCATCTCCTTTCTCACCTCTGCGACATCCAAACCCTAATTCATTACACTCATGATTGGAGTAGTTTAATGAAAAATACTGATTTGTTTTAATTTGATTGGTTAAAATTCTTTCTCTATCCTAATTAAATGTGACATGAAAATGATGATGTGTAATGATGATGTAATTGTGACATGGCATTTACTAACACATGTGATTTATGACATGGCAAAAAGATTTTTTGTGATATTTTCATTTATAAATATTTAATTAGATGACAAATTTAGTGTACTAATAACTAAATGAATGATTCGCCAGATGCATTATGAATAGTCTGATATTATTACTCATCTATATGGGTAATAGCATATGAATTTTGGGCTGAACGTGATGATTTTAATACACACATATATATATATATTATAATACTATGGATAATACTACATTATATATATTAAATTTACTATAGCTCTGTCGTGGATCACTGTAACTTTCCATATAGATACACACATATCTATATATATATATATATATATATTATAATACTATATTCATATGGAATACATGCACATATATTTTCATATATTTTAGTAGGCAAAATTATAATAACAAAATCATATTGATCAAATTGTTTACTTAATAATTCATACTTTTTGTAAAGGCGGTGCTCCATTTACATGCACATATGTTTTCACATATTTTAGTTGACAAAATTATAATAATAAAATAAAATATTATTGTGATCTTTTGTAGAACATTCAAAATTTTAAATTATTAGTTTAGTTTAAAAATAGTAACAAATATAAATATAAGATTTCGATTTAATAATCCTCTACATTATTTTTCGTAACAAAAGTTGAATATCCTAAAAAATCAGCGTGCATCTAATGAAAAACCAAAATCATTATCCTCTACATTATTTGAAAAGTTTAATGTCCATTTAATAAAAACCAAAAAGATCCATATAAAATCACGTTCATCCCAAATAACTAATGAAAAAGTTAGATACTCGGATCCTTATATAAGAAAACATCACAACACAATGAGTATTAAACAAATCAAACCCTAACTCAAAGTGCGGGCATGTCAATTCTACCAATCCATTTATCTAAATCGAATATGGCTAAAATGAAACTTGAAGGTTGTATAGACTCCAATCGTGAGTGTAATGAAGCAAGGTTTTATCGCTACACTGAATTTCCAAACAAATGGGTTTGACATTAAAAAATTAAGAAGTGGCTCCCTCGCAACAGAAAAAACAATGTTCCCTACGATATTAGCCTTCCAGAAGTTTCAGAAGAATATGATGAACTTTTCTACCTTAAAATGTTGCTAAATGTTCACAGAAGACCAGTATGTTAAAAAAAATAATAGAACAGTAAACAGAGTTTTATATTCAACCTTCGCTGAAACATGTCTTGCAATATGGTTAATTGAAGCATTTGATGCTTAAGTGGAGATGGTCTTGCAATTATTTGTAGAGTCTACTTGATAAAATTATAAGTAGAAATATCGCACATATAAGTAGATTGAGACCAACAATGACAGAATCCTTGAAGAAATAATGCTTTAAATTGAGGAAGATTATAGGAAGACAAAGAAAATAAAAAACGTTTGTTCAAAAAAAAGACAGAGAAGATAAAATTTGCAGCTTGATCCACAAATTCGAAGAAAGTAATCAGCTATCCACATGTTTGATCCATTTGACCCTCTAACATAACTGGTCAAGTTTTATAAAGCCTGATCATAGAAAAATAAGTTTTGTGTTTTCCAAATTTAATAATTATTTTTCAAGTCTGACTTAAAATATAAATGAACCTTTTGTTATAACAAAATGTTTAGTTAAAATTAGATCATATTTTACTACTTAATTTAAAGTCTTATAATTCAAAACACTGACTTTGAGTTTCATATATTACAAAAAATTAAAATATTTAAAACGGATTTAGATATTGTATTTAGATAATTACATTTTAAAAATTGTTCATGCACGCACATGCGTGCGGGCCAATATCCTAGTATAAAGTAAAAAGAATACATGGTAGAATACATAGTGAAATACAGATAAAATACATGGTTAGATACAACAAAAGAATAACCACCACTCCACAAAATTTAGGTAAAATACAGTTAGAGAAAACGAAATTAAAACATCACAGATCCGAATGAAAAACATAAACTAATGCATAAGAAGCTAAGAACAGCAAAACTAAACACATAAATCAACTTCACACCAAAATATGATGACTAACCCAAACCTGCAAATCTTCTGAAACTCTTGTGAAGCTGAGCCTGAAAATAACATATATCTCCTCCCAAAACGATGAGAGGCCACATCTCCGTCATACAGTAACCAAAGCTTCAGAACCCAGCAAGACTGGATCTATAGATCCACATAAACCCTTAAACCACTTATCAATATTTTTTTGTTACCAATCTAATTATGGAAACCTTCTATGGTTGAAACAAGGACGATAAAACAAAGATAGCAAAGTGTAACTCAGCCCTTTGAAGCTCTCGAAAAGCACTTTCTCAAGTTTCTGAAAAGCATTCTCTTAAGACTCTTCCAAGCTTCGGGATGCACGTTCACATGTTTTTGGAGAGTTTGGGAAATTAATTTTTAGCATGGAAAACTAATGACCGAATTGTTGCCAAATTAAATGTTATGTTAATGTTACATAAATGACTAAATGTTTGTTTAATAGTATTAAATTTAGGGCAATTTCCATAATTACATTGAAAATAAGTTTTCAGGACAAATATAACAGGGAAGCTAAAATTTTTCCACCCTTAACATTTGTCATTTGAGTTTTCCAATTTTACCTTTTAGGAAAGTCTTCCTAAAAAAAAATTCCTGTTAATATTTCGTGATTTTTTATGGAATGTCTTCCAAATACTAGAATTTAACATCGTTTCATATGGTTTAGGAAATTTTTCCTAAATTTTTAAAAAATTTTTGAATTGTGGAAGAGCTTCCTCAATTGTGGAAGGGTTTCCTGAATTGTGGAAATGTTTGTTGAATTGAATTTGAGTTATATAAATTAACCAAAATAATAATCACTTATACAATTATACGATTTACGAAGGCATTTCTAAATACATGTAATGACTTCCTTAATTTATACATTTTAGGAAAATCTTACTAAAACTTTAGAATATATTCCTAAATTTACGTTCATCTCTTTTCTCACTTCTGCGACATCCAATTTTTATTTTTTTCACCATTGTTGTTGTTTTAGCTCAGGTTTCTTGAGTTTTTCACCCAATTATATCAGATCTATTTATCATTATATGATTTTGAGCTTTAAATCCTGAAATCACTTTCTCATAAAAAAAACTCCAAAAATCTAAGAGATTCACAATCACAAATCACAATCAAATGAGAAGAATGATTCTAAACAAAACAAATGATTCGAATTTCAAATCAGTCCTGGTCATTGATACATTTGTTTGTACATTATTTCTCTTCTCTTTTTATTAATTAATGTTTTGTCTAACTAAGATTAATATGGTATAAAATGTTATGGATGGAATTTTTTAAAGTGTTAATGTATATATGGAACAAAAACTTAGATTAAGTGCATTTGAGGGAATTTCTCTTAAAATTATTCAGTTACAATAATAAATGACGTTTTGTTTCAATAATATGGTTTAGGCTATAGTGCAAATTTTGGATCGGTTATAACAAATTACGTTTTGGTTCAATATGAAAACTATAATATCGTTTAGGCTAAACAATTTTTGATTCTGATTCAATTGTACAGTACATATTTTGGATCAATTTATTTGTTTCTCTGTTAATTTATCCACCACTAGTGTTTTGTCTTCAAAAGCGATCCGATATATAAAATATGGAGTAAAGATGAAAACTCTTTTTGTTTCGTATGAATGCTAATGCTATAGTCTATAGATGGCGCATGCGATAAAGGTATTTAAAATGTGCTTCTTATGAATGCGCTATGTGTACTCAAAAGTCAAACTGAAGAGAAAAAAAAAAACCAACATAATGTTGTTCCCTTTATATTCCTTACCTTTTTTACTCGATAAAATAGTGATGAAGAAAAAAAAAACTCATCAGTGGGATTCTGAATGTATGGACTCTTTTGCTTTACTAAAATCGCATTCAAATGAATTCTTACCCATTCCTTTTATTTAAGCGATGAGAAGCTTTTTATTATCTAATATTTTTTAATTACATTCATGCAACTATAACATCTAGTCTAATGATTTGTTAAAAATAAAAGTATTCTTAATTTTTGTATTCTTTTGGTTGTCAGATTTATTACTTAATCATCTTATATATCCTGTGATTCTCTGGTCCAAATCTGAAGGTGCAATTATGTATATTCTCAAAGGGTCATAACTAAAAAGAAAGATTTTCAGAAAAAAAAAATTACCTAACAAGTGAGTAGTTTTCATAAATATTTTATATTAATTTTGGTACCTATTGGATATTATACATATGTAAAAATATTTGAATTCAAAATTTAAAATCAAGATATTAGGATATGTCTTGAATGGAACTGTGATTTCATTAACTAGATATGATTTTAATATCCTAATTTTTAGAATGGATCATATATCTAATATTTGGATACAATTATGTTTAGTAGATATAATATATATATATATATATATATTACATGTGTTTATATATAACATTCACTTACAGATGATATTTCTAATAGCAGACAAAAGTACAATATTTTAAATATCAAGTCAAATGTATTTTTGAAGATTTATTTCTCAATATAGACAAAAACAGATTTATTTTTTCAATATAAACAAAAAAAAATCTTAAAGTACAAATTTTATTTAAGAAGAAGAAAGATACAAATCTGTAGCATAAGATCTTTATATTGCAATGCATCACACTGAGGGACACTCCTATAAATGACTTGCACTGCAAACCAAATAAACACCACACAAAAAAAAAATCTAACTACAATCACACAATAAACTAAACAGAAATGAGCAAATCAGTCTTAATAGTTTGTGTCGTTGCAATCACGATTTTAGCTTCACCTTTCAATGTTATGATGACAGTGCATAGCTTAACGCCATGTGAAGAAGCATTAAATGCTTTAAAACCGTGTGTGTCGTACCTTCATGCATCTCCAGGTGTTCCTCCGACACCAGAATGTTGCAAAAGCTTAGATAACGTGAACCGTAGTGTCAAAACGTTTGATAATCATCGAGATATGCACATTTGTTTGTCAACAGCAGCAACAATTTCTTCTGCTTCCGATCCCAACAAGTTTGTCACTTTGCCTCAGCTGTGTCGTAAATTATGTAAGTATATATACTTCTATAAAATAACTATTAGTATCATCTAGTTATAATCAGAGCCGATTCAACTATTTTAGTGGTCCAAAAGTAATTTTTTTTATTTTTTTATATTTAAAAACATAAGTTTATTAATATTATGGTCCAATAAATATAATTTTTTTGAATATGTGGCTTATAAATTATTTAAAAAATTGGTGGCTCTAAACTCTTGCTTAGCCTGCTTATGCTCTAGGTCGGTCTGGTTATAATGTTATATTTTTCATTCAATAATATTCAGTGAAATATAAAGAATATATTTGATATCTTAAATAATTTATTGATATAGTAAAAAACACTCATATACTTACAGCATTCAGAAAATTTTCCATTATAAATAAAGACACTGAGGTTTAAATTTAAAATTTTACAGCAACGAAAAAAAAACGGTGTCAAATCACAACTCGAGGAGAACCTGGGAAATGTATACCCGAGACATGTGCTGCATCGTGTAGGGGCACATTGCTGGAGGAACCAAAAGGTTATTGCCTGCCCAGTCTCACAGACTGCCTTTGCACTTTTAATTGCCGTAAAGATAACGGTGATTGGGATCCGCCTTTGAAGACGAGGTATTTTTTGTGATATTTTGATATTAGAAAATAAAATAAAAATAAAGGTTTTAAATATGATAATATATATTTTATATAATATAATGTGTTTGAAATTAGTAGTTGATAATGTGTTTTAACATTATAATTAAAAAATAAATATTATAGTATATTCCAGTTTGGGATCTTGTAGTAGTATTGTTGTAGCCATAATAAAATGGATTCTAACCTTGTACTAGTATGCGTCAGGCGTGATTAGTATATTAGTAGTATATATCTTTATATAAAGATAGTTATACATTATGTGAATTGACCAATAAAAAAGATAGTTATACACTGTGTAAATTGACAAATAAAAATTATAAACACAAAAAGTTGAAAACAAAAGCGAGGGAGAGGGGGTGTCAGTCTCAACTCTCAAGAAGCACTATTGAGAACAAGATTTTAAGGAATAAGTCGATAAAATCTTAACTTTTTGAGTTAATTTATGAAGTAAAATTGGAGAAAGAAATTTGAAGAGTGGGATGGCGACTGGGCTTCTTGCATAAATAGAAACAGAAAATTTTAATACACATATGAAAGTTCTTTATTTATAAAAAAACCCTCACCAAGTGCTTATATTGGACCAGAATTCGAGCACAGTCACCTTTTTTTTTATTAAGGCTCACCAAATGCTTATAAAGATGCCATATTTTTGTTTTTGATACGGATGAAGTTGCTTGGACATTGCCGAACATTGTTTCTATAATTTCAGAGAATACAAAAGTGGTCAACTGAACTTGATGATGTTTATTAGAAGAAGTATGTTTTGGAAAAAAATTGTTAAGAAAGAAAAATATTTTCTGTTTTCAATGTATTTTTTGTTAGTTAATAATGGTGTATTGTAAACTTTAAGAAAAATAATTGAAATTGCTTAATTTTTAGTATTAGTTAATAGTTATAAAAAATTGTTAGTTACAGAAAAAGATGTATTTATAGTTAAGTTTTAATGTGTTTTCTTAATATCTGTGAAAAATCTAAAACATTCTTTATTTAGGAACAGAGAAAATAATATTTATATCTTTTTTTATGAATCCATTTCTATCAAATTACAAAAGGGATTTAATCCAAATTTAAATGGTCTCGGAAATTTAATAAAATCAACTAAAATTTGTATAACATCCTATTAGAATTTAATTTTTAAGTTTTATAGAATTAAATGAAATTTGTATCCTAATATAAATTCAAACTTAAGGATTTTTAGTTTGAGATTCTGTGTTTTTACTAACTTTTTGAGTAATAATGTGTAAGTTTGTAAGTTGGCGAAGAAAAATAGTGGTTCTCAAATTACATTTGAATTCAAAATTAAAAATCAAGATATTCGAAAATATCTTGAATGGATCTGTGATTTCATTATTTATATGTGATTTTAATATCATAACTTTGAAAGTAAATCCTATATCTGATATTTGGCATATGAATATGTTTAGTAAGAAATTAAACAAATTACATATGTGTTTATATACATATAATAGTTAATTACAGAAAATATGAATTTATAGTTAAGTTCTAATGTGTTTTCTTAATATCTGTAAAAACTCTAAAACATTCTTTATTTAAGAACATAGGAAATCATATTTATATATTATTTATGAGTTTATTTTTACCAAATTACAAAAGGGATTTAATCCGAATTTAAATAACATTAACTTAAAGATAATATTTCTAATAACAGATGAAAAGATAATATTTTAAATATCAAATCATATTTATTTTTGAATATTTATTTCCTTCTATAAACAGAAAAAAATCTTAATATGGTAAATCAATGTGGAGTCTGTTACTGATATAAGATCAATGGGATGATCTTATAAATGGTTGGGTGAATAGGTGGAAGCAAGTAGCTGGACTGAAGTCTCTTTCTACTTGCTCAAGAGATGATCGAAGTGGATGGTTGCGGGATCAATCCTGCTGGACTAAGGTCTCTTTCAGGTTGATCAGTGGATGGAATGGATAGATGGTTGACTGATTCCACATGCAACAATTTATGCTTCTAACTTCTAAGGGCTCATCCTCTCATGGACAGTAAGAAACAACACGAAAACTCAAATGTCTGATTCCACAAAACACTCAAGAACTCGCAAGAACATAAGAGAAGTGATTCCACACAATCTCTAATGAACAAAGTAACAAAACCTTAGCTTAGAGAGAATTCTCTTTCATTTTCCAAAAATTTATATATCTTTTTACAATGAGAACAATAAGCTTTTATAGCTTTTACAAAGAATCTTTACAATAAATTACATTTAATTTAAATTATTTATATTTAAACAAAAGGAGAAAAATAAGCTAAATCAAATAATGGTCTTCTTGCCACCAATCTTATTTTGGACTTGAATGAGAATCCTTTGACTTTGATAATTATGAAGAACAGATTCTAATAATAATTCACATATTGAAGATCCTTGATTTATTGATTTTTGATATTGTATCAGTTACCATATTAAGACTGATGGACCATATTAATATAGTAACCCAGTGTGGACTCTTTTGTCATATTAACACTGGTTGACCATATTAACATGGTAAACCAATAAAGAATCTGTCAAATTTCTATTGTATGATAATTAATATGGTAAACCAGTATGGAATTTGTTATGGTAATATGGTAAATCTTAATATAGTAAACCAAGGTGAAATCTGTTACCATATTAATATGGTACACTATAGTGGAATCTGTTACCATATTAAGATTTCTAGTGCAATGCATCACAGTGACCAGACAGTTCTATAAATAACTTGCACCGCAAATCAAAAAATAACCACAGGAAAAATCATAATTACAATTACACAACATACTATTAAACAGAAATGAACAAATCAGTCTTAGTAGTTTGTGTCGTTGTAATCACAATTTTAACTTCACCTTTCAATGTTGTGATGACAGTGCATAGCTTAACACCATGTGAAGAAGCATTAAATGCTTTAAAACCTTGTTTAGCATATCTTTATGCATTTCCAGGTGTTCCTCCGACACCAGATTGTTGTAAAGGCTTAGACAATGTAAAGCGTGGTGTTAAAACGTTTGAACAACGTAAATACATGTGCATTTGTTTGTCGACTGCAGCAGCAATTGCTTCTGCGCCTGATCCTAGCAAGTATGTCACTTTGCCTCAGATGTGTGGTGTCACCTTATTTGCACCTGTTGGTCCAAAATTTGATTGTAACAGGTTATTCTCATTATCATTTTTTTTTGTTAATTCTCATTATTTTAAATTAAAGTAAGTTTTTTTTTTCATAATATCTCTTTCCTAGTTTTCTTATGTTTTGTATGTGTGTGTGTGCAGCATTAAACTTTAAGGCGAAGAAGAAAAAGGAAAAATAAAACAAAGATATTCATATTAGCTGAAATGTTGATTTCATGTATAATAAAATTCCTGCAAATAATAAAATAAGACTTATTTAATTATCCACAGAACCAAAACTAAAATTGATCAAATAATAATTAGTATCGATATAAAATTTTGAAATCTTAGCAATAAACACACTTTCAAGTCATAAGCGATAAAATTACAAAACAAATTCAATATCCTAAGTTTTTCATCTTTCCTTCTTAGTTTAGTTTGGCTATTAAAAAATATAACGCTAAGGTTAACACTTCACAGATCTAAGACTTTTGCAAGATACGATTGGAAATCGTCTCTTATAATTTACAAATATAATTACTATTTTTCTTTGATGTCATCTATAACTTCCATTAGAGATAATCGGAAAGAATCCATCTACATCCCACGTAGAAGAACATCATAAAACCCCATAAAAGATTAAACTCTCTCATAATGAAAAATTTCTTTTAAAAACACACTCGAAACATGGATAGAAGAAAAACTCTATCCACGTAGAAGAACAGCCTAAGTTGTAGAATAACAAACATTAAGTTGATACATATTCTTTTGTATACCAGAAAATAAAAGTATTTCATGCTTTAAGATTGTCTAATTTAAACCATTGCTTTAAACTCTTGCTTGTTTGTTTTAGGTTTTCTGTCATTGCGTTATATTTTTAATGACAGAAAACATAAAACAATGTGCGTTATATATTTTTAATCTTTAGTGCGTTAATATATTATATGTAAACATCACACACTAACACTATGGATATATAATATATGTAAACATCACACAATAACACTATGGGGACCAAATCTATTAAACAATATACATATCCACATCTATTTTTATAATATCAAAACTATTATCAACAATACTCTTTGTTTTATTTATAGATATTAGCTGGCGGCTTGAACATCCAAAACATAAGATTCATACGATTGTCTGTCCTCTTGCTAGTTTCAAGTAATCTTTTTTTGTATATTACTAATAATAATTCTGGACATTCTTTTGTTTTTATCTTGAGATATCGGTTTGGTGCTTGGGTACCCAGATATACGAAACACACAAATAGTTTGTCCATTAGCTACATTCAAGTATTTTTTTGTATCTTTCTTAATATTTATTAGCATCATTGTCTTCTTGTGAATACCATCGAAATTTGTGTGGTTGATCACACTCATGTTTTTGATCAAAAAATATGTTCCCTAGAAAATTAAGAATCATCTAGTAAGACACATAATGTCATGGGTGGGGGGGGGGGGGGGGGGGAATATAATTATATTTTAATACGGTTGATTTTGATTAATTTTCTATGTTAAATCGATGACTCATCCCAAATCCATTGGTGTGTCCCTCCATGTGAAGCGATAAAAGATTTTCAATTCTCCACATTTTTATATAATCGTTTCGTTTACCCAAGTCAACACAATCTCTACATTTCACACTCAGAGAAGCCTACTAATTAGTGCTAACTTCTAAGGTTAATGCATTTTATTTTATTATTATTTGTAACGACTATATATGGTAATTTGTCGTTTTTATTATTTTCTATCTATCAAATTACACAATTCACGTCGGTCATAACAACGGTGGTGGTTCACATTCTTATTTTTAGTGGCATAGAATAAAAAAAAGTAAATGATAAGACAGATAACAACTATGATAGCAAAATAGGAGAAGCAGTGGGAATACTATTATTAATCTTAAACACTTTTCATATTAATCAACCAAAAAATACTACTAATACATACAAGAATCGAGTTTGAAGAAGATTATGATTTGTAGCTTAATATATTCTGTTAATCCAAATTTATAGATGAAAAATGAAAATGTGTATAAATTGTAAACGACCAATATCAAAAAATTTACAGTTTATTTTTTATCAAAAAAGATTGAATTTGAATGGTTACTAGACAACGACATTATCACAAACCACAATACTACATTTGTTGGTCATACATACGTCATCATAGCCTATGACTCAGAAGCTAAGCATGTTTAACAATTATCATTGACTATATTGCTTTTATTGAACAAAAGTACTATTTATTAAAAAGATGAATTTAGAGCACGAGGACTTTGATAAAATGAATCATACAACGTTGAAAAGTGAAAAAACAAGAACAGTAACACAGAAGCAAAGCTCCATAAAACCTCTGCCCCCACAAAAGCCTTACTCACTCATCAATCATCATTAATCAATGCTTCAACCACACACTCAACGAAATCATCTCAACTTCATTCTCTTTCTCAAATTTCAACATTCCCCCAAAAAAGTAGAAAGACAGCAACTTTAATCAAAGCTTCTTTGAGTTTGTTCAGTTTCCCAAAAGGAACAAGAAGAAATGATGAGGAAGAAGAAAGGCACCATCTTTAAGCTTCTGAGTTTGTTTCTGTTTCTGGGTTTATCCGCTGGAGACTACGGCATTGGAGTGGGAATCGGCGACGGTGGAGTTTGGGTCGGCGGCGGCGGAAACCCTAATTCCGATCCTGGCTCTGCTCCAAAGCAGCAGACAAATGCAGCTTACAGTGCTCTTCAATCCTGGAAATCCGCCATTACAGAGGATCCATCTGGTGTTCTAAAGACATGGGTTGGTGAAGATGTCTGTTCTTACAGAGGGATTTTCTGTTCTGGTTCTTCTGTAATCGCCATAGATCTAAACAAAGCGAATCTCAGAGGCACTTTTGTCAAAGAACTTTCTCTTCTCTCAGATTTAACCATCCTCCATCTCAATAGCAACAGATTCTCCGGTCAAATCCCAGATTCTTTCAGAAACCTCGATTCTCTTCAAGAACTCGATCTCAGCAACAACAGATTCTCCGGCTCTTTCCCTCAAGTCACAATCTACATCCCAAACCTGGTTTACCTCGATCTCCGGTTCAACAGTTTCACCGGTTCGATTCCTGAGAATCTCTTCAACAAACAGCTAGATGCGATTCTCCTCAACAACAACCAATTCACCGGAGAAATTCCCCGGAGTCTCGGATACTCTTCTGCATCGGTGATTAATCTCGCCAATAACAAGCTATCCGGCGAAATCCCGACGAGTTTCGGCATCACGGGATCGAAATTGAAAGAGGTTCTGTTCTTGAATAACCAGTTAACCGGTTGTATACCGGAGTCCGTCGGGTTGTTCTCCGACGTTGAAGTCTTCGATGTTAGTTTCAACTCCTTGATGGGTCATGTCCCCGATACGATCTCTTGCTTATCGGAGATCGAGGTCTTAAACCTCGCGCACAACAAATTCTCCGGCGATCTCCCCGATTTGGTCTGCTCTTTGAGGAACCTGATAAATCTCACGGTCGCTTTCAATTTCTTCTCCGGGTTTAGCTCCGAGTGTTCGAGAGTCAGCGTCGGGTTTGACTTCACCGGAAATTGTATTCCCGGCAAAGGCTACCAGCGGCCGCAGCCGGATTGCTCGGCGATTCCCGGCGCCTCGTTGAGCTGTCTCAGGATTCCGGCGCAACCACTAACCTGCGCTGCGATCCTGGGATTGAAGGCGGCTTCATCTCCATGAAAAAATATAAAGTTGGAAGCTTTATACTATTTTTTCTTTTATGATTTGCAAGATTTGTTTATGCAATTCCGCTTTTTGTGACTTGATAGAAAAATGCCAAAATGGTTTATCAGTTCACTAGTATTAATCAACTGATTTTAGTATAATTGATTACTAGAAAGCTTATTTCTGATTCTCAATCCTTTTGTTCTTGTAATCGGATCTTTCTAAATATATTTTGACCCGAAATAGCAAATATTTGTTGGATGAACGAAGAACACTCTCTCTCTGCTCATCAATGATGTTCAATTGATAAATGAAAAGGAATTAGTCAAGACTCAAGTTGTGTTGGTCCAAAATTGGTCCCATGTTGCCTAACCCAATACAGAAAAGGCATAGTGAATTAGGTTATCTTTACTTTGTCTTCAAGTAACTGACGAGCTCATCCAATGCCTTGTGTGAAGAGCCTCCACATCTCACAGAGGCATTAAGCTTCTCTTTCAAAGCAAATGCTCTCTCCCTCATGGCTACACCTTCTTCATCCACAATCAATCTCTTCACAGCTCTCTCAACTTTGCCTCTTTCCACTTCACCTTCCATCTGAATCCCTATCTTCCAAACACTTTCCAAATACATTGCGTTTATCGTCTGGTCTCCCTGAAAAGGCCTGCAAATCATTGGAACTCCTTCCACAATGCTCTCTAGTGTTGAGTTCCATCCACAGTGGCTCCAAAAGCCTCCCACGGCAGAATGTCTAAGTACTTCTATCTGCGGCGCACGTTTCGAAATGTATCCTCTTTCTAAGACCATCGTACTGACTTCATTCGGCAATGACTCTATCCCGTCCGAGCCAAGGATAGAGCCCGGTCGGATGACCCATAGAAACGGTCGGTTGCTATTACACAAACCCCAAGCCATCTCCAAGACTTCCTTGGTTTCCAGTTGAGCTATGGTTCCAACGCTTATGTAAATGACTGACCTCGGTTTCTGCTTGTTCAACCATTCAATGCAGCCCCTGTCCTCTTCTACTAAACTAGAAGACGCTGAAGCTGTGATATGAAGTGGGCCTAATGTGTACACTGCAACTCCAAGTTCTTGTTGCAACCATGACACAGAGGAGCTCTCTAGGCAGCTCGTTGTGTTGAAGATAATACCGGAAGCTGTCCTTTTGCTGACTACTCTCCGACGGATCTCCGAAACTGGCTCTAATGGGCCAAATCGTGAAGGCAGTAGATCTTTATACCTTAACGGATGCAAGTTCTCCACCACTCTTTCTTGCATTTCATGATCTATACAAAGTTAATGAAAAAAAAAAAAAAAAAAAAAAACATGTTAATTTTAGTTAAAAGAGTGGTTTCAAGATGAGTGATTAAGCTGGTTTTGAGCACCTTCCATGTCGATCAAGAACTTTTCTGAATCGAGTTTGCTAAAAACACAGCGTGAAACGTGATTTGTAGCACTTTGAGTGCTGAAGATGACATTGGGAAGCTTAAACTCCTTAGCTACAACTCCACAGAAGTACATGAACTCATCGTAGATGATACAAGCGATATCATTGCCATGTTGCAACAACAGCTGACCTATACAGTCCTTGAAGCTTGCCTCACTTGTTTTATTGAGGTTTAACATAAACTCAATTTGTCCGAGTCCCACGAGTTCAGACTTTGTTAAGATTTGTGGTATGTTGACAAATTCAAAACCAGGGAAATGTTGTGAAGAGCTTACTTGGTTGAATTGCACTTGAACAACTGTAATTGAAAAGCCCTCTAAGCTAAGGGCTTTGCCAAGATGCATCATTGGAGTTACATGCCGTTGTGCTGGAGCTGAAACTAGCACTATCCTTCTCTTCGTTTCCTTTTCTTCCATTGCCTAATAATCTCTCTTTCTCTCTCTCCCCCACTAATCTCTTTAATGGAGAACAACTCTTAGATAAGTGATCCAAATAATTATTATAAAATCCCATTTGTATTGGAAATATTCCAAAATCTTCCAGTGGATGCCCATTTTATATACTTAAGTGTTCCCCATGTGGGTGACAACTACTTATTTTTCTTAATGCAACCCATGTGATACTGATCTATGCGAGTCTTCGTCGTTTGTGGCTTCTCTTGAATAACATTTGACCATATCCTAAATCGGGAAAATCCCAACTAAGAAACCAAAACTATAATGTTATTGTTATTTCCTTAAATCTTTCTTGCTCGTTATAAATAGGAGGAAAAGGGCAAAGGACACATGGCGTGCATGGAGTTGATGATTAAGCTAGAACAAAGGCGAGGCGTGGGTAAAATTGATTGAATTTTATGAGCGGCTGAGAATTTGTCTTTTGAATCCAACAGTCCAGATTTCATCTTACGACATTCTTGTTCGCTCCCTATTTATCGAGAGACGACGAAGTCCCCTCAGAGTTGCATTGTACATACATACGTAGAGAGATCAAAAAAACGAATCACGCAGAGTAAAGAAGAAGAAGAAAAAAGAGAGAGATCGAGATAATGTCGTGGCAAACTTACGTTGATGAGCATTTGATGTGCGATGTCGGCGATGGCCAAGGCCACCACCTGACCGCCGCCGCAATCATCGGCCATGACGGTAGCGTTTGGGCTCAGAGCGCTAATTTTCCTCAGGTTATCTCCCTCCTCTTCGAATCGTTTATCTTGGCGTTTCATGTTTATTTTCCTCGCATTTGGGCCCATGATGATCGTTTCGTGTTTCTATATAATCTTGGCATTCATAGATTCCGATTTGCATTCGTTAATCCTATAGTTTATTCATGATTGCTCATATTTTGGTTTGCAGTGTCATTGTTATAAACAGATGGAAATAATTAATGTATTATAAAAATTCACATTCATAATTTAGTAGTTCACCGAAGATTGAAATTCTGATTAGATCTTCTTTCGTTGGTATCCACTATGAAATGCAATCGAACAAAGAACATGTTTCATGGGAGATAGATAGCTTGGGGAGCAAGATGTGTACCTTGCTTCCCAAGATATCTCCACTATGTTTATAGAGACCACGTTTGAGATTTTTTTTTGACATTTTCTTCCCACTTATTTATAAAATTGCATGTATGAATTTCCATTTTCTGGATTTTTGGTTTAACGTTTAGCATTCCAAATAAAAAAAAAATCTGACGATTCGTTCTATTCAAACAGTTCAAGCCTCAAGAGATCACAGGCATCATGAAGGATTTCGATGAGCCAGGTCACCTAGCTCCCACAGGCTTGTTCCTCGCAGGGCTAAAGTATATGGTCATCCAAGGCGAGCCTGGTGCAGTCATCCGTGGCAAGAAGGTAATTGTTAATCACAAAACTGTCATTAATTAGCGTTGAGATGGTGTGGGATTCTGATTGAAACGTGTGCAGGGAGCTGGAGGAATCACGATCAAGAAAACAGGACAATCAATGGTGTTTGGTCTGTACGAAGAGCCAGTGACTCCAGGACAATGCAACATGGTCGTCGAAAGGTTGGGTGATTACTTGGTCGAACAGGGCCTATAGAATGCAATGCTCCATTGCTCTTGTTCCAATTGATTTAATCATTGTTTTTTTTTTTTAATTTAATTTTGGGTCTTTCTGCTTTCTACATTAGCAAAGTTTAATAGAAAGCTGAAGCCTAAGGTTTTCAGATAATAACACAAAGCCTGTGTGAAGAAGCCGAGACTTACAGACTATTTTTCTCCTTTTCTTGGTTTCGTGATTAATTTTCTTTTTCTATATATATATATATTTAATGTTATCTTACTTCTATATGCGCATGTCGTTCTCGCTACTTCTGTAAATTATTTTGCTCTTTATATCATATATTATCCCTAGCTAATAATAGAGCAAATGATTTCGCTTGTTACCCAAAAAAAAAAGAATTAAGAAAGATGGGAAACAGACTTTTGACCCTTTTCGTTTGGAAAACATCGGAAAGAACAAACAAAGTTGGATATAAAATTTGAAAAAATCATAAAGCCTAATTAGTTTAGTGATCACGTGAATCAGTCATGGAAGGCCACATTGAATATTGTCGTTATGGTAAGAGAGAAGGCTTTAATAAACCGTGTTATGGCCCTCTCCTTCTCCACAGAGTCACACTCACACACAGAGAGAAACAATATGAGCAATCATCATACTGTGAGATGCCATTTCTCTCCAAATTACTGTGATTTTTCTTATCTTCTATTCTTGTGATTTGAAGTTAAATAGTGATTATATCTTTAAGTTGATTTGTGTTTATTGATTTTCTTGGTAGTTTGAGAAGCAGGTTTTCAAGCAACTTGAGCCATGGTGTGAACTTAAAGACAAAGTGGTTCTTGTGACAGGAGCTTCCTCTGGTATAGGAAGAGAGATTTGTCTTGATTTGGGCAAAGCTGGCTGCAAGATTATCGCAGCAGCTCGTCGTATCGATCGCCTTAACTCTCTCTGCTCTGAAATCAACAGCTTCGGTTCGACCGGAATCCAAGCCGCAGCTCTCGAGCTAGACGTTACATCGGACGAAGCCACCATTCAAAAGGCGGTTAAGGAAGCTTGGGAAGTCTTTGGGAAGATCGACGCTTTGATCAACAACGCCGGAATAAGAGGCACTGTCAAGTCGAGTTTAGATTTGTCTAAGGAAGAGTGGGACAAAGTGTTCAGTACCAACTTAACCGGACCATGGCTAGTCTCCAAATACGTCTGCGTTTTAATGCGCGACGCTAAACGCGGTGGTGGCTCGGTGATAAACATCTCATCAATCTCCGGGCTCTACCGCTATTTAGTGCCAGGTGCAATCGCTTATGCTTGTTCCAAAGGCGGCGTAGACACCATGACGAGGATGATGGCTATTGAGTTAGGTGCTTACAATATAAGAGTGAACACGGTCGCACCGGGGCTTTTCAAGTCGGAGATCACACAAGGTCTTATGAAGAAAGAGTGGCTCAAGAACGTGATCGAGAGGACTGTCCCATTGAAGATTCAGCAGACCGTGGATCCAGGGCTTACCTCTCTCGTACGCTACCTCATTCACGACTCTTCTCAATATGTCTCCGGCAATACATACATTGTTGATTCCGGAAGTACATTGCCCGCTCTGCCTATCTTTTCTTCTCTCTGAACTCCTAAATCTTGTGTGTTGTGTGTAATAATAAGTGAAAACATTTACACATTCTCCACCTACGTTTTTTTTGGTTATTATATCATATCATTACTTCTTTTGTTTTCTCCATCAGAACTTGTAAAAATCTAATAGATTTGTTATGGTCTAATAAAAATCTAATAGATAATTGTGGTTTCGATTTTGGTTATTTCACCTTATCCCCCTACAACTTTAAGTCTTTAAATATTGAGATTTAAAGTTAGTGTTATATATTGCCCTATGGCTCATGCTATGCATGTGCATGTTTATCAAATTTTATTCCTGTTTAACCCAAAAGTATGGGTCTCAAATTTTATATCTTGTGTAATATTATTTACATATTATTTACTATTCATAGATTATAAAATACCGATCCCCTTTATCTCGTTTTTATTCACAACAAAAGTCTAATTAGTTTAGTGCTTAATTACATGAATCAGTTACAGATTTCGATGGTCACGTTGAATTGTCGTTATGGTAAGAGAGAAAGCTTTTACTAAACTGTGTTATGGGCATCTCTTTCTCCAGTTTCCACTTTCCACAGAGTCACACACAGATAAACATAGGGGTGGGAAAAAAACCGAACCGAAGTAAACCAACCCGAACCAAAGTCTATATCAAAATATTTCGGTTAAGATTTTTGTCAAAACCCTGGTTCGGTTCAGTTCAGTTTAAAACTAAATCAAACTGAAACCTAATGTGTTTTTTTAATTATTAAGTTATTAAGTTACTAATGATTAATAATCTTACATAAAGAAAACCGAAGTTTTTCATCTATTTTCTGCTTGATTCTTCATGGTTTCAAAGTAATAAATTTTTAATTTTGATATTGACATTACATTATGTTTATATAAAGTTTTGTTTTTTAATCTGTTAACCGAATTAAACGAATCCAAATTAATTATAACCGAATCAAACCAAACTATATTTAAACTGAACCGAGCCGAATCCGAACCAAATTAAATTTGGCTGAATTTGGTTAAAGTTTTAATAAACTCAAACTAACCAACCGAACCGAATCCAAACCAAACCTGAAAATAAACCAGAATGCCCACCTCTAGATAAATAATATGAGAAATATCAAACTGTGAGATATACAATATACCATTTCTCTCCAATTTATTTACCTTTCATTTTTTTTTTTTTGGATTTAGTAAATACTGATTTTTATCTTTAAGTTGATTTGGGTTATTTTTTTTCATCATATGACCCACGGAAGTTGTCAATCATGTGTGTTCTGTCCTTTTACTCTGAAATTACTTTTGATCAAAATATCATGATATTTTTGTTTTGAAGAAAAACTTTTTATGAAAGAAATTTTACATTATTTGTTGATGCAAAAATCTGCACAATCAAAGATTTGTAAGTAGAAGAAACAATTGGAATTGAGTTGGTCTTTCATAGTCTGATCTACTCTTTTGCCCTAAGTCGAACCTCCTGTCTCACAAAGTGTCTTTGATACACTGGCCAAATCTGTTTCTCTTCTTATTTCCGTTTGCTTCTCTTACTTAACACTTCTTCAAGTTGGATCAGGTCTCCTTGAAATTTGCAATGGTCTAGGTTGTCGTGCCTGATAACGTTTTATTTCAACTTCCTTCTTTATATTCACAATCTTTAGCTTCTTTTTATCTTTTCTCTTTTACATTTCAAATGATTTGTAACAAGTTTTTTTTTTCAAAATATTTGTATTAGTCAATATTATCATCATCAACCAACCCTATTAGTTTTTATATTATTTGAATTATTTTTATAGAACCGTGTTTGTCCGCTTCATTTTGAATGTGTTAAACCATAGTTTACGTACGGATGATACTTTTGTTTGTCTTGGTCCTCACCGGAGAGAAGCAGGTGTTGAAGCAACTTGAGCCATGGTGTGAACTTAAAGACAAAGTGGTTCTTGTGACAGGAGCTTCCTCTGGTATAGGAAGAGAGATCTCTCTTGATTTAGGCAAATCTCTAAATGCTTCTTGTCAATTCCTCTATTGACAATAATTTTAGTGATCACGTGAATCAGTCATAGAGGGCCACGTTGAATATTGTCGTTATCGTAAGAGAGAAGGCTTTCATAAACCGTGTTATGGCCCTCTCCTTCTCCACAGAGTCACACTCACACACAGAGAGAAACAATATGAGCAATCATCAAACTGTGAGATGCCATTTCTCTCTAAATTACTGTGGTTTTTTTATCTTCTGTTTTTGGGATTTGAAGTTAAATAGTGATTATATCTTTAAGTTGATTCGTGTTTATTAATTTTCTTGGTAGTTTGAGAAGCAGGTGTTGAAGCAACTTGAGCCATGGAGTGAACTTAAAGACAAAGTGGTTCTTGTGACAGGAGCTTCCTCTGGTATAGGAAGAGAGATCTGTCTTGATTTGGGCAAAGCTGGCTGCAAGATTATCGCAGCAGCTCGTCGTGTCGATCGCCTTAACTCTCTCTGCTCTGAAATCAACAGCTTCGGTTCGACCGGAATCCAAGCCGCAGCTCTCGAGCTAGACGTTACATCGGACGAAGCCACCATTCAAGAAGCGGTTAAGGAAGCTTGGGAAGTCTTTGGGAAGATCGATGTGTTGATCAACAACGCCGGAATAAGAGGCACTGTCAAGTCGAGTTTGGATTTGTCTAAGGAAGAGTGGGACAAAGTGTTCAGTACCAACTTAACCGGACCATGGCTAGTCTCCAAACACGTCTGCGTTCTAATGCGCGACGCTAAACGCGGTGGTGGCTCGGTGATAAACATCGCATCAATCTCCGGTGTCCAGGGATATGTAATGCCTGGTGGAGTCGCCTATACTTGCTCCAAAGGCGGTGTAGACCCCATGACGAGGATGATGGCTATTGAGTTAGGTGTTTACAATATAAGAGTGAACACGATCGCACCGGGGCTTTTCAAGTCAGAGATCACACAAGGTCTTATGGAGAAAGAGTGGTTCAAGAAGGCCATCGAGCGGATTGTCCCATTGAAGATTCAGCAGACCGTGGATCCGGGGCTTACTTCTCTCGTACGCTACCTCATTCACGACTCTTCTCAGTATTTGTCGGGCAATACATACATCGTTGATTCTGGAACTACACTGCCCTGTCTGCCTATCTTTTCTTCTCTCTGAACTCCTAAATCCTGTGTGTTGTGAGCAATAATAAGGGAGAAAATTTACACATTCTCCACATACGTTTTAAGAACTACTTAATCGTGGTTGCATTACATAGATTTTTTTCTATAATTATTATTATTATTATTATTATTATTATTATTATTATTATTATTATTATCATCATCAACATTACCCGCTCTGCCTATCTTTTCTTCTCTCTGAACTCCTAAATCTTGTGTGTTTTGTGCAATAATAAGGGAGTACATTTACACGTTCTCTACATACGTTTTAAGAACTACTTAATTGTGGTTGCATTACATAGATTTTTTTTATTATTATTGTTATTAATATTATCATCATCACTTCTTTTGTTTTTTCCATCAGAACTTGTAAAAATCTAACTTCTTTTGTTTTTTCCATCAGAACTTGTAAAAATCTAATAAATTTGTTATGATCTAATAGCGCGAGGGTCTGCGTAGGATAAATGTTTGCGGCTTTGCGAAAGATAAATGTTTTTACTATAATTTACAAATTTTTCAATATAAAATAAACATTGTAATTATGTATTTTACCATAAAAATATGAAATGAGAAATAAATTTCATGAAGTCCAATGAATTTTTATACAGTTTTCGTGTTTATTATTTTTTGTACAGATAAAATATTTTTATTGAAATCAAGGTTTGAATCATAATGATAGTTTTGTTAGTGTAAGTTATATTTAAAAAAATTCACATTTTATTTTTTTTGGGATTGCAAATAATTTTTTTTTGCCGTAAAAACATTACTTGATTAAAAAATTTAAAACATTCCAAAATCAAATACTACTTATGTTATACCATCCGCTATTTTTTAAAAATAATTATTTTAAATTAATAAAAGATTAATGTCAAATTTTTCTGAAAGATTCTGTAGATTAAATTAGAAATCAAAATGTCTCACAAAATGTTTGGTAACATAGATTAAATTATTTAAGAACTAATTTAGATTAAGATATATAATGTTTGAAAATTAGTTTAGTGTATTAGTTTAAAAAGATTAAATAAAATAAAAAAGTTAGAAATTAATGTGGTGATGACACCTATGCAAAAACAGTCTCCAATATTTCCCTTTGATATATGTTAGATTTGTATAACTTTAAGTAAACAATAGTTTTTAACTACATGCTAATCTGACGTTAATTTGTCAACTTAAAACTTTGAGAATTAAATTGTATATTTACGTGATCGGCCTGCACCATGCGCAGACTATAAAACATTTGATATGTTTAATTATGATTAGTATAGTATTAAAAATACTTCATTTATATATGATTAATTATAAATTAATAATAAATTATAAAGATTTAATAATAACAAATAATAAATTAAATATAAAATTTTACAGATATCAAAAGAAAATGAAGATAAAAAATATTAACTAAGATTTTACAATATTTCCTTAGATAAAATATATATATATATATATATGATAACTAAATAAACCGGAAAATATTAAAATATGTAATAATTTATTTAATTTTTATTTTTGGCCTGCACGCATGTGCAGGTATAATTTATTTATAGACATAATTAGTTGAAATATTTAAGTATTGATTAATTTTTTTATACCTTATGTAAAAGTTATATTTTTATACATATACAAGTTTAGTGTTCAACAATTATCACACAAACGTTTTCTATCGTTTTGTGTCTTTTGAAATATTTTATTTTTTCTGGCATTTATAGTAACAGATAATTGAAAATGTAAAAGTTATATTAAATCATATTAAATTCTTATAATATATTTTGAATATTATGTTTACTATACTTTCTTTTTCTCTTCACACAATATATCTTGCCAATATATACATTTTTAAGTATTTTTTTCTTAACCTATTGATAATTAAACCAAATTGAATTTTACCATATTCACTTATCCTAAGAGCAGGTAGATGGTTGACCCGTACATTCATGCGTACCAACCACATCACCGCTCTTAAGATATATAAAGATTTTTTAAAAAAGTGTAATCGAGGTTAACAAAATGTATGCACGACAAATTTACATGCGGGTTTGACTTTTGCACAATTAATATTTATATCTACATGCAGATTTGTAAGAAAATCGAAGTATGGCTTTTCTGTGTTAAAAAAAAATAACAAAGTATATGTTTTGTAATATATATATATATATATTTATAACGTATGGTTGATTTAAAAAAAAATAATAAGTATCTTTATGCATGTAGGTATGAGTTAGAAATAAGTGAATTGTAATATTTATGTGTTAGGTAAGTTTTTCTGATGTTTTCTGCAAACGCTATGTTTTTACACGATGCAGTTATTGGCGTTTAACAATAATCACGAACATTGTTTCTATCGTTTTGTATTTAATCAAATTTTTTTATTTTTTAGAGTTTTATGATATATGGTTTGACAATAAAAATATAATAAATGTTTATTATAAAATTTGTGAAATCATATTTTATAAAATTCTTCGGTAGCTTTCAGCTCATCTTTTCGTCAATTTCTTTATAATCCGCAATCGCTCGCTTCGACAAACTCTCTGTAACTGAATCATTTAAGCCAATCGAATCTAAACTTATATGTGTATAATTTAAAGTGTAAAATAATATATTTAATATATGATTGTTATATTAAAAATTAAGAGTTGATCTGTTCCTAACTTTAATATATTTGTTAATATAAAACATAATGGATCACAACATATAAAAAACTTGATTCATGAAATAGTGTTTTAATATGTTGGAAAAATATATGCACAAAAATATTAATATGTGTAAGATAATATTTTTAAATATTTTTTAAAAAAACATAAAGCTGATCAAAATTTATTTTTTAGTCTTCTTCGACTCATACTTTTTTTTAATTTTTAATAATATATTTAACATTAAAATCATCTCAAATGTATTTTTTTATTTTTTCCTCTAAAATATAAGCGGACTTATCTCTAGCCTATTTTTATTTTACAGAAAAAGAAAGATTATTATTTTTTCCTCTATAATTAAAGGAAAAAAGTAACAATCTTTCATTTTCCTCTAAATTACAATATTTAAAATAAAGGTGGGTTTGAGATGCTTTAAATCAAAAATATATCCCGAGAATTTTAAATAAAACAGAAGTCGTAAAGATTCATTTTTACTGTTACTTCTACTTTTTATTTATATATACAGTATTATAATAAAAATGGCTAAGAGGATACTTATAGTTTAATTTTCTCTCTGTTTATTTTTTTATTTCATTTATAATTTTGAATTCTTGCTATATAATGAGAATTCATTCACATATGATATAAAAAAAATTTCTTATTTAAAAATGAGATTTATTTAGTTTTAGCTTAACCAATCAAAATATTTTGTTTATTTTAGGAAATTTACCATGTCACATTTATGAGGTGGTATTATTTTGCACTAATTTTCTTTATGTGTTGACACATAGGATTTGTTTAGTAAACATGCTTCGCAAATAATAGTTAGGATAGGGAATTAAATCATCATTTCTTATTTAGAAAAATTATGATTATTTCATAAACCATGATTATTTATAAAATACCACCAAATACTTAGAAAATAACATATATATATATATATTGTTTTTATTATATTATATTTTCTGTCTAGAAAAGTTCATTGATATTTAATCAAATTTAAAAATAGTATACATAATTTTCCAAAAACAAATTATATAAGCAGATATATGTGTCTTTAAAAAATTCAAGACTGAGGATAACAATGAGAAATTTGGGAATTGTTAATCTGATAAGAACAGAACGTTCAAAAAAATTTCTTATCCAAAATCTATTTTTAAAGTCCTAATAATTTGTTTGAAGATCAATTTCAGAACATATATTTTAGATAATTTCAAGAAAATTCTAGATATTTTGATAAAATTAGTAAAAATATGTAGAATTTGTTTTTATATATTTTGAACAGTTAATTAAGATATCCGATCCATTGCCGGTCCGATGATTTTTGATGCCTATGCAAATCTAAAAAATATATATTTTCTATATTGTATTTAACATAAAAAAACTATAGTTAAAATTAATCTTATAAAAAACCCAATTTCAAACAAGCAATTTAAATTTATAAATAATTTATAAGAAAATGAAAAAAAATTAAAAAAATAATTATCGTTGAAAAATAATCTTCTTTATATTTTTGCTTGCAAACTTACATAATAGAGTTTTTCAATCATAACTGTCTTAATTGATAATAAAGCCAACCCATTCAATATTTTTTGGGATATTGTAGATTGCAAATAATTTTAAATAAAATTTAAGTATATTAATAATAACTGTTATAAGAAAAAATTTGAAAAAATGATGCCCCTAAAACTTTTGCTGCCATAATCTTTGGCTTGTCGTGCTTACCTCATGGGCCTGCCCTGATATCTGATATTACATCTATTCTCTTCTCCTACCTATTTTAATAATATAAAGATTCTGATTGTGACTTCTTTTTAAACAGAAACTATAATAGGATGAAAAATTCACGACATGAAATCCATCATTATAGTTGGGATACTATAATATACTGAGAAAGATACATCAAAAGAAGTAAATTTGATAACAAATTCTGTAGACAAACTTTACTTCCAATTAGATCCCAATAAAACTTTGTTTCTTCTAGTATAACAACCATACCAATGGTTTTGATATTGAAAACTTAAATAGCATCACCATGATCGTATGATAGGAGAACAGTTATTAGTTGATAATATAAATTTTGCCAACGGACAAGAAAATCACCATTACTAAATATACGTATTTTTTAAATTTTATTAATAAAAACAATGAAAATTTGCCTGTAACATTAAAACTGTTAAATTTGAAATAATTTAGCGAGTGGCTTTTTTCACTTCTTCACATATAAACAATGCAGAAAATAACCAAAATTATTTTATTAATACCGTAAAATAAAATAAAAACACTTTAATTAGAAAAAGTTATTATTTATAAAGCTATCTATAGTTAATTTGATTTTTTCTAAATTTAAAATTTTTTGTATAATAATTCTCTAAAATGATCATTTAATTACTTAAATTTTTGTAATTGTGCAGATACTCAAACTTTTAATTTGGCAAATTAATTTCTCAAGTTTATGTTAACTTTGCAAAATTGGAGTAAAACATAAAGTCAACGGTAATGTATCCGTTTTCTTAGTTAAACTCTTTTTATTACTAAATTTATAAGTTAACATTCAATTAAGAATTTAATCTACACACAGGATAGTTGGAGAAATATTTTGCTGATTGCTAATACTTGAGGAATCAAATGAGCAATTTCCCATATTACAATAGATTTACAAACTTGGGTTCGACTGATATATCAACTGAATAGCAAAATAAGTAAATAGCTAAATTGTAAAACAGTGATGTCAATAGGATGAAAAAACTTAAAACTGAATCAAATAGCATAATCAATATGATGAAAAAACTGAAAACTGAATAAATTTAAAATACTTAAAAACTACTATTTATTAGATGAATAGTTTTTTATCTATACTACAAATTATAATATTAAAACGTACGAGATAGATTCAAAATATAAGTTGTTAATTTTCATTTTTATCATGAAAACGTGAATAGCCTACATATCATTCAAACTTTTTAATATTTTTTTCAAAATATTTATATTATTATCATCAACCCTATTAGTTTTTTTCATTATTTGAACTATTTTTATACAACCGTATTTGTCGGCTTCATTTTGGTGATACTTTTCCTCACATGGTTCATAGTAATCAAAACGGAAGCACTGTTCTTCCTCTCTTGCTTGCGGTAAGTCTTCCGTCGGCAATCTCATTCACGGCTTTTCTATCTAAACTGTATAATCTGTCTCTTTCTCCACCACAGACTCCCAGAGAGGAACAATATGTGCACTCATCAAACTGTGAGATACCATTTCTCTCCAAACTACTGTGATTATATATATATATATATATATATATCTTTAAGTTGACTTCTGTTATCTTTTTCATCATATGATCCATGGACTTTTTCAATATATATGTTCCTGTCCTTTAAATCTGAATTTACTTTTGACTTTCTTGGTCCTTACCGGAGAGAAGCAGGTGTTGAAGCAACTTGAGCCATGGTGTGAGCTTAAAGACAAAGTGGTTCTTGTGACAGGAGCTTCCTCTGGTATAGGAAAAGAGATCTGTCTTGATTTGGGCAAAGCTGGCTGCAAGATTATCGCAGCAGCTCGTCGTGTCGATCGCATCAACTCTCTCTGCTCTGAAATCAACAGCTTCGTTTCGACCGGAATCCAAGCGGCGGCTCTCGAGCTAGACGTTACATCGGACGCAGCCACCATTCAAAAAGCGGCTAAGGAAGCTTGAGAAGTCTTCGGGAAGATCGACGCTTTGATCAACAATGCTGGAGTCACAGGCAATGTCAAGTCGAGTTTGGATTTGTCTAAGGAAGAGTGGGACAAAGTGTTCAGTACCAACTTAACCGGACCATGGCTAGTCTCCAAACACGTCTGCGTTTTTATGCGCGACGCTAAACGCGGTGGCTCGGTGATAAACATCTCATCAATCTCCGGGCTCTGCCGCTGTTTAGTGCCAGGTTTAATCGCTTATGCTTGTTCCAAAGGCGGCGTAGATACCATGACGAGGATGATGGCTATTGAGTTAGGTGTTTACAATATAAGAGTGAACACGATCGCACCGGGGCTTTTCAAGTCGGAGATCACACAAGATCTTATGCAGAAAGAGTGGCTCAAGAAGGCCATCGAGCGGATTGTCCCATTAAAGATTCAGCAGACCGTTGATCCAGGGCTTACCTCTCTCGTACGCTACCTCATTCACGAATCTTCTCAATATGTCTCCGGCAATACATACATTGTTGATTCCGGAAGTACATTGCCCGGTGTGCCTATCTTTTCTTCTCTTTGAAGTCTAAATCTTGCATGTGTGCAATAATAAGAGAACAATTTTTATCAAAAAAATAATAAGAGAACAAAATATTTTTTTTGTTTTGAATAATTTTTCCTCTGAAAGAAAATTTTCATTTTTTGTTGATGCAAAAAGCGGCACAACCAAAGATTTGTAAATCGAAGAAACAATGGGAATTGTGTTTGTCTATTGAGCAACAAACAAAAATCGAGTGCTTTCATAGTCTTCTACTCTTTTGCCCTAAGTCAAACCTTCTGTCTCATAGAGTGTCTTTGATACATTGGCCAAATTGGATCATATAGATCTCCTTGAAATTTGCAACTGTCTAGGTTGTCGTGCCTGAGAACGTTTTGTATTAACTTCCTTCTTTATCATATTCACAATCTTTAGCTTTTTTTTCTGTTACATTTCAAATGATTTGAAACAATTTTTTTTTTCAAAATATTTGTATCAATCATCAGCCCTATTACTATTGTTTATATTATTTGAATTGTTATTATAGAACCGTATTTGTGATCCGCTTCATTTTGGATGTGTAATACTATAGTTTAGGGATTATACATTTCACTTTCTGATGCCAAAGAATCATGCTCTTCTACTTATAACACCAAAAAAACTATAGACTCATCTGGAAATATCAATTATATAATTCTTAGTGTTTCCTAGTGCTCTTCACGATGCATGGGCGATAATTTTTATCAACGGCTGATCAATCAAAACGACAAAATCCAAAATATATCATGTATTTTCTAATTATCTCTCAACCTTTTTGAAAATCTGAGAACGGGAAAGATCTTAATTACACTAATCCTAAATTTTTTTGGAAAGTTGGGTATTCCAAAGACCTTAATACAGGGGCGGATCCAGAACCATAATTTGTATGTGGCACAATATATATATTATTTATATAATCTGATTTAGAAATTGGAGTATTATATGTTTATTATAAATATATATTATGCATACAAAAAATATTTTTAATTTGTTAAATACAAAATAATAAAACTGAAATTCAAAATTAATATTAATGTAAGAAGTCTAAAAACAAATAAACGAAAATTTATGACAAATGTAGTAAATTATTTGATGAAACGAATTAAAGAGAAATAATTAAAATTAAAATACAAGATAAAATAAATAAATATATCAGTAGAAAAGAAAATAAATTAGATTATACTATTATAGGATGTGTGATTAAAAAAATGAAAAACAAACAAAAAATGAGAGAGAATTTTGGTGGAGAGTGGAAATATGTGAAATTAATAACAAAATTAACCAAACAGTATATTAATTTAGTTTAGTGAAATAGTGATATAATAAGACATTTGTGAAGTGAGTATGGGGCACGTGCCCCAACCTCTAACAAATAGATCCGCCCCTGCCTTAATATATAATTTCCCAACTTTGACTAAAAGCAATATGATTATTGAAAGTGATCATGGTCCAGAAGTAAATGCAATGTTGGGTGTAACGCAATAATATATGATTGAGATCTGCAGAAGAGAATAATATCCACTCTGTATAAGTATAAAACGAATGATGGGCACATTCTGGCATCCCTCAACTTCTCTTTTCTGCTGGATAAATAAATATATATTTTTTTTCAGGTTTATAATTCCTCTTTTCAACATGCTGTGTTTGTTTGATCGATTTTGTAAATATAATATGTTTCCGATATTATATGCCTTTTTACTAAAAAGTCAAGTAGGTTAATGGAAAAAAGTTTGTAAAAAAGTTTAAACTTGATTCTCTACAATTAATTTTCTGTACCAAAATCTGTCAAATTCTCTTCTGAAATGTGTATTATAACTTATGTAATAATTTTTGTTTTATAAGTTTTTTATACTTTGTAATCTGGATTTGACATAAAAATTTCTTCTAAAAACGTGTCATGATAACTAGTATATAATAAAAAAATTACCCAAATGATTTTTTTAATTAAAAAATATGTTAAAAGTTGAAACATCGTGTATCTAAAAACACACAGAAAGAAAGTGTAAAGTAATTAATACCAAAAAAAAAGTGTGAAGTGATAAAGGATTTTAAAATTTAGTTTAAACTTTAAATACCTTTTTTCTTAATAAAGGCTATATATAGCTTACACATAGCTAAGTATGTTTAATTCATGATTTTTCCCTCCATTATGCATTCACATACAATGATTTTAAGTTTATCTTTGATTTCTCTACATTTATTCTAGATAATAAATTTATAGAGATTTTCTTAAGAAAAAAAAAAATTTGTAAAAGTTCTCAACTTATTTACATATACCATTTCTTTGTGCATATCTTATTAACTATTTTTTTCACTCTTATTTTAAGTTTATCTTTGATTTCTCTACATTTATTCTTCTAGGTAATAAATTTATAGAGATTTTCTTTAGCATAAAAATAATAAATTTGTAAAGGTTCTCAACTTATTTACATATACCACCATTTCTTTGTGCATATCTTCTTAACTATTTTTTTCACTCCTAATTTCTTTCACTTTTTTCTTAATTTTTTGTATAGTGTGTATAATCTGTATATATTAATAGAATAAAGAAAATTTGCAAGAAAGATAATAATTATGGTGGGATATCCCAAAACTATATAATTAATTTGCTTTGACAGCACAAAAACAATAATTAATTAAATTAAATTAAACAGTTGACGGAAAAAAATTATTAATTTAAAAACACAAATTCTCTTATGAAATGTGTATTAACTTATATAATAATTTTTGTTTTATAACTTTTTATATTTTGTAATCTGGATTTGATATAAAAAGTTTCTACTAAAAACGTGTCATGATAACTAGTATATTATAAAAAAATACCCAAATAATTTTCTTAAATAAATAAAAAATATTTTAAAATTTGAAACATCATACAGAAAGAAAGTGTGTGGTAATAAATGATTTTAAAATTTAGTTTATATACTTTTTTTTCTTAATAAAGTGTTACTATACATAGCTAACTATGTTTAATTCTTGATTTTTTTTCCCCTACATTATGCATTTACATAGTATTATTTTAAGTTTATCTTTGATTTCTCTAACATTTATTCTTCTAGATAATAAATTCATAGAGATTTTCTTTAGCATAAAAATAATAAATTTGTAAAGGTTCTCAACTTATTTACATATACCATTTCTTTGTGCATATCTTCTTAACTATATTTTTTCACTCCTATTTTCTTTCACTTTTTTTCCTAATTTTTATATAGTGTGTATACATAAGAATCTTTATATATTAATAGAATAAAGAGGATTTGTAAAAAAAATAATAATTATGGTGGGATATCCCAATAGTTTCCCAAAACTATATAATTAATTTGTTTTGACAGCGCAAAAACAATCATTAATTAAATTAAATTAAACAGTTGACGGAAAAAAAAATTATTAATTTAAAAGCACAACATTTCCTTGTCTACACGATCAAAAAGCTCACAAAGATAAGTTTGAGAGGAGAAGTAGAGAAAACCATCTCTGAGATTTCACAGAAGAATACAAAACTCGTCGGAGAAGTCAGTACCCGCCGGAAAAGAAGAAGATGTCGTGGCAATCATACGTCGATGACCACCTTATGTGCGACGTCGAAGGCAACCACCTCACAGCCGCCGCAATTCTCGGTCAAGACGGCAGTGTCTGGGCACAGAGCACCAATTTTCCTCAGGTTTTTTTCTTCTTCTTCTCAATCCCCTCCTTTCTTCTTTTCTCTGATCCGGAATCGATCGGATTCGGCCGTCTGATATTGCGATTTTCCGTGATCCGATCTGAGGAATCTCGGATCTGATTTCGATTTCACCATCTCCTGAATCTGATTTTCGATTTCACCATCTCCGGAATCTGATTTTCGATCTCTCAGGAAATTCGATCTGCGTTTCTTAAATCAATCGATGCGTATACGAAATCGGATTCAACCCAGGGCTTCTAGGTCTTTAGTTGTGATTCTGCGATTTCATCTGCATCAGTAGTTTATACTATAGTAGCTTCCATGTATTTGTAAACTCATACGCATGTGTGAGCAAATACAAATGAAAATGAAAATTTTCCCTCAAATCCATAGATTCGAGATCATGTTAGATTTGTATGGTCTTAGCATCACTGCTTAACAATTGTTTCCCAGATAATCTCTGAAGAATTGTTCTATATAATGTGTTCGATCTAATTGCGTTATCGACTTTTGTGTTCTTGATATGTGTTTGTGTAGTTGAAGGATCAAGAAATCGCCGGAATCAAGAAGGACTTCGAGGAGCCCGGGACTCTTGCCCCAACCGGACTATTTCTCGGTGGCGCGAAGTACATGGTGATTCAAGGTGAACCAGGAGCTGTGATCCGAGGGAAGAAGGTAAAGCTTCTTTTAGATCAAACATCAGAAGATGATTCTAGTTCTATCAAGAAAACAAGAGTTGAGATTTTGATACAAATATGTGAATCTGCAGGGACCTGGAGGCGTGACGATCAAGAAGACGACGCAAGCTTTGGTCATTGGCATCTACGAGGAGCCGATGACCGGAGGTCAATGCAATTTGGTTGTGGAAAGGCTCGGGGATTACCTCATCGAGTCTGATCTCTGAAACTGGTGATTTCATTCTATTGTGATTTGATTGTTGTAATGCTTTTCAAACGCAATCAAATTTGATGATACTTTCGAACCAATCTTGTTGTTTTGGTCTTCCTTTACCGGGTTTGGGTTTGTGTTGTCTTTGTAATGGCATTTGATAATCTTTTTTTCTTTTCTCTCTTTTCATATGTATTTTGAGTTTTTGGATTTTTATTTCTTAATAATCTTTTATTTTACTTGATTGGATCTGCTGTTTTAGTATCTGTGTGATTTGAAACAATTTTGGCCTGGCAAACAAATACAAGTTTTTGCTATACCAGTAAACCAAACCGGGAATATCTGTAAAACCGAGGTTAAGCCAAATTTAATAAATTTCGTAAAAGTATAAAATCAGAGTTTACCATTTTTTCATAAAAGTTTACAAGATTCCAGTTCAATGTTTGAATTTGGAATTCAACAATAATGTAATTTACTTATTTATTCGAAACGTAATTTGCATAAGAATTGGAATACATGTTTAAATTTTCTATTTCTCTAATGTGGATAATTACTAGTTCATCTATTTCCTTTTTTGTGTAAATTACCTTTTCCTAATTTGGTTTAGCGAGTCTTAGCCATCTATAAATACCCGACCTTATGATCAGAGACAATACAACTTTGATATTCCATCAAGAAACACGTTTCTTCTCTCTCAAGCAAAGAAAAAAAAACCTATTATCCGCTTCGTAAACTCAAGAAACACGATGGCAAACGCAGAGACTTTTGCTTTCCAGGCCGAGATCAACCAGTTGCTCTCCCTCATCATCAACACGTTCTACAGCAACAAGGAGATCTTCCTTCGTGAACTCATCAGCAACTCATCGGATGCCTTGGACAAGATTAGGTTCGAGTCCTTGACCGACAAGAGCAAGCTCGATGGTCAGCCAGAGCTTTTCATTCATGTCATCCCCGACAAGAGTAACAACACCTTGACCATCATCGACAGTGGTGTCGGGATGACCAAGGCTGATCTGGTCAACAACCTCGGAACGATAGCAAGATCCGGTACCAAAGAGTTCATGGAGGCGTTAGCTGCAGGAGCTGATGTTAGCATGATCGGACAGTTTGGTGTTGGTTTCTACTCTGCTTACTTGGTTGCTGATAAGGTTATTGTCACCACCAAGCACAACGACGATGAGCAGTACGTGTGGGAGTCTCAGGCCGGTGGATCTTTCACCGTGACGAGAGACAACTCTGGTGAGAGTCTTGGCAGGGGAACGAAGATGACACTTTACCTCAAGGAAGACCAACTGGAGTATCTCGAGGAGAGGAGGCTTAAGGATTTGGTCAAGAAACACTCTGAGTTCATCAGCTACCCAATCTCTCTGTGGGTTGAGAAGACCATTGAGAAGGAGATTTCTGACGATGAGGAGGAAGAGAAGAAGGGTGGGGAAGGGGAGGTTGAGGAGATAGATGATGAGAAGGAGAAGGAGAAGGAGAAGAAGAAGAAGATTAAGGAGGTTTCTCATGAATGGGATTTGGTGAACAAGCAGAAACCTATTTGGATGAGGAAGCCAGAGGAAATCAACAAGGAGGAGTACTCTGCTTTCTACAAGAGTCTGAGCAATGATTGGGAAGAGTATTTGGCTGCGAAGCACTTTTCCGTTGAAGGACAGCTTGAGTTCAAAGCTGTCCTCTTTGTTCCCAAGAGAGCTCCTTTTGATCTCTTTGACACTAAGAAGAAGCCAAACAACATCAAGCTCTATGTCCGTCGTGTCTTCATCATGGACAACTGTCAAGATCTCATTCCTGATTACCTCGGGTTCGTCAGAGGAATCGTCGACTCGGAAGATCTCCCTCTCAACATCTCAAGAGAGACGTTGCAGCAGAACAAGATCCTCAAAGTCATCCGCAAGAACCTTGTCAAGAAGTGCCTCGAGCTCTTTTTTGAGATTGCTGAGAACAAGGAGGACTACAACAAGTTCTACGAGGCCTTCTCTAAGAACCTCAAGCTCGGTATCCACGAGGACTCTCAAAACAGGACCAAGATCGCTGAGCTGCTCCGTTACAACTCGACCAAGAGCAGCGATGAGCTGACCAGCCTCAAGGACTACGTGACAAGGATGAAGGAAGGTCAGAGCGATATCTACTACATCACCGGCGAGAGCAGGAAGGCTGTTGAGAACTCTCCGTTCCTTGAGAAGCTCAAGAAGAAAGGGTACGAAGTTCTTTACATGGTTGATGCAATCGATGAGTACGCCATTGGTCAGCTCAAGGAGTTTGAAGGAAAGAAACTCGTCTCTGCAACTAAAGAAGGTCTGAAACTGGAAGAGACTGAAGACGAGAAGAAGAAGAAGGAAGAGCTAAAGGAGAAGTTTGAAGGGCTATGCAAAGTCATCAAGGAAGTGTTGGGAGAGAAAGTCGAGAAAGTGATTGTCTCTGACCGTGTCGTGGACTCACCATGCTGTCTTGTCACCGGAGAATATGGCTGGACGGCAAACATGGAGAGGATCATGAAGGCTCAAGCTTTGAGAGATAGCAACGTGGGTGGTTACATGTCGAGCAAGAAGACGATGGAGATTAATCCAGAGAACTCGATCATGGAGGAGCTGAGAAAAAGAGCTGAAGCTGACAAGAATGATAAGTCTGTCAAGGATCTTGTTCTTCTTCTCTTTGAGACTGCTCTTCTCACTTCAGGTTTCAGCCTCGATGAGCCCAACACTTTTGGAAGCAGAATCCATAGGATGTTGAAGCTTGGATTGAGCATTGATGATGATGTTGATGTCGTTGAAGCTGATGCAGAGATGCCTCCCCTTGAACATGATGGTGAAGATAGCAAGATGGAAGAGGTTGATTAAAAATTGCACAAGATTACAACAGTTTCTTTTTATTATTTCGTTTGAATTGAGATTACTTTTTACGTTATTAGATTTTATCAGAACTCTGCTTTTTATCATTGAAGATGATGAATATTTTGTTTCTGTTTCAAATCTTAATCAATCGAGAAGTTAACAGAAACACTGGCTCAAAGCCTCAAACATCCATTGACTTGTAGATAAACAAAAATATCCGATATTCATAAGTTTCTACAATCAAAAACATCGAAATGAGTTTGCTTCTCTCTACTTCTCTGACGAGTTTGGTCCTCTCTTCTTCCCGAAACCAACAACTGAAGAACAACACAAACAAAACAAAAATGAGAATTAAATGATCACATGTGTGTTTAGTATGAGAAACAATAGTCAGAATCTAATCTTAAGACTGGATTAAACCATTTCTAAGAAACTTCATATATGAACTAGACTCGGTGAAGACGTGTATAAAACAAATGAATGTTCATGTAGCATAACTAGCTTCTAAAAGTTGAAAATGGCACCAGATTAACAAACAAATACAGAATCAGAATTGTCTCAAGAAATGATCCTACAATCTTAAGATGAACAAATGAGAATCCAAAATGCTAATTGCTTGGAATAGGTAATGGAAATGTATAATCAGATAAGTGTTAATCATCAGAAACTAATATATGCATCTAATCTTACGATTGGACTGAGCCAGACACTGAAATAGAAATGACTATACACAGAATCATACAATCTTAAGAAGGATCTACAAAACACTAATTCAAATTCAGAGAGCGATCTAAGGCTAACAAAAAAATGGTACAGAAGAACTATCAAATTCACTGATCTAAGAATCCTATGTTGTTGGTAATTTCAAAAGTAAAACTAATTACCGGCGGTGACGAATCGGCGGTTGTGCTGCATCCGCTTGTGAGCACGGCCACGGGGCTTCTTCTTCTTGTCCTGCTTAGCCACTTTTGGTGTCTGACCTCTCACCTTACCGGCACGAGCCAATGAACCGTGCACCTTCCCTGCGATTGATTACGAGCATTCAAGGACAAATATAAGCAACATTGTCGCCGGAAATTCCAGGATATTTCGAAAATCGACAAAGAAGAAGAGAATCACCCATTGTTGTTGATTACAGAGAATCCTTGTGGCTTCTGCTCTTGCTGTTGGAGGCGACGACACTCTTTCTAGGGTTAGAAATTTTACCGTCGTTTATATCTTATTGGTCGTTAAAGATCCTATTGGGTTTCAAATGGGCTTTATAAATTCCAATTGTGTGTGTCCAAACACCAAAACCAATGTCGTTCCAAAATTATAGGTTTTCAAACCCGAACCGGATCGGCCGGTTTCAACCGGAAATTCTTGTTGTCGAACCATTAATTGAACCGGTATATCGATTCGAATCTCAAAATTGGGAGAACAAGTTCATAATTAAAATTCAAGTATTTTACATCTACGTGTTATATATATAACATGTCCTTTTTCGTTTTGATGATCTTTACCTTCTCTAGAAGCTCTTTTTTTCAATTCTTTACATTCTCATCAATTTGTTACTCTAGATTTATGCATTTTTTTCAATTAGTATATAGAGTTGACGAGGAAGAAGATAAAGAACTCGTAGCTGTTGTATCTAGAACTTAAAACATAAAGAAATAAATTACCAAAACTGGCAAGTTACCAAAACAAGCAAAGTTGTTTTCCTTCTCTTTCCGTCTTTCACATCTAAAGGTTTAACAAAAAAAAGCTGCAACAATATTTTTAAAGATAAAGGATGGATTTGTGTGAATACATCACCCATATTTTTTTGTTCACTCGTCTTCTTCGATAACCTTGGTGCCCAAACCAGACAACCCTTCAGCAGGAATCTCAGCGACGGTGACGAGAGAGTAGAACTCTTCCTTGGCATCTTCATCATCGTTCCTCTTACGGGCGACGCGGACTCTGATTCTCCTGGGAGGACCTCTGATTCCTCTGCTCCATATCTGCTTGTTGAGCTTCACATCCACTCTTACGTCCTTCGTTCCCATTGCCTTCAATGCAAACTTCCTGATCTCCTTTATGGCCTTGGGTGCCTTCTTCTTGAAGGTACTGTGTACATTAATCAAAATTGACGACTAAGTATTTCTATAACCGCAAGATCAATCACGAGAACAAGAAGCTTGCATTAGCGTCAAAAGAAGCTGATATCTACTAATTAACGAAAGATACATTGCGAAATGAAAGATCAAAAGCATAGAGGTGATGTTAATGATCATTACTAATCTAAATACTTATCTTCTTCTTATTCTACAAACAGTAGATGTTAAAATCTTTCACAAACATTCATAACTTTTGATTCGGAAGTGATGAAATGGTTCTGTAGTTCAGTGAATCAAAATTGTTTAGCTAAAATGTAAATGAACTCATAGATAAACATGAAATGTTATCTTTTTAGCATCAGACAGAACCTAAGAAGCCATTATTTAATTTGAGTAAGCTACAAACTCAACAGAGAGCAAAAGCTTTGTTTGATTCGAGTAAGCTACAAGCTCTTCACTCATTCAAGAAACCCTAATTCGTATCACAGGAATTGGAAGTTGAGTCTAATCATTATCAAACTAACCTAGAACAAAAGGGCATTATGGTTTCACCAACAATTCGCAACGAGAGATTGAAATAAGAAGAAGAAGAAGAGCTTTGAGACTTTTTTTTTAAGCTTACCAGCTATGAAGGCGCCTGTGGAGATTGATAGTGTACTCCCTGGTGACGATCTCCTCCTTTCTTCCCTTTCCTTTCTCCATTTTCGTCGATCTGTGTCTCTCTCTTTCTCTTCAGAATGGAGTTGGAGACGGCACAGGCAGAGAGAAAAGTAAAGACAGGTCAGAAAACCCTAATGTAAAGCTTCTCGTAAATTTTAATTTGGGCCTAATGGGCTTTTGGGATACTAAGTCCACGATATGGTAAGATAGTCCAGCCTCATTTTGTTCTTGTAATGTTTTGGAAACATATTATTTTCACTGTGCTTTCATATTATCATTACAAACTTCGTATATTGATGCTGCGCAGATAATACCACAAGTAAAGATACGATTAGGCTTTGTGCTTTCGAATTTGTTTTCCTTTTTAATAAGTATTTTTGGTCATTATTAATTTGAATCTAGATTTCACATGTTCATTACAAAATCACACAGTATATAACTAAGATTTGTCTTTCACGGTATTCGTTTGAGAAGAAGAATCGAGGTTTAATCAAGTTCTTGATTTGATAAAAAGATCCATCAAAATGCACACAAGAAACATAAAAATGAACATAATAATAAGAAAAACTTGTAACTCCATTCGAAAAGGATAATGAAAAGGAGCAATAGCGTCAACACAAGAACTTAATAAACCTGTTCAGCAAAATCTTTTACTTCAAAAAAAACATAATCTTAAAAAAAAAGCTTAAGCTTGTCGGTTTCTTTGCTTGGCACCGGACTTGGCAACCCTAAGGCTTTTGCTGATGACACTGAGTCTAGCAAGAGCAGCTTTCTTCAAGTCTGGCCTGTAGTAGTTGTCAACCACCTGAAACCAATTTGTCCCAAGATTTTAGGTCAATGCCAAAACATTATAACATCTATTTATCATGCCATTGTGCCATAGATTTATACAAGAACACTATAAGCAAAACAAAGCATAGATACGTGGTAAAGAGTTTTGAGTCATACCTGGTTAGCAACAGCCTTGGACATCCTGGGGAATTCCTTCTTCAGGACAGACTTGTTGACAGAGACCTTAGGCTTGTTCTGCTTCTTGGTCTTGGTGGTGGAGAGGACAACAGCTTGTTCCTTGTCAGCTTGCTGGATCGACACAGTCTTCTTGTTTGAAAGACCTGAAAACACATTGAAAGGGCGAAACGTTAGTATAGTTCAAGCAGAAAATTCAAATTTAGCAATAGAGAATCCAGACACACAGAAAGTTCAAGTTTTTCAATTTCATTCTATTATAACTGGCAACGTTAGCAGTTATACAAACTTACAAAGTAATCACATTTCATGTTAACCTTTCGATTAATGGAATCGAAACCAAAACACATGCAAATTTAAGAAGAATCAAACTCATGCAGCCAATTTCGTACTTAAACTACAGAGGAAACCCAGACACAAATCTAGACAACTCATACGATAATTAAAAAACAATCTTTCTCAATGGATCTACAATTAAACAGAGATACAAAGTAACCACATTTCCCAGTAAAAATGATCCAGACACATTCACATACGAGAGAGTTCTTAAACTCAACTAAAGCAGAATCTGATTTCAACCATTAATTCCTTCATTTGAGACACATCTATACGCACAAAACCATCATAATTTCTTATAAACTCTCAAATTCAATCGAATCAATCAACAAGAAAATGAATCTAGTGAACAAGATCAAAAAAAAAAGTGTAAACTTACCAGAGTGCTTGTAGGAGTGAACGTTGCAGAGATTGTTGCTCTCTTTGCTGAATTGAACCTTAGCGTTGCCTCTTCCGAACTGTTTCACCAAGAAACAGTTGTTGTTCTTAACGATCTCCCAGATCAATTGTCCTGGAACTGTCGCCATTTCGAAACCTAATTACACCAAAACGAATCAATAAACGAAGAACGTATCGATCTATGGACTAAAGACTGCGCCGAATCAGAAGATCTATCAAATCGGAACCCTAAGGAAACTGAAACGGGAAAGGACTAGAAAACGAGAACGATTGAATGGATATGTGAGAGAAGATCTAAGCTCACCGTGAAATTTCGCAGAGAGAGATAGAGAGAAAGCGAGACTCGGTTTTAATGGTGGCGCCGGAGCCTTGCTTTATGAAGATCGAGCTATTTATATATGACCACTGAAAAATAAAACCCTAGTTCATGTTACTGTGAAGGAAATATTAATATTTTAAAATAAATAAAAGTTACTGGTAAAGTCTAAATTACCCCTAAATAACGCTAAAATTATCGAGAATACTTTCAATTCGAAGGACGTTGAGGAAAAAAAATGAAATTGAAAACCATTTGCTCAGTTGTTCTATGAAGGGTTTTAGATTCTTTGATTCTACTATAGAAATCGGAATTTCGATCTGAGAGAGAGAGAAATGGGGAGGAGGATATTGAACGACGCATTGAGAACGATCGTGAATGCGGAGAAGCGAGGGAAAGCTTCGGTGGAGTTGAAGCCTGTCTCCACCGTAATGTCTTCGTTCCTGAAAATCATGAAGGAGAAAGGTGACATTTTTCGTTCTGCTTTTGTAGATTCTTTCTTCTGGGTCAATTGGGTCTTGATTGATTTCCCCAAATTCCCATCTACTTGCTTAGATTCACCAGATTCGTCGACAATGTTAGTTGTTGAGCTGACCCTTAACCGTATAGCTCAAGCATATCCATGTGTAATCTCTTAATGTAGAAGACTAGTAACATCGTCCAAAAGTTAGCTTTTGTTCTTGGTTTAATTTACGCTTTGTTTTGATTTGGGTGTGTGTGTACTTATCGTAACTTGACTTCTAAGAAGTTTTTTTTTGAAAGTTTAGTTTGTGGTGTCATTGATAGCACTTATATGCTCAAATCTGTATCTCTGATATCTATATTGCTTGTTGCTGAGCTGACCCTAAACCGTATAGCTCAAGCATTGCCATGTGTGATCTCTCTCAATGTAGAAGATTAGTAACATCCTCCAAAAGTTAGCTTTTGTTCTTGGTTGAAACTGAAGTTGCAGACGAGTGAAAGTTTCGTTTTTTTTAACTCTTATGGGTGATTCACATCTTGATCCAATGCTCCTTTTCAGAATTGGTTGTTGTTTCTCTATTACTGTACTTTACATAATGTATGCTTATGTGTACAGGTTACATAAAGAACTATCAAGTCTATGATCCACATAGAGTTGGAAGAATAACTGTTGATCTACAAGGAAGGGTTAATGATTGCAAAGCTCTCACTTATAGGCAAGACGTCAAGGCAAAAGAGATTGGGCAGTACACAGAACGCACACTTCCAACACGCCAGGTTTTGTCCTCTCGAATCCGACTATGCTGCAGCTAATAGTAGCAGCAACTTATAACCTTGTCTTAATTGTTATATATGCAGTGGGGCTATGTCGTTATGACAACTCCTGATGGCATTTTGGACCATGAAGAAGCTATCAAAAGGAATGTGGGTGGTCAGGTTCTTGGTTTCTTCTACTGAATTGTTGGATATCGCAGAGATGTTCAAAACTTGAGAGAAACATGTCATTTGTCTTAGCTTTTTTCGACATTGTATGTTTAATTCTTGCACTGTACTTTGAGCAAAATGGCAATTAGTAAGAACAAACTTTATTTCTATTGTATCAACATTTCAAATGTTATTATAAAATCTTTAGCTTCACAAATACTGGTTTCTATTCTGTTGATCAAACCCAAATATATAATAGACAAAAGGGAAAAAGAACAAGCAGAACTATTCACACCACTGCCTCAATCTGTAAAAATGTGTAAGAGTATCAAATTTAATCAGAGGAAAGAATGAGTGGGCACTGATCTCTGTGACAAAGAATAAATGTATGAACAGACAGAGGGTGAGTAGATTCAGCGGCGATTAGGAGCACGAAGAGCCCCAAGCCTTGCAAAGACATCGTCATAATCCGGGAGGTTGGGATGAACATGACTGGCTCTCTCCCTTGACGGGGTTTCTGGATCGGGTGATTTTACAGGTCTCGAAGTTACTGTCTCGTGCCTTGGAGATGGCTGATCACGAGACTCTTTGTCGGTTTTCGTTGCTGTCACTGGGAACGAGCGCTTCTCATGAGCTTTCACTTGTCCCTTTGTCCTTAGGGAGACCCCGGTTGTTTTAGTTGGCGTGGCACTGACTCGTGCAATGTCTCTTTCGACTTCGTCCTCATCATCTTCATACGAGGATGAAGCTGGGGCCTTGAAGTTTGGCCTATTGTGATCTCTCATCCCCGTTGTTGGCTTACCAGTTCTCACTTGACTTCTGACAGAAGCTCGTTTTGGAAGTTCTTCCTCTGAGTCATCATGGCTGACATGGGAATGGCGATATGAGGATCGGTGTTTTGTTTCTGTTCTTCTTCCTCGAAGTTGGATCTCTGAGTCATCGTCGTCATCACTAGAAGAAGATGGATGTGGTGGCGTAGAGCTTGGTCTTTTCTCGATGTTGCTTGCTTTCTTAGTGTAGATATCTTTTCTGCTACTGCTAGAGGTAGACATCGACCGAACAACATCATCTGTTCCATTATGTTCTCTCGCCAGACCTATTCTGTATGGTGGGAGTGTCTTTTTGTTCCTAAACCCACCGACCAAAGGTCTAAAATTCAGACCAGTCTGAGACTCTGCCTCAGAATCTGACTCTTCCCGTGTCCTTGAATCATCTTTGTGTTCTTCTGTGTCTACAGTGAAGAGTTCATGTCCCACGGCATCAGAGACTTGAAACTTCTGAGATCGATCAGATGTCAGATTCACCCTTTCGTCTAAACCTCCAGAAACTTTACCTCTGTGTCTAGGCTGATCATCATCGCTTTCTGAATTTGGACCATCATAATTGTCAAACTTCGCATGTGGGTCGGGCTCATGGTATGAAGAAGGAGGACTCGTAGAGACATCATCAAATAATGGAGAATTTGGACTCTCTTGGAAGACTTGTAAGCTTGAGCTGTGATTTACATGAGAGTTACTATGGTCTCCTTTGAAGCTCCAAGAAGCAGCTGGTGTTGGTGCAAAAGTAGGCGTTTTGCTGCCAAGCAATGAAAATCCCACACCATGATCATCATATTCATCTTCCGCATCGAACTTTGGTTTATCGAAAAAGGAGCCATAATCATCAAAAGTATCAGCAGCTGCAGCATCATCATGTCCATGACCATGGGAATCAGTATGTTTAAAGCTGCTCTGAGATTGGTGATCATATTCAGTGGCAAAAATGTTTTCCTCCACGACGCTCGGTGACTTCATATAATCTGAGCCAATGACATTCTCATCAGAATAATTGCTCGAATGTGAATGCGATGAAGCCCTGCTTGACTGCTTCCTAAGGTGAACATCTTCCGAGTAACCAACATTCAAATCCCTCTCATCCTCGCTTGGCTGCTTCTCCCTAACTGTTTTACCAAAGGAACCGCTCTTTCTCGAGTTCTCTAGTGAATGTCTTTCTGATAGCTGATCCACAGGAGGAATCTCAGATTCTTTTGCCCTACCATAACTATCTTGTCGAGTTCTGTGTTGCATCCTAACATTACCTCTTGGCGAAGAATTATCTTCAGAAGAACTTTCACTTTGTACATTCGATCTGTTACGTCTATGTGAAGGCTCGTTTCTGAAATTAACCGATGCAGAGGATACATGCGACTCTGATGAATTCTGCCTCGTCATCCTTTCTTTGCTGGAAAGTTCAGCAGCTGCTCTAGCAGCAAAACTTGCTCTTTCAGCGGCTTCAGCAGCCGCACGTGCAGCATCCGTAGAATCAGCAAACTCTGTTTCCCACCTATGGTTACTTCTCGAAGATGTATTCTCATTGCCATGATTTGGATTTCTACATTCCCCTTCATCAGCTCTAGACCCTGTTCAAACAAAACAAAACCTTCGTTGAATGATTCAATCAAAGAAACAAAAAACAGAAACAGCAAAAGGAAAACCGCTTACGAGAAGGTCTTGCATTTGGGTGATGATAGTCTTCAACCTTCCCGGAACTAACAACGTTGCTACGGCTTGAAGATCTTCCATCGCTTGTATGATAAGAGCTCTCTGGGGAATGATGTCTTTCACTTGATCCATGTTGAACATTAACAGTAGATGGAGCTTGGACGTTTGGAGGCTGTTCCTTGTTCATACTACTCGCTGACTGAAACGAGCTTGCTCCACTCTAAAACACAAGACACGTAAGAGATTATGGTTAGTGTTATAGCAGATAGATATAGAACATCCGATGCCTTTACACGAACATGTTACTACTACTTACCAACACCTGGTCTTTCGGATCCGGTTCAACAAAAGATTGTGCCTCCCATACGACATTGTGCTCCGCAGCTATTTCCATCAAAATCTTGACCTTTGTTGGACCATCCGGGGGTTTAGCCGACAATTTCTCCACCAACTAGAAAGATAACCATCATAATCAAGAACGGTTCTTGATACCAAAATCACAAAAAGGAGCAGATGCAAAATCACTTACCAGGCGACTCACACCAGAATCTGGACGCAACTCAATAGCAGAAGTAGCAAAGTCCTTTCCGTACTTGGTTGTGAATTGCTTAACGATTTCTGAGAGCTCAGGGACATCGGATAGCCTCTGGGAAGCAAATAACACACTCGTGACCGCTTCTTTCAGATCAATGGGGCAGTGTCTGGAAGTAATAACACAACGATCAATACATTGTACGTAAACAGAACACAAAGAGAGTATAATGTACGAGTTTTTTTCTTACTTCTGCGATTCGATAACACCCAGACGAACAACAATAAGCTCGCAATAGATTCCAATGAGCTCATAAGCAGCCACTGTCTTCTCTTCCCTCACCACATGTTCCACCTGAGAGAGAGAGAGAAGCATATAAGCACATTCCCCAGTGTTAATCAAACAAAGACATGAGTGGTGTAGACAGAACCAAAGAGTCAGGTTGCTTACCCGAATTCTAGCTGTAGGTGTATGCCCAGCTTCCAGCAATTGAGCTAACTCTCTCCTCAGCTGTTTAATCTGAATCTCCTTTTTGTTCTTGAGTATCTTGAGGCGTGAATTCGCCATTTGCAAAGCTGTTTTGCTGCATATATATATAAATAAATCAGCATAAGAAAAACCAAAAAGATCGCAAACGACGGATGAAACAGTAAAAACACCCAAAAGACTCTCAGTTCACCAGATTTGAATCCTAAACTATAAATCTCAAGCAAAAAAAAGGAATCGATTTACCATTTAGCCGGCTTGAAGCCTCGATGAAGCACCTTCTTCATGGAACGAAATTTAGCAGATAGAAAACGAATATCTGGAAACCGTTGAAGCGAAATTGATCGAATCTTCTGGTAAAAAAGAAACTAGAGCGAAATTAAAGGATTATTTAAGGTTATTAATATATAGATCATGCGAAAATCTATGATCTGAAGAACTGGAATTTTCGCCGGGAACCAACCCAGAAGAAACGTATAATATGGGATGAATATAGAAAAGAATATTATAGGTTGGACTCTGCGCGAAACCATTAATATATGTTTTTGAATGACGTGTAAAGAGAAAACCGAGTAATCAAACTATAAAACCGGAAAGGAATAGGAAAGTTCCAATTCGTGGACTAACTTACCAACCGAATTAATTATATCTTTTCCTTATATATATATATAAATAAATGATTTTATTGGACACACGATTAAGCTTTTTTGGTTACATATCTGCGGTATGGACAAAACGGATTAATGTCTTAATTCTAATCAGTTTTGGTTGTCTGTTATCTACCATGTTTAAGAAATATCCGAATAGTTGTGATGTCACAATTGGTACTGTGTTATTAATTATTATACATCGGAAAAATATGTAATACGCACATAATTTAAACAAAAGAAGTGTTTGTAATCAAAACTTCAATCGTATAGCATCATAGAATCACATAGTTGCCATCATTTAAATTAAGCTAATACAATCTGCAGCTTGCAGTGGCAATAGTTGAGGTAATCATCATCATCATTACCAAAAGAATCTTCTAAAACTACAAAAGAACCAATGAGATGCAAAAACTCAGAGCTCAGTTTTGAAATCATTGCCTAATTGGCTGAATAAGATTCCGATATCCATTCCTTGGTTCACCGTCGGTATGACCACCGAGTAAGGGCACTTCGTTGAGAATCCCACTTTCTTGCCTTTGGATTGTTTTATCGACTTGCTTAGCCTGCTCACGCATCGCTTGAACTTCTTATGGCAGCTTATGTTAGTCATACCTGCGAAACCATAGCTTAAGAACAATGAATCACAATAACAATGTTTCTAGATCACTAAGCTTTGGCCACTGTGACCACTAAACGAAACACAGTATCTTCATATGAGGCCAAGCAACAAAGAAGTATAGAAGATGAGATGATAAGAACCCTAAAGCAGTAGAGTCACTTAAGATGATCTTCTTCATTACTAAGCGTATTGTTTAGAGAAATCGAACAGACCAGATTGGCTAACATTCTCAAATCCAAGGTCTAATCAGGTCAAGTTACATACATTCATACTGAAACTGTAGTTACACAGATGTTAATTTCAGTTTCTCTCTGCTCTGTCTATGGCCTAATGTGCAATATCATTCTTCTCCCAAGTCAAAAAGCTACACACTCAGTTTGGTCCAAAGTAAACTTTTTTCTTGCAAATGCATCTAAAAGCACCAGAATATACGAAATAAAGGAATTACCATTGGCCTCAACGCAATTGTCATGGACCATACAACAAGCATCAAGATCATCACAAGGCTCCTCACCGGGACATCCAGAGTGTCCAATCCCACAATACTTCCCGTATCGAATAGAAAGTGCTGAAAACAATCGATGTACAGACATATACATAGGCAAGTGAGTAGCTAATAAGTCGCGAAAACAAAAGAAGAACACTGCAGCAAAAAAAAAAAAAAACTGAATCTTACTGTCGCAATTCTGTGCAATGCAAGTTCTTGTGCACTCCTGTGACAATTTGATTCACCAACAAAGACAAAAAGATCAAATCTTTGTGACAATTTGATACAACAACAAGACAACAATCATTAATGAAGTGAAAAATCAAATCTTTGTGGGAATCTGAGCTTTCGGCGAGGTTCTAATTACTCAATTTCATGAGCTAATTCTATAACAATGCGATTCCTTTTTGTCTAATTTAAGAACTTTCTCTGAGAAAACAAACACATAACGAAAGGTCAGGGAAAAAGGTTAAAACCTCGCTGCGAACGACATCGACGAGGAAGAGGACAATGGATAAAGCTGCAGCGACACGCATCAGACAAGAACGAATCATCATTGTCGTCGTCGTGGACTCGGACTCTCTCTCTCTCTCTAGCTAATTCTTCTAGTGGAAGCTTCTGGATTTGATATGTCGTCGTTGTCTTCTTCGCTAAGGTTTCGAAATATTTGCCGAAATTCCTAATTGCGTCTCCTTAAGATCCCATTGGTCTTCCTGCTTTCTCGCCGCTCGTTCTTATTCATGCCAAATTTTATTATTTTTAAATAATATTTGTCTCTGATGAGATCTTGAGCTAAATTCATAAATTATCTCGAGTCAACCAAAATTCGAATTTCTTAGTTGCAAAATTAAATTTTGACTTAAAATACATATAATATTTCCCCCTCCAAACAAATTTATTCCTACATTTTTAAAAGTAGAGATTCCTTTATTCACGATCACTAAAAACTGAGAAAATTAAAATTCTTGTATGCTTCAAATATCGAACCAAACTTTAGTCTTTTCGAGTAAAATTTTACAAATATCTAAGAAGAATCTTGTATCAAATGCATTTTCTCAATTCTTATTAAGAGCTTTACCAAAATGGGTTTTTTTTTCCCTAAGCTCCACAACTCTGTTTCAGGAGTAAGACTGAAAATAAAAATGGATTCGAGGGAATGAGCAAAATCACATGAACGGAGTTACAAGCGGTCAGAAGAATATTCCGGTGAAACTCTGTTGTCTAGGTTGGTTTCAAGGGTAGTAACCGGTGAAAGTGAATCCTCTCCCAACGATTTCACCAGCGCAGTACCAAGCAAAGCACTCAAGGCCAAACAGTGCAGCGATCCCTGCATGTTCCACCTTCAGATCCGCTCTGTTCTTCAGTAAGGTCTTTGCGTAGTCTACTTCTTTCCAGAACGTCTCGTATCGCCCGGGAATGCTGTAACGAGGACGAAGAGTATTGTTAGCTAAAAGGAATCAAGATTGCAAATTACACAGAGCCAAACTCTTCAACTGATAGCAACAAAGTATGAGAATTTCAGTTCTATCAAAGTCTATATAAAGTCCGCAGCATTGGGTTAAGATTAATGCTTCGTAAAGTATGCCAAGAGCGAGAGAGAGAGAGAGAGAGAAGTAAAGGTATCGACCTAGCAAGACGAGTGTAGAGCAATTGCTTAGACAACTCACTGCACTTCTCTACAGTTGCAGGCTCCTGAATAAAATGCTTGTTCTGCTCCAGCAACTGTCTGTAGTAAGAACTCCCATGCTTGGCCACAAACTTCGAAGCTTGACATGCCTTTGATTGAAGCTGTGCCAATTTTGATGCCATTGCTTCCAAATTCAGTTCCTTCAAAACCATAAACAAATGTAACAGCAACCCAGTTTAGCTTTTTACCAATTCAAATTCAGAAACTAAAACCTAGCAAGAGAGATACAAGCTCAGCTCATCAATAAGCACAGTTCCAAAGTTTCTCAAGCAATCATATGCAATTTCTTAACATCCACATTAGTCGGCTTGAGCTTCATTACTGGAGCTAGAAGTTTATGGACATAGTTCAGTTCATGATTCAATACTCGCTTCCACGATGAAATTCAATATCTAAAATGATCTAACACAGAGATTCAAATAAGAACTGTAATCTCAGAATCAAGTCATCCAAAAAATCACGGCTTTTCATCGAATTCACAGAATCAAGCCAAATTACTAAAACCCTAAACCTCAATTCCAGAATCACAGATCGAACTGAGCAAATACATGAATCATGACTCCGACAAAGAACTACGCAGCGAAGAGAGATTACAGATATAGATCTGGGACTTAAAACACAGAATAAACAGACTTTAAAACCTTAGAAAGCAAAACCCATAAAGAGAAGAAGGTTATAGACAGATATGAGAATCTGAAACGAGAACAATGGAGAATGAAAACTGTGATCGTGAGCGAGCCGTACCTTCCGGCGTGCTCGCCACCAGCGTGAGAATCAGAAAGGATCCTAAATCTTACCTACACTGCTTATAATTGAAAGAGTAACCGACCCGGATCCGGTATAAACCAGACCGGTTTGTCTTTCAATTAAAAATTGGACCGGCGTTTAAAAAAGGAGCATAAAACATAAGTTTTGTCTTCCTAAAACCCTAATTCTTTGCTATTTCGAATCTGTCTCCCAAAAAACCTTCTTTCTCTCTCTCTCTTACTCTCTGGTGCAATGGTTGGTACGAAGAACAACCACAACGAGCAGGAATCGAACGGCTCTGATCAAAATCAAAACACGAAGTTACGTTCTGATGATGTTGATGAGACCATGTGCGATGCCGGGGACAATGCCGATGTCGCCGATGACATAACCAGCGCCGACTACTACTTCGACTCTTACTCACATTTTGGTAAAAATCCTCGAAATTTCAATTCTTTCTTTGCTTCCTTCATGTTTCCTTCTCCGAAAAGTACTAATTTTGTTTCCAACTGATTGATTTTGCAGGTATTCATGAAGTAAGTGTCCTGCATTTTGAGTGGAATCCTTTGTTCTCCTGTATACTTCTTTTCAAATTTTTGTTGTCTGACTCGATGATGATAATAGGAAATGCTAAAGGATGTAGTGAGGACAAAGAGTTATCGGGATGTTATTTACAAGAACACGTTTCTTATCAAGGACAAAATCGTTCTTGATGTAGGAGCTGGAACAGGGATCTTGTCTCTGTTCTGTGCCAAAGCAGGAGCTGCTCACGTTTACGCAGTATGTCTTTAGCTTCTCATTTTATTCACACCTGATTGGCTCTGAGTGATTTGGTGTGATGTGACAAATGATTTCTTTCAAATAGGTCGAATGTTCTCAAATGGCTGACACAGCGAAGGAGATTGTCAAGTCTAATGGATTTTCAGATGGTATAATAAGTCTTTTATAGTGTTCTTCTTCAAAATGGATACATAATCTGATTGATGGCAGTTAGACGTAACAGCTGTTTGATTCTTTTGGCAGTTATAACGGTTTTGAAAGGGAAGGTTGAGGAAATCGAGCTTCCAGTTCCTAAAGTGGATGTGATTATCTCAGAGTGGATGGGTTACTTTTTGGTTTATGAAAATATGCTCGACACCGTCTTGTATGCTCGCAACAAGTGGCTTGTAAGTACAAGTTTCAGCTATGTTGTTGATGATGGGTTTGGTGATAGCTTTAAAAGAATTTCTTCTTTAATGCTTTGGCGTTTCTTTTGCTTAGGTTGATGGTGGAGTTGTTCTACCGGATAAAGCTTCTCTGTATCTTACAGCCATAGAGGATGCTCATTACAAAGAAGACAAAGTTGAATGTGAGTAGGAACTAGGAAGAAGAAGATCTTGTCTCACTTTTCTTATCAAAAGTTGATTTTTTTGTTTTGGTCTGCTTTGCATCTTATCGTTTCCTATACAGTTTGGAACGACGTGTATGGGTTTGACATGTCATGCATCAAGAGAAGAGCAATCACGGAGCCTCTTGTTGACACGGTGGATGGAAACCAAATCGTGACTGATAGCAAGTTACTGAAGGTAAGTAAAGATTGTGCTAAAGTAGTTACTGATATATCGCAAGATTATTTCTTTAGTTATCTTTACTAAATGCAAAATCCACTCTTTAGTTACCTTTTAGCTAATGCAAAATCCACTTGTTTTGGCTGTTTGTTTTTGTCTAAAGACCATGGATATCTCGAAGATGGCTTCTGGAGATGCTTCCTTTACATCTCCATTTAAGCTTGTCGCAAAAAGGAATGACCAGATCCATGCCCTTGTAGCCTACTTTGACGTATCATTCACCATGTGCCACAAGATGATTGGTTTCTCAACAGGTTCACACTTTTCCTGCAAAGTTTTTCTGAGTACACGATATTGTGAAACAACAGACAAAAGTATATGTTGATGCTATTATAGCTTCTTTGTCGATGTTTTTGGAACTCATGATACAATCACAAAAATGCAATGCAGGACCAAAATCTAGGGCTACGCACTGGAAACAAACAGTGCTGTACCTTGAAGATGTGTTAACCATATGCGAGGGTGAAATGCTCACAGGAAGCATGACCATTGCGCCTAACAAGAAGAATCCTAGAGATGTCGACATAAAGCTCAGTTATTCATTGAATGGCCAGCATTGCAAGATCTCAAGGACCCAACTCTACAAAATGCGGTAAAAGCTATCTCAAAGGAAGCAGCAGAGCCAAAATGCGGTAAAAGCTATCTCAAAGGAAGCAGCAGAGCCAATCTCCCACGAGTCTCATTCGTCATCTTGAGGCTGAGAAAGACAATGCTCATTTGTAATTCTATTGTTTCCTTTTTTGGCAGTGTTGCAGAACAGAAAAACAGAAATTTCCCTCCTTGATTCTATAAAAAAGCCTCTCTCTTTCTCTCTCTCTCTCTCTCTCTCTCTCTCTCTGTTCCTGTAAACTAGACGTGGAAATGGACATAGTGGAGAAAAACATTAAACTAGAACAAACAATTATATCTGCATAAACGTGAGTAGCATGGGCTTAACAGGAACATGCATGTGTAGTTCTGAAAACAAGAAAAGAAAAGGAAGAGAAGATGGGTCTTTCACACGAGTGCTTCAAATGGGAACAATGGATAAAAAATGGGAGACAAGTCAAACTTGGGTTTCACACACTTGAATGCTCACTTATTGTCAGCCAACTGTCTTCCAAGCTAAAATCCAACACATAGGAGCCATCACGAGATGTCAGTCTCACTGGGATAAGAAACATTTCTGTGGTCCGATGCAAGGGTCAGAGCAAAAATCCTGAAAAAGATAACAAGAAGCAGTTTTCAAACTTGCCCAAAAGAGAAGAGCTTTGGATTATTGAAGTTAGAAAAAATCACCATGGAAGAAGTAAAGGTATCATTTCACAAGCACCCTCTGAGGTCTTTTACACGCTTTGCTCTTGGTCAGTGTAAGGTGTGCGAATATCCTCATCGTGGTAGTATAGACCGCCGCTTGTTCGGTCGTGAACACGGTTACATATACGGAGGGTACCGATGCAATGAGCAGGGGTGTGATGATGCTGTGTTCCATAAAGACTGCGCCAAGCCCTTGCAAGAAATCAACCATTCTTCCCATCCCGACCATCCTCTCAAGTTCATCCAACACAGCATTTCATGGTGTGATTTATGTTCAGCTCAGTTCAAAGCTGGTTACCGTTGTTCAATATGTGATTTCAGGTTGGATCTGTGGTGTGCCAAGAGACCATCGCCACTTGTTATTCCTGAAAACCCCTATGGACACGAGCATCAGCTCGAACTCAAACTGAAGAGAACATTCACACTTGCTCACAAGCATCCACCCGAACTCGCCCGCTGCAAGGCGTGTAGCTACGCAGTTCTTGACGGGCAACAATGCTATGGATGCAACCAGTGCGAGTTTTTCATCCATCTGGTTTGTGTCCATCTGAGTCACACCACTTACCACCCTCAACACCCACTCAAGTTCATTGGAAGCGAGGCAGCGCCGGATTACGCCGACGAGAAATGCCTTCTTTGCGCGTCAACCTTTATCCGGCCACCGCGACTTCACCACTGTGATGTTTGTAACGTCAGCATATGCGACAAATGTGTGACAAACCCACCGCCGGTTTCTGTTGTAAGCCCGACGACACACGAACATCGGCTTCACCTTGTTCCAAGATGCATCGCTTTCACTTGCAATGCTTGTGGGACGCTGGGTGACAGACGCCCTTATTTCTGTCTTGCATGCAACTTCATGATTCACAGGGAGTGTATTGATCTACCACGCGTCATAAACATCAACCGCCATGATCATCGTATCTCTTACACCCCTCGCCTTGGACACGGAGACTGGAAATGCGGAGTTTGCCGTAAAAAAGTGGATGGGTTCTACGGAGCTTACGCCTGCTCCAGATGTCCTAGTTATGTTGTTCATTCAATATGCGCGACGAGAAGAGATGTTTGGGACATGGTTGAACTAGAAGGGACACCCGAAGAAGAGATAGTTGAGCCATTCGAGGTGATTGATGGTAACACAATAAAACATTTCAGCCATGATCATAACTTAGGAATCAACAAGGATGTCCAGATTCTACTACACGAAAGCATAGTCTGTGAGGCATGTGTCTTCCAGATTGGTTCAGAACCGTTCTACAGTTGTGAGCAATGCGATTTCTTTCTCCACAGAAAATGTGCTAACCTTCCACGGAAAACACGTCATGTGTGCCACAACCAACCATTCACACTACGCATAGATTCTCACCGCAAAGTGTCAAGATGTATTCTTTGTCGTCAAGATTTCACTGGTTTCAGGTACGAGACTAGTAGTCATAGGATTCTAGATGTACGATGCGGTTCGATTTCAGAACCTTATGTGCACAAAAGCCATCAGCACCCTTTATACTACTCTAGCTATGGCTTCTCCGCCTATTATGTTCTGTATGAGGACATAGGAAAATTTTGCTGCGATGAGTGTGACTTCACTGTGTACTACGACTACGCTGCTTTACCGGAAAAGGTAATGAGGCATAGGTACGACGATCATCCTCTCTGTTTGTGTTATGGTGAAAGCAGTGTGGATGGAGAATATTGGTGCGAAGCATGTGAAACCAAAGTGAATCCAAAGAAATGGTTTTATACATGCAATGATTGTGGGGTTGTGTTGCATATTTCCTGCGTTGTGGGAGACTTATCATACTGTATGCCAGTTACCTCATATGGTGATGATGTGGATTCAGTAACAAGTTCGGGTGAGGAAGTTAGGAAAATGGTATTGAGCACCTCTATGTGTAGAGCATTAGTTGCCTCATTTGGTGATGATGTAACAAGTTGGTGTGATGAAGTTGAGGAAGTCGATCCAGCAACAAGTTCGGGTGAGGATAGTGAGAAAGTGGTATCCAACACCTCTATCTGCACTGATGTGGATTCAGTAACAGGTTCGGGTGAGGATGGTGAGAAAGTGGTATCCAACACCTCTGTCTGTAGAGCAGTATGCTCTGAGTGTAACTCTCGATGCATGCTCCCTTCCATTCTTAAGGTTTCCAAGGCCGGAGTTGTTGTATACTTTTGCTCTTTCCATTGTTATAAGCAGTCAAGGAAGACAGCGACAACATCTGAGAGTACATCTGAGAGTGATTAAAAAAACATGTTTTGAGAACTTTGTATTATTCTAGTGAATGTTATCAGTATGTTGTTGAAAGATTCGCCTCTGCTCCAGTGTCACGCTCTTCTTCTCACCACCTGTTTGGTCTCTTCTCAATGGATCCTCCTCTTCATGACTCACACCTCTATTTGTAGACCACTTTGCTCTGTGTGTAATTCTCTCGATACAAGCTCCCTACCATTCTTAAGGTTTGCAAGGGTGGCGATGTACGCTAGTTCTTTAACATGTTGTAGAAAACTCTTTAAAGAATGATAATGCAATGACGAACTATTTAAAATCAAGATTCAATACTCCGTGAAATCAGACACAAAATTATGTAGCAAATGATGTTGTTTAGGCATGATCCTCTGTTTTGGAAGTCTGAGTTTCGGATGAAACCTTGATTTCTTCTGTAGGTAGCAGTTCGTCAATACACAAAACAAAACAAAAAATGTATGAGCATACAATTGATTAGTACATAAATAATATATATAGAATGTAGATGTTATTGAGGTACCTTGTTCAATACGTTGAGCCATTCTTGTTTTGTGCCTCAGATTAAAAAAGTATATAACACATATGATCACAAAGTATACAACCAAGAGGAAACAAGCTTCGAAGCTTCCACAAGTTGCACAAAACAAGAAAGCTTTCTTTCTTGTGGAAGCTTCGAAGCTTGTTTCCTCTTGCTTTCTTGTTTTGTGCAACTTGTGGAAGCTTCGAAGCTTGTTTCCTCTTGGTTGAACTGCTCTTTCTATCAGCAACTTTTGGGCCAGTGACCAGAGCTTGAAGACTTCGAGCTTTCGCTACATCGAAGCCATAAGATATGATTCATCGTCTTGTCTAATCAAACAGAGAGCAACAACAACAACAACAAAAAAACAATATGTTTGTAAGAAGTTGCATGCATATGAAACAAGGGAAACGTAGGATTTCTGAGGTGGTCTTACTTTAAGACAGCATCTCTTGTGGAAACAGAGTATCCCGAAGTTAGAGAGACAGAGACGAGTACGAGTACGAGTAGGACGATGAGAAGAAGCTTGGAAACCATTAAAGTCGATGTGATGATGAAGACTCTACACGAGATATATATCCGAAGGATTCGTGTGTCTTCAGGTTACTTGGCTATGAAAGCTTTAGGGTTTATTTAAAGAGTAAATCAAAGTTATTATTAATCTAATTCCAAAACAGAGTAGAAACAAAAAATGCTAACATCACGCATCATCACTTAAACAAGAGGCGAATCTGGTGGTATGAGTAAGCCTGCATCAACAACGGAACTAACTTGAGATTAGTCTCATCGAACTTCATCCTCCTTAAGGCTTCCACGAACATTACACTCACTTCCGCTTTGCACCGATCACAGTCGCATTTGAAACCGTAGCCCTCAAGCAATCTCTCTCGTCTGCTCCAGTAGCTCAGGTTCACAACAGGGGAATAGCTCAAACAGGGGAATAGCTCAAACACAACAGGCGATATCGGTATTACCATCTGAAGCAGAGTCGACGTAATCGAATCTACTCGAAGCATTGGGAAGACAACCGTGTCTGAAAAACGACGCCTTTGCGTAAACCCCATAGGCTCCATCAAAACCCAAGGCGTTCACCTTATTCTTGGCCAGTAGAGCCGCCGTGATCTCCGGCGAGAATGGAACCCCAGGAGGTGGACTTACGGCGGATAAAAGAGAGTGAAGGAAACTAGCTGCGGCGGGATCGGAAGTATGTCGATCAACATTGCCTTTGAGAGAGAGAGCAGTTTCTGGAAACCAGAAGGAGAAGCGGCGGCGAGGTCGTAAGCAGAGAGGAGAAAACGAGCTTGGACTTGGCGTTCATAAGGTTGATCGGAGAACGCGGCGGAGGAATCTTCGTGAATCCAGCTAAGGGAGTCGCAGAGCCAAGGAGTGTGAGAGGAGAAGCATTCAGGGCTACAAAAGGAGACGAGGGAGCAAAATTGGCATATCTGCGCCGGTTGAGGTAACAGCCGGAAACAATGGTCGCAGTAAGGAGAATCAGAGGAGAGAAAGGGGAAAGCAGAGTAGAGAAGCAGAGGAGACTATCTGTGGACAACTTGTCCGGCGCGAAGAGACCTTCCGTCGCCGTCGCTTAGGTTTTTTTTTTTATACCAAAAATGAAACGATTTATAAGGGAAGTAAACGGTGCCGTTTGGGTTATCAAAAGGAAAGCATATTAATGGGCCTTAAAGAAGCCTATCCAATTTTTGGCCCATGAGGCAAAGAGGATGATTAATAATTGTGGCCTGATAACATATCATAGCGCAAAAACAGAGTGAAGACTGAAGAGTGATGGTTTGTTTGAGGAGCCATTATAAGCATCAAGCCAAACTACATTTTCAACTTCAAAGTAAAACAAGTTGCGATTTTTTCATTACTTCCTCCAATATCACAACAAAACTGTTTCAATTGATTCCAAAGACTGTATAGGAAGAAAGAAAGATCCAAAAATGGAAGATTTCTAAAGCTAGAATAATATTTTTTTCCAAAAACTGAGTAGAAGAAAACGCAAATAAACAAACAAAAACCTCCCTCTTCTCTCATGAATCTCAGACAACTTCATCTTCCTTAAGGCTTCCACAAACATTACATTCAAGGACTCTCGACGCATCATGAGTCTTTGGCGGAAGCGGAGCAAGAGTGCCGAAACAATTCTCCTTGTCGCACATATATCTCGCAAAGAAGTATGCGTGAGGGAAACTAGATTCTTCTTCTTCTTCTTCACCCTCTGAATCCTTCATTTCTTCTTGTTCCTCTTCATCCTCCATCTCTTCCATGACCTCGTTCTCATCTTCTTCCTCGCCTTCAGACCAACTAGATTCCACCTTGCACCGATCACAGTCACATTTGAAACCATAATCCTCAAGCAGTCTCTTTTGTCTGCTCGAGTAGTTCATGTTCACAGGGAAGTAACTCAAACAGACTTCTCTTCCTTCAGGAACATCGTGGATCATCCTAATGACGATATCGGTGTTGCCATCGGAAGCAGAGTCGACGTAGTCGAATCTACAAGCATTAGGAAGACAATCGTGGTTGAAAAACGACGTCTTGGGGTAAATCCCATAGGCTCGCACCGATCTTTTCTCGTTCGAAACAGAGAACGGCTCCATCAAACCGAAGCCGTTAACCTTATCCTTAGCCAGTAGAGCTGCCGTGAGCTCCGGCGAGACTTGAACCGGAAGAGGTGGACACACGGCGGATAAAAGAGAGTGAAGGAAATTAGCTGCGGCGGAATCAGTAGGATCTCCATTACCTTGGAGCGAGAGCAAAATCTGGAAATCAGAAGGGGAAGCTGCGGCGAGACTGTAGGCGGAGAGGAGGTAGCGAGCTTGGACTTGGCGTTCAGAAGGTTGATCGGCGAATGCGGCGGATGATGATTGGTGAATCCGGCGAAGGGATTCGCAGAGCCAGGGAGTGTGAGAGGCGAGGCAGTTAGGGCTACAAAAGGACACGAGGGAGCAGGATTGACATTTCCGCGCCGATTGAGATAACAGCCGGAAACAATGGTCGCAGTAAGGAGAGGAAGCAGATGAGAGAAAAGGAAAAGCAGAGTAGAGGAGGAGAGGAGACTCTCTGAGAACAACTTGTCCTGCACGAAGAGACTGTGCCGCCACTAAACTCCTTCCTCTTCCACCGATTTCTGCAACTCTCAGCACCGTCTCCTCCGCCTTAGCTCCGCCGTCACTCATCTCACCAGCCGTCGCCGTCACTTAGGGTTTGCCCAAAATTAAACGAAGTATCAAGAAGAAGATGTAACTAAGGGAGTTATAATAAACGGCCCGACGTTTGAGTGAAACATACTAATGGGCCTTATCGAACTTTTTTGGCCCACTAATGTTTTTGTCAATTAGTTTGGAGCTCCGATGGCTAGGTGTTGTTGGAGCTGCCGGAAATTTTGTTTACAACAGTTAGGTCCACCAAACTTTCTTTTTCTGTAATATAATTAGATTCGTTAATTGTATGTTGATGGATAATAATAGTTTTATTAGTATGAATATCAGAATTTCTTCAATCATGTTTCATGAAATGTTAATAATGATTAGAGTTTGTGGTAAAATGATAAGACTAGAAGACAAAGAAAAAGAAACAAGATGATAAAGTTTGTATTAATCGATATTTTATTTTTAAATGTACTAAAATTTGGCAAAACGACATTAGGAGCATATTGAATTAATAATTTGGATAAATACAAATTTATGAAGATTTTAATAAAATTAAAGTTTTAAAATGATTTAAACAAATTCTATCTTCTAAATTCTCTCAGGTGGTATTTCAATATGGATTTTTAATTCTAAATTACTTCTAAAATCATCCCAAATCATTTTTAAAAATAATTCGTTAATAAAATTCCAATTTTTTAATAAAGCAAAATTTTAATGAATTTATATAAATAACTAATCTAATAACCTTAGATTTTAAGTAATTTTTTTAAATGCTATATCCAATAAAAAAAATTTGGAAAAAGAAAATAAAATCATTTCAAATCATTAATCTAATACCCCCACTAAATATAATTGAAAATTGGTGGTTATACCGATCAGAAACATGAATGTTAATAAATGAAAAAGGCTTAGCGAAAACGGCGCCGTTTTAATGATGTTCGGCGCAAATCAAAAACCACGAAAAAAGGAGATCATCGGCGTCGGTGGAGGAATGATTAACCCGCTGGCCATTAAAACGCAACGCGGCTTTCACATAACACACAGACATCGAGACACAGAGCAAAAAGTGGTCCACTCTCTCTACATCAACGAGGAAGAAGAAGACAAAAGACTGAGCTAAAAGAGCCGTTGAAGCGTACAATCTAAGTCTAGTAGCCAGAAGAAACCCAAAACAGTATTCTTCTTCTTCTCTTTCACATTTCATTATAAGAGAGAGAGGGAGTGAGCGAGAAAGGCGCAGTTTTGGGGGTTTTCTCACACGAGTCATGGCGGGTTTAAACGACGACGTCTCACTCGACATCGAAGAGATCTACAATGGTGGGAAGGTTTGTTTTGCTCATTGAGCTCTCAAAAAATTTACTTTCTTTTTATGTCTTCTCAACGCGTTTCTCTCTCTCTTATCTTCCGTTCTATACTTTTACTGCAATTAGAATCGTCACATTTCGTTTTTCTCTCTTATGGGTTTACAGCTTTCCTAAGTAGCTTCCGATCTCAGTGGGAACTTCTGGGTAATTGAAGTAATATCTTCAGTTTCTGATTGAAATCAATGTATTATTTAGCTGTTTGTCAAAGAGTTCTGGATTTAGTTTTTTTCTGTGCTAAATTTTGAAAATCAAAGTGGGTTTCACTCAAAAAAGTTGTTTCACTTTGTCTTATGATGATCCGTTGAATTTCCATGAGAAATCTATCAATTTGGGTGTTTGTTTTATTCGATTCCCTTGTAAAAAAATGGTATCTTTTTTTTTTATGCTCCATGATTGATATATGATGTCTGACTTTTTTCAAGCTACAAGTTATCTCTTCTACTGATTTTCTGAGTCTTGCACATGGGAGAATCTCTTGAGGACCTTTCCTTTTTGTGTGGTCTGGAACAAAGTTGGAATGTTCCTTTCTTAGCTGTATATCTGGTTAAAAGAACGAATATAGAGTTGAAGGTTTTTGTTGTTTCTAAATGTTAAGCTGGTTTTTTGATGAGACTAATGGTGTGCATATATGATAATGAAGCTTGTGGCACTGTTTATCCTTCTCTTATTTTGGATAGACTGATTCATTTTCTTGCTTATTATCTGATATTTTGCAGGAGCATCATGTCAAAACTTGCCATGGTTTAGTTTCAGTTGTAGTCTATGGAGATCAAGAGAAACCAGCTTTGATCACTTACCCAGATGTAGCACTAAATTGTAAGAGTGTGTGAACAGGCATTATTAATTAATACATGATTTGTTTTCACTCAATAATCTGATTCTAGATTCTTGTTTTTCTTTTTGTTTGGCTAGATTTGTCTTGTTTCCAAGGATTGTTTCTCTGCCCTGAAGCAGTGTCCTTACTTCTCCATAACTTCTGCATCTACCATATTAGCCCTCCAGGACATGAGGTTTGCAAAATTGATTGTCTTGGAAACAGTTTCATTCTTTGTGTCTACTTTTGCTACTTGCTCACGTTGTGTCGGTTCCATCGTTTCTACAAAGAGTTTTTGTAGTTCGGAGCTGCTCCAGTTTGTTCCAATGACCCTTCGCCTTCTGTTGAGGACCTTGCCGACCAGATTCTTGAAGTATTGAACTTCTTTAGGTAAACACCGAACCATGTTTCAACTAAAATTACATCTGATCTTTCGGCAATTTCACCATAATCGTGGAAAAAAAAATGTATGTCTCTTGCAGCCTCGAGGCAGTAATGTGCATGGGGATCACAGCTGGTGCCTACATCCTTTCCTTATTTGCTGTACGTACTCATTGAGACTCCTTAAAGACTTATCTGTAGCTACATCTCTTAGAATGTTCATACTATATTTCTCGTTACTTATCAATGATTGTTTAATGGTATCAGATTAAACATAAAGATCGAGTTTTGGGTCTGATTCTTATATCGCCTCTATGCAAAGCACCCTCATGGTCTGAATGGTTTTATTATAAGGTTAGTGTTATGATGACTTTACAAAAGGTTAAGTCACACATTTCTAGTGCATCCAGACGAATAATAACATGATGTTAATACTAATAATTATGCAGGTAGTATCAAACTTGTTGTACTATTATGGAATGTCTGGATTGTTAAAAGATCGATTCCTTCAGAGATACTTCAGTAAGGTAATAGTGATTTTCTTGAGGAAACCTGCATATAGCCATATACTTCATAGACATCGATTAATGATAATTGTTTATTAATTACTACAGGAGGCTCGCGGAAGCTCTGAAGTTCCAGAGCGGGATGTAGTACATGAATGCAGAAGGGTTAGTGATTAAACTTAGTAGTAGTTTCTTAGATGATTTTCGTTTCTCTGTCACCTTAGCGTTGTTGTAACACTCGATATGTTTATACAGCTGCTTGGTGAAAGACACGGTATTAGTCTTAGGCGGTTTCTAGAAGCAATCAACAGGAGACATGACATAACTGATGGGCTGAGGAGTTTGAAATGCCGTACACTCATATTTGTCGGCGACCAATCTCCTTTCCACTCTGAGACTCTTCACATGGTGGCTGCGTTGGACAGAAAATACAGCGCCTTGGTTGAGGTATGCGGTTTAGTGTCGAGCTCAAAAGATTCAAGCTTTTGAATTCTTGGAGCATGCTTTGATGTTATCTTGTTTTTGAAATTGAAGGTGCAAGCTTGTGGATCAATGGTGACAGAAGAGCAACCACATGCGATGTTGATACCAATGGAGTTCTTCTTCATGGGGTTTGGGTTGTATCGGCCTGGTCGGGTTAGCGATAGCCCCCGGAGTCCACTAAGTCCGTCGTGTATTTCGCCGGAGCTTCTCTCTCCAGAGAGTCTTGGTTTGAAGCTAAAGCCAATAAAAACTCGGGTTCCCACGAAATGTTAAAGAAACGTTAGATTCATTCTTTTCTTTCTTTTATATGTTATGTATTCAATTCAAATATTCTTTAATTAACTTGTATTTGTTGTATTCTGTAGTCGATTAACTCAAAAACTCTTTATTTAAGAGAGAGTAGTTTTATGGGTTGCTATCATTACAAAACGTTGAAAGATTGTTTCTAATTTTGTTTCAGGACATGTAAGAAGAAAAGAAAACAAACTAACAAGTAACCTTTCCTACCTTTTTACTCAAAAAAGAATCACAAAGCATTGAAAAATAAAAATGGAGCGACGTTACAAGTCTCTGTAGTTATCATCGTGTTGAGATTTTATACAGTTTCTTTCCTCTTCGGGTTTCTTCTGATTTTCTCGGAACATCTATACATCCGGAACACAATCAATGGTTCCCATTCATTGCCCTTTGCCTAGCTTGAGATCAAATGTGGCTTTTGATGTTGTCGCGTGTTAACACTGAAACATCATCAAGAATCATGCAGAGAACCTTGGATCATTAGAGATATACGCTTTGCACTCTCTGAATGATACAAATCTCCTTTGAAACCAATCTGTAGAAGATGAAACAAGAAAATATCCAAAGTTGAGTTTGAGCAAAAGTTGTAGAGAAAGAGACAGAGAGAGAAAACACAAAGATGATTTGGATTTACCTCGGTTGAGCTGTCGGGAGAGAACCACCGTAAGAGCACTCCTAAATGTACAACGGCCGGTATCAACTTGAACAGCAAAGGTGTTGTTACCTGTAAAAGAAACATATTTTTATTTTGAATAGTAACTAAACAATATAGATTTTGAATACGTTTTGATATTGAGCTTATTATGGGGATGTAATGTGGAACTGGACCATACCAAGCTTAAAGCAGTTGTTCCCAAAAGCAGGAGATACAGTTTGCTCTGCAAATACACCAAAAGCAAATTATGAGCACAGTCTTAAATGATAAATGTTTAGTTGGACCTATATAACAATCAAAGAGGCATTCTGATTGCTTACTTCGATTAGGTGAAGATTAGATGCTCGACTTAGCAGAACAAAAGCAAATTCCCCAATCTGTGCAAGGGACATTCCAACCTATAGACAAGAAAACTGTGAGGCCTCTCTCTCTCTCTCTACGGGAAAGTTTTGTAATAGTGTGAAAGCGGGTAAAAAAGAAGTGGTCACTTCTTACAAGTACTGCAGTTTTGTTGTTGTAGCCAAAGACTTTAACAACGATCGCAACTACAACGGTCTTTATCACTATCACAAGTAACACGGCTGCTAGCAGAATGTCAACATGGTTCCACAAGAAGTGCATGTGTATCAGCATCCCAATACTAGCAAGAAACAGCGCCGCGAAAAAGTTGCGGATGGGTTCCACCTTCAAGGGAACATAAACAATAAAGAACGGCTCTATATCGTAAAAGTAAAAAAAAAATGTACTATGGGCAAAGAAGGGTAATGCATTTCAAGAAGAAGAAGATCCTTAGATTCGAAGAGTCAAACTTGGCTTCTTACTTGTTCAAGAGTATGCTGGGCGAGATCAGTTGTTGAGATCATCACTCCTGCCGCAAAGGAACCCAACTCAAGACTAAGGCCGAGCTTGTCACTACACTGAAGAAGCCAAGACGAGACTGGGTTTATGAAATTTGAAAATTTGAGAGGCACACATGTGCAAACAGCCAATTGATAAGAAGAACAAGGGATCAGACTAACCCAAGCTACAAGCAAGCAAAATGCTACGGCAGCCAACTGATAGAGCTCGTTAGTCTGTCAAAGGTTGAAGAACGCTTTAGTTGATAAACATCTTAAAGAACGAAACCGCAGCAGGTAAAAAAATGTGTTTATACCTGAGAAGAAAGGCTTGTCATAAGTTTTAGAAACCAAGGTACCCAGGTACGTGACAATACAAACAAAGCAGACAGAAACGCAATCAAAATCGCCAGCCTGGAAAGAAATTACCACCCGGGTCAAAGGATATAAAGTGTAAGAAACTGGATTCATTAGCAAGTGAACAAAGCAATCAGAGTATTGTCGATATTTCACATAACTTCCTCAAAAGAAAAACACGTACGATTTAGCCATGGACAACACTCCTTGAAGGACACCAGATGTGCCACCAAGAACCGGGAGGAGAGCAAAAAGCAAACCCACAGCACAATCCTAATGATTCATGAAACCAGAAATTAAAAATCTAGTGAAAGCAACTGTTGCATAAGCTTTTAGAGTACGGGACAAAAAGCCTGTAAAAATCATATTAGTTAAGCCAAGTAGATACCTGAAGGATTAGAGTTCCAACGGTTATCTGGCCATGAAGAGCACTTATGCTATTTCTTTCCATTAAAAATTTCAAAACCTGGACCAAAGATCATGGCATGGAAATGATAACATATGAGGATCAAGTCTAAAGAACATAACATAACCGGTACAGTGAGAGTGAGCACAAGGGACAGATCCTAACAGTAGAGAACAACGTCAAAATAATATAGACGCAAAGACATTAAAAGTATACAAAAGTGAAATTAGAATATACCACTGCTGTTGATGACATCGAAAGAAATGCACCAACGAATATTCCTTCTGTTAGTTTACCACCACATAACTGCAACGAAGAGACAGCTAAGTCAACAGACTGCATTCTCTGCTCATGATTCATACACACACAGTTGCTACTACTAGTTAGAACATACCGAGGCTGTTATCCCACTCAAGCACATGAACAAAAATATCTGAAGAAGACCTCCTGGAATAGCTACTGCACGAACTACGCGAAGCTGCAACCACAAAAAGTACAATAACTGACTCAAAAGTTTCAATCGGGTTGGGAAAAATAAACCAGACAAATATAAGAGGGTGGAAACATGCAAACCTTTGCTGCAGAAAATTCTAATCCTAAAGCAAAAAGGAGAAAGATAACACCAAACTGAGCTACTGTTTCAACCTGTGCTACACAAAAAAATCTAAATATCAAGTCTTTGTCAACCATATATAACCAGGAAATCTGATAGTAGTCATAATAACTTCCGTAGAAACGTAACATGAAGACAACAAAAGATGGAATTTAAATAACTAAAGCTGATGTAAGCTACCTGCACCATTTCACTAACAAAGCTTAACCCACCCGGTCCAATGATAGATCCAGCCAATAGATACCCGGTGATAACCTGCCATATAAACAGTGTAGAGATTAAATAACGCTGTCATGGTTCGATCATTCAAGTGCCAACAAAATCGTGTCTACACTCTCGGAAAGCTGAATACTCAAATGATAACGGAATGAAGTTGAAAGCCACAAGCTTTGTAAAGTAAGCGTGTCCTCACCGGTTGGCCAGCACAAGCAAAGGCAATTCCACCACAAGTAGCAGAAACAATGACGACAACCAAATCTGATATCAGCCTACAAAAATGTACAGTTTTAAGAGAAAGAAGAACACTATTAACTAAGTTCTTACAAAATATAACCAGAACAAACAACTTCCCTAGTGAAATGCTTTACTTACCGTAAATCCAGCTGCAGTACAGGGTACTTGGATTTTGGATTGGACATAATAAAAACGTTGTCCTGCATTGGAATTGCAGCAAAATTCACATTACGAGAACGTTTTTTACACACGGTTGCATAATAAATATACATAACATTATATACAGTACAAATGATTTGAGACTATGTAAGCTTACCTTCCTATCTATCAGTCTTGGAGTATCTTCTACGCCATTCTCGTTATCCAAATTAAAGAATGATCTACAATAAAAGGCACTCATATGTCATAGTAAGCAAAAGTAGATAACAGCCACTACTTGCACAAATCGACTCCAAAACAGAGTTTAAGTATGCATCAGGAAGACAACTCACTTCTCCTCCTTGGTCTTGGTCTCATTTTTCTTGGGCTTAACTCGAGCAACTGTCTCCAGAACAGCCTATTGAGCATAACAAATGGCTTAGTAAACAGAATAGACAACATTGAGTAGTGTGTTCTGTGTAAAAAGCAATAACAAAGATCACAAAATTGCAATTTGTACCAACCTGCTGATCAGCAACACTATTATTGAAGCTTCCTGGATCAGGAACTGCAAAAAAAAAAAAAAAAAAAAAAGCAAAAGCATTTCACAAACAGCATATTCAAAAGACTGACTTTTTTCTTCTCATTTCAACACAGCAATTCATTAAATGCTAAAAAGCCATTAACCCATGAGAAATCTATAAACCTAAATAGACAAAAATTATCCAGAGTCTAGAGACTACTTACTTAGCTAATCAATGATAAAATCCCTAGAGATGATCAATGCAATTGAAATCTAGTGAAACCCAAAAAAAAAAAAAACAAAGCTGATCTCTGTAGAGAAAAACCCTAGCTCGAAAGCGACGTACGAAACAACCAAAATGGAGATCTAGTGAGGAACCTTCGTTCTGGTCATTCTCCGGAAACTCCTTCTCGAGTGCCCGATCAATCATATCGGCGAAACTGTCTTCCTTAGGTTTCGCGTTCGTCGCATTGGACTCAGCGGAGGTTCCGTTGATCTCCCGTGTGACAACTGAGTCAGTCCCGATATCGGACTCGGCGGAAAAAGCAAGAGAGAGACTACAGATCAGAAGAAACGCGAGAAACCTCATCGTTCTCACGGAGAAGAATTTGCCAGTATTACTACACCGCCGCATCTCAGTGATGGTGGCACGCGGCGGAGCGATAGAGAGGGATAAGCAGAGAGAGTGAGATCGATTTTTTCCTCGTGTGTGCTTTCTTCTTCTTCTCTCTCTCTCTCTCTCTCTCTTTCCGGTGGTTGGAGAACGAGAAAGCAGAAAGATTGAGGGGAAATTAATTTTTTATTTTTTTTAATTATCGATTAATAATTTTTTTTAAAATTCCGTTTTATTTAATTTCCTACTGTTTGCTTAAGGGCAAATGTTAGCGTTATATATGTCCTTCGATTCTGGAAACAAAAGTGTGTGGGACGTTGTAACTTGTAAGTGGTAACTGAATCTTTATCACACGCGCTTTAATTGGCGCGTGAAAAAGTCACTATAATAAAGTAAATTAAATAAAGGTGGTATAATTTGCTGAATTTGCACATTAAATCAAAGATTACGTTTGCACATTTGAATTTTTCTTTTACGTTTGATAGAAATTTCTGGTCTTTTTTGGCTTCTTTAGTTTAGAGTATATTTTTACAAATTCCATTTGTTTAAGGTGGGGATATTGGATTTAGAAATTAGATTGAATTGAAAGGAATTGAAGTTTCTATTAAATATCAGTGTTATTCAATTATATAATTTATCAATTCTTTTAAATATCTGTGTTATTGGATTAAGTGTTTCCATTCATTCTTTCAAAATCTTTTAAATATCATTGTTATTTAATATATTAATTTTTCAATTCTATTAAATATATGTGTTATTCAATTTTGTAATAGCTTTGATTGTATTATCATTTGGAAGGAATTTAAAAGAATCTCACATAAAAATTGTTAAGAACTAATTCCTACCATTTTTACAAGAATTTTGATAGAATTTGTTTAAATTCCTACAAAATACTTTAAATTACTTAAAAATCAATTATTTTTGAATTCTTGTATATTCTATCAAATTCAATCATCCAATACCACCCCCTAATTCTGTTTTACCTAAGCAGAACTTGGATTTAGTCATCTTTAATCAGATTTTGGTTTGCAATTTGATAAAAAGAATCAAGATATATATAAACAGAAGTACATTTGGTGGGAGGTTATTACAGACATTTGATGCACCGGTTCACAGGAGAGTAACCTAATCCAGATATTTTTACATAATTTAATTTCTTGTACTTTAACATAATCCGCATACTACGTTATATCACTTATCAGCCCCTTATAATAATTCCATTTATGTTATAAGATTGTTGTTGTTAAAGTGACGTTTAAACTGAGACAACAAAAGAGTGAATTGTTTAAATAAAAGCTTAATCAGTTGACAAAATACAAAATAAATTAATAAATGGTTATTCTAAACAGAAAGTTATTGGTTTGTTCTAATTTAAATTATGGAATGCTTTAGCCTTTAATCATATGTGATCGCTTTGGTTACATTTTTCATTTGAGTTGGTTCAGATCAATGTTTGCCGGACCGGAATTGCATGAGCAAAAGCTTTAATACTCCGATTTTAGTTGATTTTGGCACACGTAACATTTGTTTTTAGATTATGTGTTCTCTAATTAGCAATGTTATGGTACTGTAATCAGATTCCATGCAATATTATCGCATGTAGTAGACTTGTATACTGTTGATTTATGTGTTGCAGAGATCACTATCGTCGTGGAATCGTTCTTTCGTGAAGGCATATATCGTAATTTCATGTGTAGCAAATAAATTTTAGAATCACAGACTCTAAACCCTAACCTATAGTATAGAACTATTGGGCCATAGAATGTCCACAAGTTAGATCATAAATCACTGATACTAGATGATACGACTTTGTAAATTAGGTCTTGTCCCATTAAGCTCAATGGGCCGTCATGGTTGAATATGCTTAACCACCAGAATAGGTGATATGTATGTCGGTGCGATTTTATTAATCAAATGATATAATCCGGAAATATCGATGCTAATACGAAAAAGATAACATACTCTAAACAACATCCCAAAAAACTTAATATAAGAAGTTATAAAATAAAATAAAATATAAAAATATTTATTCAAAAACCGAGAGCGCCCATAGGATTTGGATCGAGAGGAGCTAGTTCTTTTGCCTAATTCCGCTTAGACCCACATGACTTTTTTTCCATTGTCGGATCCATCAATCTAACATACATTCATAGTAAAACTTTTATAAATTAATAATGTTGGGACTTCACAAAGTTTATTAATTTATAGAGTTATTAATTAATCGATTAATTAATAATTATTAATTTATCGAAAAATTAATATTTTATTAATTTATAGAGAGATATTTCAGTTCAAATTCAAAATATTTGTTAAAAAATAAAAAAAAATATTTTCAATAATGTAAAATTTATTCAGAAAATATCATATCAGTGAATTTGAAAAATAAATCAAACACTTTTTATAAACTTGAAACAATAATATAATTATATTTTACTATATTATATTATTTATATATGCTTAAATGTATAATTATTAATTTATCTAATTATTGGGACTATATTTTTACATAGGAGTTTCAAAAAAATTATTATCTTATTATCTTATAGAAATTTGCTAATTTTTACACTGGCCCAACTTGAGACCGGTAAAAATTATTAATTTACAGTGATTATCGAATATTAATTTATAGAGGTTTTACTGTATATATTTTATTTTAGCTGAATTAATTTATTTTAGTCTTGAGTGAGTGATAAGGAAAAACACTTTCCTTGTGAAGAAGAAAGAAAAGTCACAAAAACTAGGTTAGAAGAATTCAAAACTGTTGATCACATGGTTGTATTGTATGGACTGAACTTGGACTTATCTTTAATCTTATAGTTCATTTTACATTTTCAAGGCAGATTCTTATACTTTTCTTTTTAATTCTTTAGTATTGAAATAAATAATTGAATGTTACCTCTCCAAGTAGGCAACTATGCCTACTAACGCACAATACATAAAAAAGATCTCACTCTAACTCCATCCATGCCTATAAATACTCCTTAAATGCATCAAACAATTTGTGTCTGAGAACAAAAAGTAAAAAGAGATGGTTTTAGTGAAAGAAAGAGAGATGGAGATCCCAGTTATTGATTTTGGTGAGCTGGATGGAGAAAACAGAATCAAGACCATGTCACTTCTTGATCATGCATGTGATAAGTGGGGCTTCTTCATGGTATGTATACATGTTTCTCCATAAATAAAATGTTTCTAAGATATACATGACTATGTTCCTAGATCCATTTTTAGTGTATATCCCTTAAGTGTGGAGCGATGACTTTTCAGGTTGAAAATCATGGAATTGATAAAGATTTGATGGAGAAAGTGAAGGAGATGGTTAACTCTCATTATGAGGAGCATTTGAAAGAAAAGTTTTACCAGTCAGAGATGGTAAAGGCTTTGAGTGAAGGCAAAACCTCAGATGCAGATTGGGAAAGCAGTTTCTTCATTTGGCATAAGCCAACTTCGAACATCTGCAAGATCCCAAACATTTCGGATGAACTCATGTAAGTAACTAAGAAATGATATGTCCAAAAAGCTTTTACCATTTACATTGTTTTTGCTTACTAGACTAATTAATAAACGATGTGTGTGTGTGTGTGTGAAACTGATATTTGCAGCAAGACGATGGATGAATATGTTTCTCAACTTCACAAGTTTGCAGAAAAGCTCTCGAGCTTCATGTGTGAAAATCTTGGTCTTCCTCATGACTACATAATGAATGCCTTCGCTGGTCAAGAAGGTCCAGCTTTTGGGACAAAAGTGGCTAAATATCCAGAATGCCCTCGTCCTGAGCTCATGAGAGGGCTGAGAGAACATACTGATGCTGGAGGAATCATATTGCTCTTGCAGGATGATCAAGTGAATGGTCTTGAGTTCTTGAAAGATAGGAAGTGGGTCTCTATCCCGCCGTCCAAGAACAATACCATTTTTGTCAATATCGGTGATCAAGTCGAGATACTGAGCAATGGAAGGTACAAGAGTGTTGTGCACCGTGTAATGACAGTGAAGCATGGAAGTAGACTGTCGATAGCTACATTTTACAATCCGGCTGGTGATGCCGTAATAACTCCGGCTCCGGAGCTCTTGTATCCAAGTGGCTACAGGTTTAAAGACTACCTTAAGCTTTACTCAACCACTAAGTTTGGAGACAAAGGCTCCAGATTTCATACCATGAAGAAAATGGAGAACGAGAGTTCTGTCTAGGATGCATCTGAATGTCACGCTTGTGTACAATTTCACATGACAACAATCTCTCCTTTTATTAAACTTTGTCTTCTTCTTGTGTTTCCTTTATAAAGAATAATAATTATTATGCAAGGATCATGCTGTTTCTTTAAATAGGTAAATCTTTGATAAAAACTTTGATAAAAACTTTCAAACATCTAGTTTGAAAGATTTTTTAAAGGAAAATGGCATAAAAAACTTTCTTTAAATAGCAGTTACTTATACTTTAAATCTCGAAAGTTTTTAACTAATATATTAAAATTTCAAACTAATTTGCTTAACATTTTAAACCATGAATTTATTCAGAAAAAAGGAAGATTTCAATTTCAATATCATAACAATTGAGAAACACAAAAAAACGAAAAAGTTTTTATTTCATTGAGGTTTCGATTGTGTATAACCAAATTTTGACATACACCTTGACGCCAACTGTTTTCACTTGGAATTGGTGAGAAGATGATATCAGGACACATGCAAAATTTATCAAATGTAACAAAAACAAAGGGTGCAAATGGTTATTCAATTAGAAGAACAAAATTGGAGGAATTAGACATTCTTTTTAGAAAATTACCATCTGAGTTGAAAAGTAGTGAAAAATAAATCCACTGATTCTGCTGGAAAAAAAAACTGAATTTGTAAAGAAAAGATTAATTAAAATAAAATAAAAACTGAATAAAATGTAAAAACTACACAGAAATAAAAGGACCCAACAAAAAAAGAAAAACAGAATTTTTAGATAAGCTAATGTTACGACATAATATAATATGTCAAATACCCAAAATCATCAACATGGCTAAGTTCTTGTTGGTATAAAAACGTTACGACATCCGTGAGACGCGCTAAAATGCCCGTTTGTATAAGCCCACTAAAGGCATCTTGTGTCTCCACGTGTCTATCCATGTGACATTATTCCACTCGTAACCCAAAAAGCCGGTCCGACCAGTTTAACGAGTTCACTTTATTACATCGCAAAAAAGTGAATAATTAAATTTTCCCCTTTTGAACTTGAAAAAATCAACAATGAACATGTTAATTGATAAAAAAAAAATAGGGTAACCAAAAATCCCCTCCGTTTAAAATTTAAAATCAGCACCAAACCGGTTTAACTATACCGGACCGAACCTCATTTTCACATTTCCCATCGTCATCTCTAACAACCGAGGCACCGACCTCATAAAGAGAGAAAAACAGAGACAGTCCCTCTCACTTTCTACACATTAAGCAACAAAAAAAAACTCAAATATTCGAGAGAGAGAGAGAGAGAATTAATGGCGTTGGCGAATAACTTAACGGCGATACTGAACTTACTAGCGTTACTATGTTCGATTCCGATAACGGCGTCAGGGATATGGCTTGCCTCAAAGCCTGACAACGAGTGTGTCAATCTCCTCCGTTGGCCCGTCGTCGTTCTCGGCGTTCTCATCCTCGTCGTCTCTGCCTGTGGCTTCATTGGCGCCTACCAGTAAGTTTAACCCAGTAATTTGATTAAGAATTTATTTACCTTCTTCTCTAAATAAGCACAAAGATCACGCCTTCTGATCTCAGCTCACTCTGAATCATTCTTAAAAAATCTAAACTTTGAAAAACCCAGAAAACAGAGAGAATCTCACAACTGAATTTCCCAAATACAAATAAGATTCAAAGATTTGTTAGTCACAAAGATCTCAACTTTGAGCTCGAAATTCTCACTCTCAGGTACAAGGAGACTCTACTGGCTGTGTACCTGTGCTGTATGGCGATACTGATCGGACTTTTGCTGGTGGTTCTGATATTCGCTTTCGTCGTGACCCGACCCGACGGGTCATATCCGGTTCCGGGTCGAGGTTACAAAGAGTACAGGCTCGAAGGGTTCTCGAATTGGCTGAGAGAGAACGTTGTGGACTCGAAGAATTGGGGCAAGATAAGGGCTTGTTTGGCTGATACCAACGTTTGTCCTAAACTCACCCAACAGTTCATCACCGCCGATCAGTTCTTCTCTTCCTCTTCCATCACTCCTCTCCAGGCATGTGTTTCTCTGTCTCTCTCTCTTATTTTATTCTCTTTTTCTTTCTCATCCCCGAAACTTTCTAGTTTGTTACATTTGGCCCCCCACATTTAATCTTCTTACATTTGAACCCGAAAAAACAAATACTCCACATGATTATGGATAACTTGTAAAATAAACATTAGTGATTTGTAGTTGCTTTTATATGGTACCATTTGTTATTCGAAATTTATTTATAGGTAGTTTCGCAGATTTGTTAACTAAAAGGTTTTCTTACAACATCTTATATTAGTTTAGATTAAAATGCTTAATGAGAATGATTTGTTAAAATCTAGATTATGTGAGACCTACGGTTTGTTCTTATATATGAGAAAAGAAAGAGAGAAAGGTCCACTATTCAAAAGTAAAAATATGTTGCTTTATTTATATATATCATAAAGTTATAAATTTCACTTCAGCTTTTGTGAAGTCCAAAAGAGCATTGTTCTTATTCTCTACATTCCTTCCTTTATTTTTATTGTAGCTTTTAACTTTTTAAGTTATTTCTCTTACCCTTTCACTTTTGATTCGCTAATCTTTTAGCAAACTGAAAAAGTTTCAGTGTTAAATTCAACAAATTCATCAAAATTGTTTCTGAACAATTCAAAACCAGTATTTTCTAGTGAAAACATATTTTGAAACTTAGGAGTACTATTATAGTTTATTATTTATAAAAAGCATATTTAATCCTAGTAGACTGGTGTAGAAGTTGCTGGAAACCAACAGTCCAAAAGATTATAGTAAGATAACCAGAATTCAAAATAATACACTATCATAATTCATAAGGACCCACTCAAGCACCCAAATTATGGTACATTATCTTTTGTCATTATCTCACTCACATAATTCAATGACCCTATTCTCTTTATATAGTCTCTTTATCTTAACTCAAACTTTGACATAATTTGAACCTTTTAATTCAAAATTAAAGATAAAGTCACTCTTAGAATTCATTTTCATGTCTTTTACGCTTGAAACATGGAGAGATTTAGGGTACAGCTTAAGAGCTTTTGTTCCAATTCATGTATTGACCAAAGGTAGTGGTTACTAACATAAATCTTGGGTTTAGGTTACATTTGAATTAGATTTTGGTACTATTTCTGGAATAATTTTTTTATGTTGGTAAGAAGATCATTTATTCTAATCTTTATATGAATCAAAATTTAATTATGATAATTCCTTATCAAATAAATTTTCACGTACATATGTGTCCTTCGTTCTTTAATATGGAAACTTTGTTTAAAAAAAAAAAAAGAACCACTTTAACTAGTTTGGAACCACTAATAATTATATATGACTAGATGATGAGGTTTTGACTGATTGTATATGGTAGTAAAGTATACATTATTGAATATTGAACCAACGACTAAGTTCAATAATTAGAATCACAAGTCTTTGTCTCCCCATCATCATAAAACATAGTAATAAATATTTATGTCTCTCCCATGTTCTTAACACAAATATATTGAAAAAATATCTTACTATTCAAATTAAAGATAATCATATTTTCATTTCTTTGAGCTTTTTTATCTGATTATGACATTTTCTTTATGTTGTACAGTCCGGTTGCTGCAAACCACCTTCTGCGTGTGGCTACAACTTCGTGAACCCGACACTGTGGCTAAACCCAACCAACATGGCAGCAGACGCAGATTGTTACCTGTGGAGCAACGACCAAAGCCAGCTTTGTTACAATTGCAACTCATGCAAAGCTGGTCTTTTGGGAAATCTTAGAAAAGATTGGCGTAAAGCAAATCTCATACTAATCATCACTGTCGTTGTTCTCATTTGGGTCTACGTTATTGCGTGTAGTGCGTTTAGGAATGCTCAGACTGAGGATCTCTTCCGTAAATACAAACAAGGTTGGGTGTAAAGTGTTACATGTGGATTTAGATTTGTAATTTGTTTATAGTTGTTTGTTTGAGATTGGAGTATTTGCATATAGCTTGTGATGTTTTATTCCTTTGTGTTTGGAAACAGTTTTTTTTTCATGTTAAACTAGATGAGTATTTTAAACTTATGTTATGACTACATTTTTTTGAAAATTTCATGCTACGTATTAGTTTTTTTGACAATTAATTAGTTATATTAAAAACTATAAACTGAAAAAGTATCGAAGGCAGACGATGAAAATAGAATAGTACAATAAAACAAAGGATAAAAGTATTAAGGGGAGAGATTTGCTTAGCAGCGTGAAGAATCTTATGGAGAAATTTCTTGGCATAAGATTTTGAGCATCAACCACACGTACGACCAGTTTAATGTTGTTTCTCATGGTGAGTTTCTTGGTTTCTTGGGTCCAAGAGAGATTTTAAAAGGGAAAGATTCTCAAAGAAGAGAAACTCAACTGCGGAGGAAAAGTATTTAATCTGATTGAACTTACCACGAAAGAAAGCTTATTTGTTGGTTGACGTAAAGAAAGTGATTATGAAGAAGTTACTTTTTGTCAAAATGTCAAAAAATATTGCCAAAATGTCTAGCAACAAAAGCTTGCGAGCAAAGAACCAAATACTTTTGTTTATACAAACCAAAACTGCGATGGTTTGAAACCTATTGATGCAAAAGATAACCAGTGGCATTTTCGTGAATGTGAATGTTTCTAATATGCAATGTAATCTTTTACTTTTACTACGTTTATTCATTTTCAGTTTGTTACTATTAAACTGAGATTGCATTTGATTTAATTTATAATTTATAATTTATAATTTTTAAAATTTATTTTTATTGTATATTTTTACTTTTTTAAAAAAAAATTAACTATACCATAATTAATAATATTGTTTTTATATAATAACTAAATATACCATGCATGCACGCATGACGTATGTACAATCGTGTAAGATAATAGTATATAATAAATGTTGTAACTCAATTTTAACACAGTAAATTAAACCCATTGAATCCCTATGATTGGTAAACTTTGTGTAATTTTGGAACGGTGGGAAACGAGATTCTGCAAGAATTTTGCCAATTAGAAAAATTTACAGCAAAATGCCAAAATTTGAGTTTTGCGAAATGGTAGAAATACTTAAAAAAAAATAAAATAAAAACTTGATTAAGTGAAAAAGTATGTTTCAAATAGCTTATTTGCGGAATCAATATTTTATATCTTTCAATTATATAATTAATTATATTTTAGTATTTAAATAAATATATTTATACTATAAATATATATTGATCAAATTATATCAATAGATTAAATTTTGCAATATATTTATATATTTTGTAGTAAATAAAAATAAAAATAAATAATTACAATAAAAAACATTATTTTTGTCTAATTATATTAAAATTATGTTTTTATAATAATTAATATTTAAATTTTCATAATACCAAATTATATATAAAATATATTATTATGAAAAAATAATTTTATATATTTTCTGTCATTCTACCATTCCGCCGTTTCACATAATTTATCAAATCCTATCAAAAATAATTATTCTGCATGCTGCTCACAGCTTAATTTTTTCCGTTATTCTGTGATTTTATTGTGTTACCAATCAGAACCTAATATGTAATGTAGTTTATCACATATTATGGCCATATCCCTCTGTTCATCGCATATAATGACCATATCCCTCTTTTTAAGTCTTAAATGTATCCTTGTGTTTTGTTTGTGTTAGATTTTAATTATGTTCACTCAAAACTAATTGTTGAACCAGAAAATCACCACTATAATTAATGATTAACGGTTGTGGGTTTTAGAGAATAAAATCTTATTCATTAGTTCAAAGGCAAAGCGATTACAAGTTTGGTATAACCGAGAGGTTATGCCGAAGTGAAAAAAAAATAATAAGCAATAAATTAGAAAGCTTGGAGTTTTTAGGGTATTGTTCTGCTGCTTTCTACGATCTGTGATCTTCTTATTTATAAGAATAGAAGGTCGGTTAATGCGAGCACTTTTTTCTTTTTCTCATTTTGTGAATATTTCTATATTTACGATATGAAAATATCTCTTATTCTCCAAAGAATATGGAAATTATTCTTTATCTTTGAATATTTCTCCGAGTCGATCCAATATTATGAGGATTAACGTCGGCAGTCCTCTTAATCTTAATAGACTTAAGTTATTACTAAAAAAACTAATTTGTATTTTTATATACATATAAGAAATTCCAAATCTTAATTTGTATGGTTAAGCGTTACATGACACTACATTTCTAGGTTTAAGCCACTTGTGCATTGTCTATACATTTAATTAATATATTGTCACTTCTTCGATATTAGAAAATGTATATCATAGTCTTTTCTTTGTTTTACTTAAGTTGGAGAATCCATTTTGTAAGAAAAAAATCAATAAAAGAGTTTCAGATCTGAAATGTTAAGAATAATATTTTACTCCAAATATATAAGTGATGCTTTAGTTAAAAAAAAATTGGTGATCAATAAAAAATCTGAAGATAAATTCGCAGTTTTCCCGGATAAATCTAAAACTTGCCCAAATGTCATTACTGGACAATTCGTCAACATTTGATAAACGATAAATCATATGCCACATCATGAAATCTATACAAAACGAGTCAGTGATTGCTCAGTTCCAAGATAAGAAATCTTTTACGGTTGGTTAAAACATAATTATCAGGAAAGACTTATCTTTTGTTTGGGCTCTCTAAGTCATCTTATCTTTATAATCCAAAGTGTATTTTCAACGATAAGAACAAAACATAAATGAAAGACACAAAGCTTTTTTTCGTCCAGTCTATCTCTGATTTCTATAATTCAAACAAACAATACATTTTTTTATTAACGTTTTTTTTGGGTATCTACATTAATTTTTTTAAATTGATTATTCTGAAGATAAAATGTTTATTCTTACGAAAATTATAAAACCTAGGCTGTCTCTAGCTATCGTTCAATTTATCTTAACCTTTAAATAATAATATTATCCGGAAATTGTTGTATTTTCCTAACGTGGTCGAAACTTCTAGGTAAGTTACTTTGATCCATAAAACATTATATTTAATTTAAGATGAATGATCACGATTTTAACATTTTATGTTGTTGGATGTTGCAATAATATAGTTTATTGCAGATAACCCAATAATTGCGGTTTAGTGGTATCTCACCAGTGCATACAGTTTTGTGTAGTTTATCCCATTCGGTTTAGTCAAACCGAAGTCACATCAATACCAATTTGTGATTTATTTGCATATGCGGACCAATCCCCAAACTGATGTCGTGCTGTTTGTTTAACTATAAGGTTATTTATTTATGTTTTCTGACAGGATTGTGAATGTCATTAACTGTTTAATGAAAAGCCTAAACCAAAATTAAACCGAAAAATCGAAAACCAAATATGTATTTTTGCGTAATAATTTCATACTAAGTGTATGATGTATCTATAAATAGTTTGCGTCTTTCGCATCCATTTCATAATCCTCATTTCCCGGATTCCTCTCAATCTCAATTTGATTCTCCGACCCGACCCGACCCAAAACCGGGTCAACCCGGAAACCGCCGGAGAAAAGAGATGGATAAGCCTAGCTTTGTAATCCGACCCGAGGAAGCTGAATCCGCCGCAAAACAACTCGGCGTCTCCGTCCTCCAGCTCCTCCCGTCGCTGGTCAAACCTGCGAAATCCTTCGCTCGACCACCGATATCCAAATTCCACGTCGGAGCCGTCGGACTCGGATCATCGGGTCGGATCTTCTTAGGCGTCAATGTCGAATTCCCAGGTCTCCCTCTCCACCACTCAATCCACGCCGAGCAATTCCTCGTCACCAATCTCACCCTCAACGGCGAGCATCAGCTCCGATACTTCGCCGTCTCCGCCGCACCGTGTGGCCATTGCCGTCAATTCCTCCAAGAAATCCGCGACGCACCTGAGATCAGACTCCTGATCACCGATCCAAACGCCACCGCCGATTCCGACGCCGATTCAGACGGATTCTTACGCCTCGGAAGCATCTTGCCGCACAGATTTGGTCCCGAGGATCTTCTCGAGAAAGACTTTCCTCTTATCCTTGAGCATCACGATAACCGTCTCACAATCTCGGATCTCGATTCGATCTCCAACGGAAACACCGATTCCGATTCCTCCGTCGAATTGAAGCGTACGGCTCTAGCAGCGGCGAACAGATCGTACGCACCGTACAGTTTGTGTCCGTCGGGAGTTTCGCTGGTTGATTGCGACGGGAAAGTGTACAGAGGATGGTACATGGAATCGGCGGCTTATAACCCGAGTTTGGGGCCAGTACAGGCGGCTCTGGTGGATTATGTGGCCAACGGAGGCGGAGGAGGTTACGAGAGAATCATCGGAGCTGTGCTGGTGGAGAAAGAAGACGCGGTGGTGCTGCAGGAGCATACGGCGAGGTTGCTTCTACAGATTATATCGCCGAAATGCGATTTCAATGTCTTCCACTGCCGCTGACCTTAAAAAGGAAGGAACAAATAATAAAATGGACTTTTAAATTTTAATTCGTAATTATTGGTTGCCCCCCCCAAAAAAAAGTAATTATTGGTTCGTCTTCTTTGTTATTTGTAATAAGAATAATAATTTAATACGATAATAATGTTTACATGTACTGTGTACTTAGTTATTTATTTTTTGTTGATCCCTTTGAAATTTAATTCGGCTATCACAATCATACAAACAAAGGAGCATATGTAATCGGACTCAGAATCGACCAGATTTTATAAAATTTGATTAGTTCTACAAGTCTCAAAATCGAACAAACCAAAAATGCAGAATAAATCAAACATATGTAAAGGATAAATCGAAATCTCACGTCTAACCACATCATTTTATTTTGTTATAAATAAAACAAAATTGATTGCATTGACAAAAAAAAGAAAAAAATTATAGTATATAATGTTGTATTGTTGTGTAATTAGTAAAAAGCTGACTACTAATCAAGGATAAGACAGAGACTCATTAGTTCATATTTGTCCAAAAAAATTTCGGAATCTTGTATCTAACGATATGTAACAAAGAATTTAGACAGCAGAAAAGAAAGAAAGATATAGATAGACTTATTAGAGAATCTAAAAAAAACAAGTTATGAACGTTCTTTACACGTTGCAAAAGGCAAAAATAAATGTAGATTTTGATGCCTTTACACATTAAAATTTGTTGGAATAATCTGCAAAGTACGAAAGCAGAGAATATAATTAAGATGGTCCACAAGCAACTCCTACTATGAGATGAGTCGTTAACAATGAATCTAAATGAAGTAATTTTCGACTAGAGAAATGAGTATAATTATCAATCCTTTAAACCTAATCTTTAGTTATTTTCAACTTTTAGCATTACAACATAATATAAAAGCTAATCCTGAGAAAACTTCTCTCAATTCAAGTATTCTAATAAGATTCTAAACAACTACAAAATTAATTAATTATATTTGTAACAAAATAGTGTAAGAATTCGTGATTTATATAAGAGATTGGATTTTTTTTTATTAATTCAGAAATATAAAATTTTCTGTTGTTACAAATCGTCGACAAGTCAAGAAAATTATTTATTTTATTTTATTTTTAAAAGAGAGAAAATTTTGGAGAACAAAGTTTCTGCGAAGAGTTGTGGAAACTTACTAATTTAACAATATATCATTGCGTTTACTAATTGACCCAACGGCTAGATATATTTTTAAACATGTTGTTGTAATTACAGGAGGCTTTAAGTGGGCTAATTAAAATATAGGTCAACTTATATGCATAAAGCCCATTACGGTTTTGAGACTTTCCATTTATTCATCCAACAGGTTTTCCATTTTTCAGATGTTTGCTTATATACGTCGTCGTTTTCGTATCTTTGTACTAATTTCCATTTTTTGTTTGTTCTCTCTTGTAAACAAAAAAATCGAGACCTTGTTTCGTTTTTTCTTTTTCTGGCAAAGACTTCGATTTCGTTAATCTCTGGAATAAGAAAGACGAGGCGAAGAAGAAGGAGAAGAAATTGACAAATGGCGTACGTTAGCATGGGTGAAGCTCATCGGCGAATCACTGAGTACCTAAACCGCTTCTGCGACTCCGTTTCGTACCAAGACTCTTCTACACTTTGTCGTCTCCTCTCTTTCTCTTCCAATTCTGCATCTCTTCTCTCACTCGCCGACGCACTCAACGTCTTCCAGGTGCATAAAGTTCTCTGATTTGATGAATTATTTTCTGTTTGATCCAGACCCATGTCGTAAAATTGGCAGCTTTGGAACAGTAGGTTCAGTTTGTGGCTTCTTGTTGGTAAAAGTTTGTGGCTTTTAGGTTCAGTTTCAATCCAGGATGCTTCCGATATGTTCTAATTGGTTCTAATGCTTCACCAATGAGTGTGAATTTTGAATTTAGGGCTCGAAACCGTAGGAGTATGTTCCCGCGATAGAGCATGATCTTTGTGTTTTGCAAAGTTTGTGGCTTTCAGGTTCACTGTAGTCTAGGATATTTAGAGTATGGTGTTCCAATTGTGAATTTTGAATATAGGGCTTGAAATTTTCTGTGATGAAGTTGTTTTAGGTAACAGTCTCTGTCTATGATTGAGTTTAATGTGTATGATTTTTCAATTAGGGCTTGAAACTGTCTGATTAAATTTAGGATTGAGTAATCTGGCTAGTCTTCCTTAGTTTGCAGGATGTTTAAGAATGTATGTTGACAAGTTGTTAGCTAGATTCTTATGATGAATAGCTTCGAGAGACTAAATCCAGTGAATTTTTACTCTTTGAATGATGCAGGATGCTAGCAGTTTGATAAGACAATCTGATAAATTTACTGAATATGAAGAGATTCTAACTCATTTGTTTCGTTCTCTACAAAGTTACCGTGTTGGGAATCTAGTCGAAGCATACCTTGCTTTCGAGAAATTCGCCAAGTAAAGTTTCTTGTTCCTCTCTGTTCCTTTGATGTGTAATTTGATTGTTACCTGTTGTAGAGTAGATAAAGCTACTTTTTTTTGTGTTTTTATTGTCTGATATTTGGTGGCTTCTGTATGTGTGCAGCGCTTTCGTTCAGGAGTTTCGTAATTGGGAATCTGCTTGGGCATTGGAAGCTCTGTATGTAGTTTGTTATGAAGTTCGAGTTCTTGCTGAAATGGTACTTGTTCACTTTTACATCTCTCATCCAGAGTCTTAGATTTGTTTAGTTTCATTTCATATCTCTGAGTTTTGAGTTCTGAGAGCATGATTGGTTCGCAATGGAAATGCAGGCTGATAAAGAATTGACCTCTAATGGAAAATCGCCGGAGAAATTGAAAGCGGCTGGATCTCTTCTCATGAAAGTTTTCGGAGTTCTTGCTGTAAGTTGCCTTGTCTATCTATCTTTATACTTTTGCGTTTGAGTTTCTTTTTTTCTGGCTCCTTATCTAGTTTTAAACTTTAGGGTAAAAGTCCAAAACGAGTGGGAGCATTATATGTGACTTGCCAATTGTTCAAGACCTACTTCAAGGTAAAATGCTCTCAACAGTTTGATATTCATTCTTTATGTTATATGATCAACCATTGATTGGAGTACTAAAACATGTGTCTCTAAATTATGTGTTTCAGCTTGGAACTGTCAATCTTTGTCGAAGTGTAATAAGAAGTATTGAGACTGCTCGAATATTTGACTTTGAGGAATTCCCAACAAGAGACAAGGTGACATATATGTATTATACCGGAAGATTAGAAGTCTTCAACGAGAACTTTCCTGCTGTGAGTCACCAAATAGATTTTCTGGTTCAATCAACGTTCATTTTTTGTAGTATTTGTCGAAGTATTGATAGGGACGTGTTCTGTTTTCGATCTTGCAGGCGGACACAAAGCTATCATATGCCTTACAGTATTGCAACCCCAAGAAAGAACGGAATATAAGGTATGATCGTGGTTTACTCTTTGATTGCATTACTCTTGATTTGCGTTGCTTAATGAGCTTATGTGGCTTTTGTGTATCAGGATGATATTGAAGTATTTGATACCCGTAAAGCTTTCGATAGGGATCTTACCAACAAATGAGCTCTTGCGAAACCATAAACTTCACGAGGTAATAGCTTTCCTTCTGTTTACTAAACTTCTCCTCAATTCTATATCGAACTTATATTCGCAGCATCTGCCGGTGATATTGTATCTCTGTTGATCCAATTTCTCTATGTGTCCAGTACATAAACGTTGTGCAAGCTCTGCGAAAGGGTGATCTCAGACTTCTCCGACATGCTCTTGACGAACATGAAGATCGGTATGTCTTTCTATTGACATCTGACTCTACTTATCTACATCCGAATTTCAAGACCTTGTGTTAGACTAGTGCATAAGCATTGTAATTAGCGTAGGTGGCTTGTAGTGGATTGTAGCTGTGTTGATAGCTCAGCAATTAGGTCGATAGTAGAGATGTTCGTTAGTAGAGATGTTTACTTCTTCGATTATATATCACTGAACAACTTAATATCAATTAGGTTCTTGAGGTCCGGTGTGTATCTTGTCTTGGAAAAGCTGGAGCTCCAGGTCTACCAGAGACTGATGAAGAAAATGTAAGTTGTAGATAGATAAGACGAGCAATTTATCCATTGTTACATTCTCAGATTACTGTATTCATATCATCTTTATCAATGTTTCAGTTATATTAACCAGAAGCTGAGTGATCCAGCGAGAGCTCACCAGCTGAAGCTTGAAGTGATTGCCAAAGCACTTAGATGGCTAGGGATGGACATGGATCTTGACGAGGTTTCTTCTATGTTCCCACTCCATTCATCGCTGTTTAACTACTAGAATGAATTCTGTAAACTCACTAACCAGTTCTGAAAAATGTATGTATTTTGCAGGTGGAATGTATAATGACGATCTTGATACACAAGAACCTAGCGAAAGGTTATTTGGCTCACAAGAGCAAAGTGGTGGTTCTAAGCAAGCAAGATCCTTTCCCTAAACTCAACGGGAAGCCTGTTGGCTCATAGATTTATAATTCACATCCATAACCTGCAAATTGCGGGTAATCCTTGTTGTTGTATCAAGAAACCATGCTTAAACTCATTATTTACTTCAACTTTTTTATTGTAGTAGTAGTCTGATAGATTTCATTTGGCATAAGGAATGGTAGAAAGTAATAATAACATTCAGATTATTTTAAATGCTTGAGCCTTTCTTTTTTTTTCCTTTTCTATCTCTACAGATTTACCTTTCACGAGTTGTTGCATCTTTAATTTTTTTTTTGACTTTTTGTCACAATTGAAATCCATCAAACCATGAAACATTGACTCTTATGAACAATAATAAATTAGATACTCATGGTGAAGAGAATTTTTTTTTCAAAATTTACTATGACATTTTGTCACAATAGAAGCCAATTAACCGATAGATTTACTTCGAAATTCTTTGTAGTAGCCTCTCTCTACAGTTTCACGAATTGTTTACTTTTGTACGTTCAAAAACTTGCAACATTTTGTGACGATTGATACCAATAACAAATGAAAAACCTTAGAAAGTTGTAAATAATCATAGTTACTTGCGGACAATTTTATGTAAACAATGAAATAAAACAAATAATAATTTCAAGGGACGGAGAGAAAGAATAATACACAACTTAAGAAACTATAATAGTTTTCAGAGACTTCATCTTTTGAGCCAGCAAGATAGGTAAGTGTGTTTTGAATATTGCAAGGCATCCAGATGGTTTTTGCAGCAAGATCAGGAAGTCATTTTGTTTCAGAGTACAAAAACAAAAGAATTGCATAAAAAATATTGACAATAGTGAAAAATTGGAAAGTCTATTAGATAAAACTTCACTAACCTCAAGGTCCATTAGCTATTCCATCAATATTTTCACTGTCATCCACATGAATCTTGAAGGATTTAAAGAGGTATAGTAGAACGCAAATTCTGTAGTAGACAATCCATGCCCACTTTGATGTATTTTCTCTCAGCATTTTAACGAGTTTTATTCTAAAGAATATAACTCATATCACTGTGGAAACCGATAGCAAACTATCATCTAACCCCAATAAATTATATAGTTGTCTGATAAACAAAATGATATTAATAGTTTTCATAAAGTATATAAATTTCTTTGTAGTTATTGAGATTGAATAGCTGAAAAATAGCTTAGCTTGTGATATAATGACCGTTCGAAAATGATTTTTTTTTTTGCACAAATTTTACTTATTGTATTAATGAGAAAATACTTTTATTCTATTTATAATTTTCCATTACTAATTATTTTTCTCATTTTACTAACTTACAACCATTTGCATCTAAGTTGTATATGATGTAAAAATGTTTGTTCTTAACTTAATTTGACATATAATTAAAAAAAGTTGAGAAATAATATTTAAAACAAAAAATATAACAAATTCTTTGTTACATATCATTGAAATTTTTTTTTTGGATTAATTTGACAAATATATATAATTAAATAATAAATTAAGAGTTTAGATTTCAATCTATTTTTTTATAATAATATAACTAGATAAGAACCAACTCTATGCCGCAAGATATCGTAATATATATTTTTTTCTACATAGATTTATGCTATTTGAATTTTTAAAAGTATACAAATTATATACTACTTAAATATAAAACCAAATAAATATGACAAATTTATTTTTGTCAGGTGAAAATTTTCTTAATACACAACAAGCATAAAACATGTTAAACGTTTCCATGTTAAAAGTGATTCTAAAATAAAATTTTCATTTACTGACCACTTGTTATAGCGATGGAGAAGAGAATATTTCTCAAAACTGTCTATGAAATATTGTCACAATAGAAAGTAAACCAATAAACATCTGTGAAAGTGAATAGTTCTTGAAAAATATTCAAAGGACGAACGAAGAGAAAGAGAGAGAGTGGGCAATACAAAACTCAAAACTATAAAAGTTTTCAGGCAGCGAGATCAGGAAGAGTGTTTTGAATGTTGTAAGGCATCAAGATGTTGAAACCATCAGCAGCAGTTGAGATGATCATCCCTGGAATCTGGTTGTGCCAGTGAAGTTCCTTCAAGTCCTTCTGTCCCTGGTGAACGAAGAGAAGCTGAGGAGGCAAGTCTTGAGGTGCGTTGACTTGTTCCTTGGTCTGCGCTTTGAACTCTTCTTCCTCTTCCTCATCCTTCTCTAAAGATAAATCCCATATCCTGCAGATACAACAGAGAGTTAGACAGATTTGAGGGGATAATAATCGATGTTTTTACTGTATAAGCTTTGTGGCTTACGTGAGCTGGTTGTCGCCGGACGAGACTGCAAGTGTCGAGGCTTCATGAGCGCTCCACTCAATAGACGTGATAGGATGCTTATGGTACTCAAAATGTGCTATCACAGCATCTCCGTCCTAGTTCAAGATTCAAATACTATCACATCAGATTCTTGTTAAGATATATTGATATGGAGACTATAAGTCTATGATGGTTTTTTAACGCACCTTGATCAGTCTAAGATCACGGATAGAGAATGACCCGTCATCACTCCCTGAGGCCAACATGCAACTAGCCAGCCTTCATGAAAGAGTAAGTACAGAGAATGAGCCATTTGCGGGTAATACAAACATAAGAAAAATAAGGTTACACATCAAAGAGGCGGAAGAACCTGTTCCATGAGATGACATTCACATCTGTCTTGTGTGCCTTGAAAGCCAATGCAGGCGACTTCCCAACTCGGACATCCCAGACTGCAACAGTCCCATCCACAGAACACGACGCAAACACGTTAGCTTCAGCTGGACTCCACTGGAACAAAGAAAAAGAATGTTAGGAGAAAGTAGCAGTAGACACATAATTTAGCTACAGAGTGACAGATTTACTTGTAGATCCTCAACACTGTTAGTGTGTCCGGCGAACGGAACAGGATCAACAGCCCATGTACCAGAAGCTGGCTCCCACAAATGAATCCTACTGTCGCAGTCCCCTAACCGGTGGAGAAAAATAATAAATACACACTGATATGTTGAAAAGCATGCAACTGTGTTTGAGTATCGTAGAAATTTGTGAAAATAACTATACCGGAAAGAAGTCTTCCGGCAGTTGCAGGACTCCAATCTATAGCATAGCCTTCATTTTTGTGGCCGGAATAGCTAACCAAGGGTGCTTGGTTAAGAACCGGTGAAGTTCCATCTTTACCTTCTGTCTCTGACTCGGCTAAAGCATTAAGATGAGAGCTCATGTCCCACACCTGCCAACAAATACAGAAACATAAACCAGTACGCATGTCAACAAATACGCGAGAGGTGCAAGTAGACAAAAACATATATCTTCATGGTTCTTGCTTCTTATTGCCAAATGCTAAACTAATATATATCGGTTTCAGAAACAGTAAGGACACTGTCTTTACCTGTACATGACCAGAATCTCCCCAAGAGACGCAGATATGAGCGTTTTGTGGCATTGCACGTATACGGTTAACACATCCATGGTGAGCAACCCTGCGAACCTGTATATCGAAATTTTGCAAGACAAAATATCAACCATGAGGACACTCTTGTGACTTCAGAGACAACTATATATGAATAGCATTAACAGTTATAAAGAATCAAGAATTGCCTGAATAGTTGGAGTACTGGAAGCTTCGTCTTCGCTTTCATCGCTGTCACTGTTATCGTCAGCATCATCATCCTCCTCCATATCATCACCATTCACTACCGTCTTGGGAACTACATCGCGTCTCTTACCAGATACGTTGCTGATTTTAAACATTCCTATGGAGTTATGCGGTGCTTTCTCAGCCTACAAGGGAAGGGGAAAGAAAGTATTCACAAATTACGAGAGACTCTAAAGCACAAAACACATTTGTAAGATATAAAGATACAAGACTCACCTGAGTCCCAGCCACCATATACAATGTGTGAGGAAACTCAGTTCGGTTCAAACCCAATTTATCGCTTAAAATGTCAAAACTGGACCCAAAAACAAAAAGACAAATCCATCAAATCACTCACCAAACTTACAGTAAATTCCTCAACTTTATGAATCAGATGGTAAGGTAATGTATTTTGCAGATGAATACACAATTTCATAAACAGAGAAGAACGTTCTCATCCAAAAATTTCCAGGAACATGATTAAACCCTAAAGTATCACGATTTTAGCTACTTTCCTCTACATTACCTCAAACAGGGCCAACCAACATGGAACCCATGAAGGGAATTATAAGCAGAAGGGTCGCATTGAAGCTCTTCCCCATCTTCAAGCTTATCGACACCTGGCTGCCAAACCCTAGTTGGTATCGATGGTATCGAGGAAGAAGACGCATCTCCCTTATTCTGCCAATTCAAAAATACAAATTCACGCTATAAATAAAAAATAAATAAAAAATTCAGATTGGAAATTGAACAAGAGCAAGTTTTGGATTCAAAATTCAAACCTTGTTCTTCCTCTTTGGCTTCCTAGGGTTTCTGCGGCGATCCATATTTGCGTCGCTCTGATTCTAAACTACTCGAAGCTTCTGATCGACTTTTGTGAACTGAGAACGATGAGGTTCTTCATTTTCGTTAGGGTTTAAGCAATTTATACCTAATGAAATAGTTCTCCTCTTTTGCATATATACCCTCTATTTGTTGAAACATTATTCTATATACCCCCAAACTTTTGAACTATGAAGAAATAACCCCAAACTTTTATAACAGATCACATCCAAGCTGTTCTTATAACTATTCATTGCTTATAGTCAACAATCAAAGTAGCAATAAGGCAAATGAAACAACTATTTCGTTGATTAGAGTCAACAATCAAAGTACTAAAAAAGAAATGAGATGATCCTTTGGTGTACCAACACTAGTTTTCTGATTCTACTTGGAGAAGAACTTGTCCCAATCACGAAGAGAAGAATCAACAGAATCATCAGGGAGAAATTTTGGAATCCTCTCGGCGCGAATGAACTGTTTCAAGATAGCTTTCTCGTCATCGATTCGTTTCTTCTCTTTCCTGTCTTTTGGTTCCGTCTTCCTCTTCTCTTCCAAGATCCACTTGAACAGCTCTCTCTGCTCGTCTTCTGGAATCGGTTTCCTCGCCACTGTAACAGGCTCGGTTGCCGCAGACTGAAACACCAGCTGATCAGCTGCGTCTGTAAACTCAAACAGAGGATCCGGTTTAGGGATCGGTTTGGCTTCTTCCTTCTCCGGTATTATTGCTGTTTCTTGTTTCTTAGCCTCGTCAGTTTCTCCAGCTTCGCTGCTTTCTGCAACTTTCTTCTCGACCTCGGCGTTCACAACACCCTTTCTCGCACCTTTGCCCTTTTTAACTACCATTTTCTCGCCCGCATCAATGTCCTTTTCTCGTTTTTTAGCAAATATATAAGCTGCAGAAACACATCATAAAATTAGCACAAACAACATCATCTTCAAGCTACTTATAATGCCAGAAAATCAAGTATTGTTTTCATTCAGACCAAGCTGCCAGCGAAGTACATAACCAATATGGGTTTAGTGAGAGTATGCTAAAGAAACCTAATTGTGGTTTAGGGAATACGCTGAAAATTTTCAAAAACTGTGAGCACAAATACAATAAGATGAACCAAAACAAGAACGTATGTGCATTCTCTATAAGTTCAATGTCTGTTCATCTCGCTCAGAACATCAACAATGAGTATGGCGAATCAAACTCTCTTGGGAATTCGTTAAAAGCAGATTCTAGTAATGCCATGGCATAATCAGTTCTGTTTTAGAATCGAGGCAAGCACAAAGGCTCCGAATGATAAACTTGTATCCTATAATATATGATGATTGCTAGAAAAAAATCGTTTCGTTTCTTGATACATTGGGAAAGAATATTTTCTCAGCTAGGCATTTCATCAAACACATTATGTACGCAAAATGAAATCACACCAAAAAGGCAAAAAAAACTAAGAAAGTTTTCCCCAAAGACTAACCTGCAAGACCGAGATTGAAGATCAACATGGTTCGCCAGCCGACTGTAGCCAGTCTCGGAACGGCTTTCTGTGGAGGTTGGGATCCGGAGGAAGACGGCTCCATCGATTCCGATGGAAATATCGCGAAACCGGACTTGGATCTTCCGTATTGTACAGCTTCTCGAGAAATTAAGTATCGTCGGGAAAGAAAATGTAGGTTTCAAGCCCCAATTTTGATGAAATCCCACGATTCTTCTCCTTGTGATTTGATTTTTTGCGTCTTTGCCAAGCAAATTTTGATTCTCCCCGTCTCTCTCTATTTACTTTTTATTGGGAACAAAGTTTTTCGCTTTGATCTTCTTCGAGTCCGACTCTTGACTGATCTTGACGGTATGGTTTGCGATTGGGTCTGGAAGTCTCTAACTCATCAAGAGGATTTGATAATAGCAAAGTTTTAACTTTTAACTCAGCAAAAGCAATCAAATTGGACCAAACCTATTTGATGATACCATAATAGCCATGTTTTAAGTTTTAACTAGTCCAAATTAACAGGACTAGAAGTCAAAACATTACTATTATCAAATTGTTTTGGTCCAGTATGATTGCTTTTGCATTCTGCAACTCTGATTATATAGCCGGTTTGGTTCGGTCTGGCTTGAGACCGAGTTATTTCGTTCAGGTCAATGTGTTCAATGTTCAATGCAATGCAAACTATAATCAAAATCACATAAAGAGTTGGTTTGAGTAGGTTAACATATGAGTTGAACAAAATAGCATTTTTAAGAGTCTAAGAGGAAACAGGATAAGAAACCAAACCATGTAAAGGTCCTAAAAAGCTACGAATATCTCAAAAGACAAACCATCCTTTCAAAAACCAAGATTCTTCGCTAAACCGACAACTAATCCGCATTAGTTTTTTTTCTACCATAGGGGCGATAGAGAGATAGTAGACAACGGTAATTTTATTTCTTTGCTCTCAAGGCTTGGAGGCACATGTCATAACATGCGACTTGAACTTCTCCAATTCAACCAGGACTTCCTCTTCCGGTCTGTAAATCAAGTCACTCATCCGCCATATCTGCCCAAATAAGAAGAAAGTATAAACAACAACATTTTACGTTTTATCACAAAATTGCTCATCGGAGTACCAAAAGAGTGTTTACAGGTGGGTTACCTGCAATGTTCCACCTCCACCAGTAGTCTCACAGTCATCGGAAACACTGACAATGGTCCAAGGGTCCGACGCATTCCAGTGGAAATCAACAACCTTGTCCCTATGAAAGCATTATAACATACGATAACTTAGGTATAGAAGCAAGTAAATGAGAAAGCAATCGAGAAAACTATGATAATGTCTTTAAGAACCTGTGACCAGCATGCTGGAAGAAGAGCCCAGCGGGGCTTTTAGCTCCACGATCAGACTTCTTACTCACCTGATGGACGGTTAAACAAATACCAAACATGAGTACAATGAATTAAGTTTCAGTAGAAATATTAAATATCAGACATATCTGAGTGGATTATGTACACACCCTTTCGTAATCCCAGATGTTCAAGAGACCATCTTCTGCGGAACTCCCAAAAACAGATGACTTATCAGGAGACCACTGGATTGATTAACAAGATGGTATCAGCGGGTTACGAGATATACATCATATTGAAGAAGGATTAAAAAAAAAAGAAGCAGTTGTTGAAACCTGAACACAGAGAACAGCAGCTTTGTGGCCCTCAAATTTATAAATTGGCGTACCAACTCCATTCGAGGTCAGGTTCCTACGATCATACAACCGGACAGTGTTGTCTGCTGACCTGAAACATTCAACTATATCTAATGAGTACTCATATGCATATTTTAAAAGTTTTCTTAATTAGATGCTAAGTGTGCCTCGATCATCTGTCTGAGGCACATGTATATACATCTATTTCCCCATACCCTGTCAGGATCAGATTGTCGTCATGAGGATTCCAATCGACACAATGAAGATCAGCATCATGCGCTTTTTCAACCTGGTATACACAAAAAAAAAAAAACAAACAATATAAAGATAATAGAAGGCAAAACTTCCAAAAAATTGATAGAATCAAGAAGATACAGTACCTTCGTAACAGGGTTAGTGCCAGTTCTTGCATCCCACAGTATAAGGCAAGAGTCGTCACCAACACTGCAGAATTCTTGTGCACTTCACGACATAAAAATTCACCAGAAGCAGAAGCATCATCAGAAAAGCATGAAAAATTCTGCATTTTGCATGAAAAAAATACGAGGTAAAAAATGGAGACTGTTTTAAGAAGTTACCTAGTTGGGCTGAATGCCACATCTTCAACCGTATCGTCATGGCCATGATACACACCTCGCGGGCCAACAGTGGGACTCTCGGTCTTATCACCACCTTCACCAGTCTGTTTGATGATAGATCCAGATGATTTGGAATCTGCACCAACTGTTGTGATGTGGTCTTGGATACTCCACAGAACAACTGACTTGTCCTTGCCTAAGAGAAGAGCCTTTGTATGAGAAACTGGCAAACCATAAGATCGGACGGACACTACAAATCAATGAATCATAGAAACACAAACCTCCAGAGAGGACAAAGGGTTCGGTTGGGCACATTGCAAGAGCAAATTCAGCATTATCTTGGTGTCCAGTTAGTATCTGCAAGAAAAATGGTTCAGATGATGAAGGCAAGTAGATATCAAAATATCAAAGAGATATGTCATTTCCAACGATGAGATTAAGACAAACAAGAATGAATCACAAACAATTATATGCAACAACACATATCACGAGTGGACATACCAGATCCGGACGGGAATTGGCAGCTCCAAGCACAGCATGACGGTTTGGTTGAGTTTCAACATCCCAAATGAGAACCTGGAATCAACATATTGAATTCATATATCATAACGGAAACTAAAATACGTCCAAAACAAAGGATGGTCTTTGACTGCCAGATAAAGAGATACGAAACCGTCATATTTGAAGTTGCTATGACCGAAACAAGATAGAAGTAGAACTTACATCAGGACTGTCGGTGTGAGTAGCAACAATCTTACTGTTCTGTGGGAGTTCCCTGATTCTGTTAACCTGCAATTGCAAAATAGTGATGAATACAAATCAATACAGGGTTTTACTTTCATCAAAGTGCCAAACGAGTAAATTCATGCACCGGTTTTAAGTACAGTGGTGCAGATACAATAATGCGCCAACAACACTAGAAGCAACAGTGTTAATACGGAAATATTTAGAGTGGGCAGAATTCATACCTCTCCAGGGTGAATGATGGTCTTGTACTTCTTCACAAATGGAGAACGTGCTTCTTCATTGAACTGAAACACACATTTGAAGAAGGTAGTAAACAAGTGTCACGCAACAAAAATACACTATAGTGGGGATCATGATAAGGAAAAGGTACAAGACTAATAGCAAAACCACTAATCACCTGAGATATGTGCTCTGCCGCAGCAACCCTTGGCTTAACAACTTCGCAATTCGCTATGACCAGAGTATTGGGCACACTGCCATCAGTCTGGTGACACAACCAAGAAAAACACAAATGTGATGAGAAATATACAAATATTCTAAGATCATGAGACAACTTTCTGAAATGTTATAGCGAGTAAGATACATGAGAAAATGAAAACCCTACTTGCTCTGAGAGGTAAAGACGCTGGCGATTCTTGTAGGTTGCTTGTTCGAGTTGAGGACCCCATCTGCGAAAACCAAACAACAAATTCAACACTTAGCATAAGAAATAAAGAATTCACCAAATATGATTACAGCTAAAAGCCTAAAACATCTGAAAAACAAAAGACGTTTCCTCAAAACTGATAGTAGCCTAAGAGTTACTTGATAACTCAGAATAATTTGGAACCCAACAAAAACACCAAAACCTAATTAGCCCTTGGTGTTGGTCAAGTCTTATCAAATTCCAGAGGATCGTGCAAAATTCATGAATCGAAAATCGGATTTAACAAGGCTTGAAGACAGATACACATCCAAAACACCAAACCCTAACTAGAAAATTCGCAAAATCTAGCTAAAACCCAGAAATCGAAAAACACATGTCCATATTTCCGCATTTTGCCAAACTTAACCGGAAATGCAGTTCAATAGCCTTTCACTCAAAATCTTAATTGCAAAAAAAAAAAAAAAAAAAAATTCATGCCGAAGATACGATTAACCGAAACCCTAGAAGTACAGAAGAGAAGAAAGAGGACCTGCAAGAGAGTGAAGGCCAGACGAGGTTGTGGTTGGCGAGCCAGTCGTAGAGAATGGGGACGAGACCTTTCCACTGAGAGTACTTCTCGTCGACACTCGGCTGCTGCGTTTTCTTCCCGCTTTCCTTCATTTTCCCACCGCTGCTTCCGGTCAGCTGCTGCGACGCCGGCGTCTGAGAATCGTCCTTGCTCTTAGGTTTCCGGCCTCTCTTCTTCGGCGCCGGAGTCACGGTTCCTCCGCTCGGTGTTGTCCCTTGAGGAGACGCTGCTGCTGCTTCGTCGCTCTCCATTTTTCTCTCTCTTCTTCTTCTTTTTTGTCTTTCTTTATTGATTACTCTCTTCAGTCAACAATACCGTATATCTCTCTCTCTCTCTACACTGCTTTACAAACAAAAAACCACCACCGTTTCTCCTTTTTATTCTTTATAAAATAATTAAAAAATAGAGAGTCCTTACAAAAATAACGGATGAAATGAATTTTAATATTCTAACTTAATTTCATATAAATTAAGTTGTAAAAAATCGTCAAATATGATTAAAAGAGAGTCTAATTAAAATGATTGTCACTCTTCCAAGTAAATTATTACATGACCAAAAAATTATAAATCAATAGAATAACACAAGTACATTCCCAAAACCCTCACACTCAATTCGAAACCTCAACAAAGATGCAAGAGAAACCAAACCGCGGCAATGAACAACACCAAAGAAGAAGAGGAAGACGAGGAAGAGGAAGAAGACGAAGAATCAACAATCTGAACAGGGAAATTGCATTGTCCCTGAGATATATTCTGCGTAGTAATGGTGGCCAAACCTTGGAAGATACAAGCCTCCTCGTCCTGGTTCTTCACCTGAAAGTACATGTTAAACGCATACGAAGCGTTCCCGTTCGCATCAAGACCATTGCAAGAAGATCCGTAGCCAAGAGCCGTGCAGTCCGAGTAAGTGCAGGCGAAATCTATGTTTTTGGCGAGTTTCGTCAGGTCTTTGGCTTCAGGGTTGAAACTACACCACTTGTTTGGTAGATACGTCACGTTCTGCGCACCGACCAACATCTTGTTCTGTCCTTGGCCCGAGAGATCAATAGGAAACTTTGGTTGCCCGTCGAATTTGAATAGTCCCCAATGGCGCTCAAAGTCTCCAGGTGCTATACTTTTGGCATCCTCGTCGAGTAAACCGAACAAGTATACCTCAATGTAGGTAGGTCTCAATGGTGTGCCTTTGTTTGTTCCAAGCCTCGGTAAAAGCCCGTTGTAGAATCTGTAAGCATCACCTGCGAGAGAGAAGAAAAAAACCAGTTTTTTCGAAATCAGAAACTTAAAAAGCGTACTGAGAAATGTTTATGGAGGATGATGATGATATCTACATACCGGTGTTTGCGTGTTTGTCACCCTCTGTTGGCCAGCCGACTTCTCCGACGATAATAGGCATATCTCCATGGCCAACAGCTTTCAAAGACGACACCAAGGTATCGAAATTCGCGTCGAAAACGTTCGTGTAAGCGACGCCGTTGTCATCTACAGGCTGAGCTCCGTCGAAGAAGGCGTAGTTAAGTGGGAAGTCGTCGTTGCCGTAGAGACTCAGGAAAGGGTAGATGTTGATTGTGATGGGAGCGTTGTTCTTGCCAAGAAAGTCGACGATCTGAGTCATCTGAGCGATGATGTCGGGACGGAACCTTCCTGCGGATGGCACGGGGTTGCTCGCTGGCGAGTCGTAGACGTCGGCGTTTAAAGGGACCGTTGCTTTGACGGCGTTTCCTAGCCCGGCTTCGTTTAATGCGTTTTGGATGTTTTGAAGTGCAGGGAAGGTGAGGTTTATGAATGATCCGTTGTATGATTTGAGGAATGGCTCATTCCCAACAGCGACAAACCTGAGACACATTCACCAAGAGATTAGTCTCTAACATGTTGTTGCAATATTCACTTTTCTCCAGAGATTTGATTTCACAGATAGACGACGACACATTCATATATAAACATAACTCAACGTGTTTTACAACTGAAAATTTTCCAAGGAACATATCTAAGCTTTTCTGGACTAAACAGTTTTATGAGGTTTGAGCAAACAAATATAATTTATTCTAATATCATTACAACATTAGAACCAATCTGTAACACATCAGCAAAGAGCATTTGACAGTGTTGTTACAAGATTTACATTTTCCAGAGATTTGATTTCACAGTTAGACAACACATTCATATATAAGCATGTTTTGCAATTGAAAATTTCCAAGGAACTTGTCATAAGCCTCTTTTGAACTAAAGAGTCAAGGGTTTGTGAGGTTTGAGCAAACAGATATACAACATTAGAACCAATCTGTAACAGTCAAATTTGAGAGATAAGAGGGAGAAAGAGAGAAACTAACGTGATATTGACACCGCCACTGAAGTTGTAACGAGTGACATTCTTGCGAACCCAGTCCTTGGCTCGGTCGTAGCTTCCCATGACCTTAAGCTGATCATTGGGAATAGCGACCATCACTTCGAGACCCGAGCCAGCGAGTGCTCCCATGGTGGTCTCGTCCGCGTCGAAAAGCTTAACCTTGTTGATGTTATTGTCCTGTAGCATCTTAACCACTGTCTTTGGTGGCAGCTTGTGTGTTGCCATTGTTCCCCAGTTCACACCTAACCCATCAACCATCATAATACCCAGAGAACCTGTGAGGATTGTGACTCCCAAGACGACGAGGGCCAACAGATTCGCCATCCTGAGAAAAAAAAAAACGGAAAAGGGTTACAAGGGACTTACCCAAATTCAAGCGTGAAATACCAAAAACACAAGTATAACCAAAACACTATATATATGTCAAGTTGCTATGAACATAACAAGGATAGAAAAAGCAACGCTGATTAGTGATCAAAACATGGTTTTGCTTTCATCAAAGTGTGAGTAGCAACAATCTTACTATGTTGTGGAAGTTCCCTGATTCTGTTAACCTGCAATTGAACGTACTTCTTCACAAATGGAGAACGCACTTCTTCACTGAACTGAGAACACATTGCAAATCCAGAAGATAGTAGATAAGCAGATAAGCGTCACGACATGAACAGGCACAAAAGATTGGTAGTAAAAACCGATGATCACCTGAGATATGTGCTTGGCTGCTATGAACCTCTGCTTAACAACCTAAGAAAAAATACAAATGTGATGAGATATATATACATATCTATACGAAATTTTGAGAAAATCATAAATTTTTCTTAAATGTTAATGCAAGCAAGACAAAGGAGAAAGCAGAAAATCTACTTGTTCTGAGAGGAGAATCTTGTAGGTGGTTGCTTGTAAAAGCTGTGGACAGTTATCTGTTAAAATCAAACAACAATTCACCAAATGTAAATCTTAGCACAAGAACTAAAGATGAATAAAGCTGAAACATCAGAAAAAAAATTGAAATTTACATCAAAAAAATCACTTGAAATCAGCAGAGGAACACAAACAGACAGAACAGCAGAGTAAAGTTCCTAAATCGAACATCAAAGATAATATCGAAAAAGGAAATAAACACATCAAGGCGAAATATATCCAAAACGCTAAAAAACCAAACCCTGACTAGAACATTCGCAAACCCCTCCACTTAAACCCAGAAATCGAAAAATCTCTCACCATTTATCTAAATCAAGCGGAAATGCAATTCAATCCAAGCATTAACATCAGAATATTCAAAGCTTTTTTTCACACGAGACAAATCTATTTGATAACCCAAAGAACAGAAAGGAGAATAACTCGGGACCTGTTAGAGAGACGATGATGTTCTGGTTGGCGAGCCAGAGTCGTGGAGATTGGAGACGATACCCCTTTTTCAGTAAAACATTAATTATATAAAATAACAAAGGTAAAATATCTGGAAAGTAACGGATGAAAAGCATAAACCTTTTTTTATTTTATTTTTGGTTAAAGATAATAAAAAAATTAATTAACATTATATTATTTACACATAGAGGCATTTTACCATTATCCCTTGCTGGATTTTCATTTTAGGCACTTTTTGAAGTGAGATAGTTTGTGTGAATTTTTTGATACACAATTACTATTTTAACCTTTGTTGCCCTACGTACATGATAATTTACTTCGCGGGCTTCCAAATTTGAAATAGTCCGGTGGAATATTACAGAAGACATCCACTACTTCCACTTGAAAATAAAATTATTATTTTAACCAAAAATTATCATCTGAATAGGGTTTATCATGCACTTCTTTCTCTTCAAATTGTACTCATCCTCCATCTTGTTCACTCGATTTATGTATCATGGCATTGTTACTTCGAGTTTAACAAGAAACAAAGCTGTCATGAACTTCATTAATCTGCATAAGAAACTCTCCAAGAAAGGGTAAATAAGAATTTCATTTGGAAGAGTTTCTATGATATTAAAAGTTTGTAGTCAATGTGAATTTGAGTGAAAAACAGGATGGTGGACAATAGACGATGGATAGGTCTTGAGAATATCAACTCGAACAAAAGTTTTTCGATGATGACAAAAGCTTCATTCTTACTCCCAAATTGATCATCCAATATATTCGCTCTTCTTGTTCTACACTTCTACTTCTTCTTCATCCACATACCCTAAGATTTATTACAATTTAGGAAAGAGTAAAACCAATAATATTCTCGTACCCAATACTAGATAAATAGATATTTAATATCAACTTACATTTAGATAATAAAATAAACAAATACTAAAAATAAAATTAGTCTGTATTTACGGATATTCGCCCAATAGTTTTAAATTTGCTGATCTTTTTATAATTGCTGTTTTAAGACATTTGATATTTTTCTTTGTATTTCAAAGTTTTCTTTCATGATTAATCACTATACTGCACTCACAATTAAATTACAGCAACTATCAATAAAAACCAATCTAGATTCTATGTTGGTTCTCAATGGTATTTCAACTTTTGATATTATTTAACATTTTAACCCATAAAAGTGATTTAACATAGAAGAAAGAATTAATGACTGAGTCAACATTCTCCCCCGAACATCTTTGGTATAGTATTAAGATCTTGAGATTTGTCTAGAAAAAATATAAGTATATTGGTCTGAACTGTGCAATGAATACTTAGTTTTTTTTATAATTAAATATATATATATATAACTGTATTCATACATGTATCTAGAAGCTAAGATATAATGAAGATTCCGATATGTTGAATGACAAAAGCTAGGTTACTGACTCAATCGGTGTCGGAAACAATGTTGAGAAAGATATATAATATCCGCGATTTTGATTTGCGATGGTAAACGTAGACGATAAATGTTGTTGTTGATGCAGAGTGTAACTTGTTATACTCGTGCAAAGGCATACGATTCTTGGTTTTAACACCATTCACACCATCTCACCAATATCAAAAATCAGTTCATGATGTTTAGTATTAATTAACATGTGTCTTATACTTATGAGCCGGAAGCTCAAGCTAATTACGTGCTTACTGGTGAGTTGTATTTACTATTTAGTGACTCCACAAACTCCACACCACGATCATGCATCCGCGTCGGATCTGGTATGATAGTGTTAATTCGAGTGGACCACACGAGAGAACATTGTAGACAACCTAAAATGGGCTGAAACTCCAACTGTGATTCGTCGCATAATAGTGTGTAAATTCAGCTTATCACAAGCGACCTTCCAAATGTTATCTCCCACAAGACAAAAGACTTGTTTGGAACATTTTCTATTAAAAAAAAGGCCAAAATAGCTAACAAATCTTGTGTCTTTGTCTGAAATAGTAAGTGTAGAGAGCCATGAAAACATGTAAATCCAATGTTTCCGGAAAAAAGTTTATTCAACAAAAAAATTCATAAAAAAATATATTTTACTCGCTAATGAACCATCAAATGTCATGGTCTTTTTGGTATTTTCGATTTTATTCTGATGCAAATTATTTATATGGATTTTACTTAAATTCTCGGTTTTATTCTGATGCAAATCACACACTGCATAGCAAAACCTAATATTTTTAGAAAAGGTTTTAAATATCGATATTCTGATATCCAATAGATTTAATGTCAACTTAAATTTAGATAATAAAAACAAACAAATATTTTGACGCGTATTCGCGGATATTTACCCAATAGTTTTAAATTTGTTGTTGATCCTTTTATAATTGTTGTTTTAAGACATTTGTTATTTCTCTTTGTATTTCAGAGTTTTCTTTCATATGATTGATCACTATACTGCACTCACAATTAAAACACAGCAACTATCAATAAAAACCAATCTAGATTTTATGTTTTTTCTCAATGGTATTTCAACTTTTGATATATATGATTTAACAATTTAACCCAAAAAAGAGTAATAATGTTTTGATAAAGGATAATAGATATATATATGATATAGGATACTTAATCACTGACATAAAGACAGATCTAATTATCTTTTTCTTTTTTTGTCTTTAATCTTCTCCTTCAACTCATTGAGGTAGGCTTCATGTACTTGAACCTCCCACACGAGCCTTTGCAGCATTCCGAATCCACCTCGAACAGGATCACATGTCCATGCAATACCTTCAATGAGTATGGAAGATGCCAACACCGACTTTTGTTCTGTAGGAGCAAGTCTCATCATTTTTAGAATATTTGGCGTACCAAACAAATCATTAGCACTTTCGTATTCCCTTAATCTATACAAAAATTGATTTTAAAGAGCTTCGCATCAATAACTAATTTTGATGCTTAAAATGATGAGACAGCATAACGAAAGAAATTAGTTAATATGTACAATTCATATGGGAAATAATCAGCAAATTCGCAAATCCTGCTGCATCTTATGTTTCTCGTAGTGCAAACTGCACAATGTCTACGCTTAGCCTTAGCTGCTCCTCGGGCTTCCATCGCAATTTTTTATTTATTTTGAAATAAACTTTGTAAATTAAGTAATTGAAAGATAAATAAAAAAGCAATGTGATAAACTATTTATAGATAATATTCTACAAAATACAGTTATATCCAAATATGACAGTAAAATTGTCCTCTTGTGTGGGTATAAATGACTCAGATTTTATTTGACTGTTATATAGATATTTTCATATTTATAATACACTGTTTTAAGTCAAATATATTAAAATTAACAAATCTATCTTTTCTTTTAATTGACAAGTTTCATTTCAAAGAAATCTTTAGTTAGTTTGTTTTTGGCGTAAATTATTAAAGAACTTGAAAGTACATTAAAAAAAACACAATCTACTACTATATCTTTATGGTTCTTATTAATAATAACCAAAAATAAATAATCATATATTTTATTAATATTTCCTATTTCTAAAAAGTAAATGTAAATATAAAGTAGAATTAAGCTTTAACATTTTCCATTCGTCCATTATTTTCAATAATTTAATTATTTCACTTTATATATCAATATAGTTTTTTATTTTATTGATATGAGTCTAATGTGTGTACACACACCCAAACAACTCAAGATACTAACTCGTGGATGAAAAATATAGAAAGAGAGATAAAGAGAAAGAAGGATCACACACAAAGATAATTACGAGTTGAGATAAAGAGAAAGAAAGATCACACACAATAAGCAACCCAACGTCTCATCTCCGAAGAAGATAATGTGGCCTCATCTTCACCGATTCAAAGCAATACGTGGACAAAGCAACCCAAGTCTTGTTTTGGAAGATCATGCATGTATGTATGTCAATGTCATGGCTCGCTCAAATTAAGTCTTTCAACTAAAGCTGACAAAGACTCTTTTGATTACCTATAATATAAAGTGGGCTCCAAATCTTGGAAACAAAAACCATCATAATCTTGGAAGAGTCTTTTTCTTATGAAGAACCATCAGTGTGTGAGTGTGTAACACTTGAGACCTGAGAACTGGCTAAGTGGAAGCGAAGTAACTGTTCCATTTGAATGGTCAATCTCTTGAGCTTATTTCTTGGCTAAAGTCTCACTCTCTCTATATTTTCTAGGCTCGTGTAACCAAATTCGACCAAATATGTAAAACACCAACAAAATTTATCTTCTGTAGTTCGATCTCAGCTAATTCACATTCCCTTAATAGCATATATAGTGACACCCACAGAGACTACATATTCCAGTAACATTTTGTAGATTCCATGTGTTTGGGTGAGAATTCCAAGCAATGTAGTAATATATTGGGCTATATTGGGCTTTTGCACTGTATCTTAGGCGGCAAGTCTCTTGCTTGGACTAGGGTTAGGTTTAATCCTATATCGCTGTGTAAAAGGGTTTGAGATCAAGAGGTGATTCCAAATGTGGCTTGTGGAAAAGCTCCGGTTCGTCATAGTTTTGCATTAGAGAACTAGTCATCAAAATAAAATTTATAAAAACATACAATTACCACTGTTTAGTCAATTCAAATTAGGTTTACTGAATTTTACCCAAAGAAATAAAAACATATAAGTCTACTGAACTCTCATATCCTACAAATCCGTGGCCAAGTAAAAGCAACTTAGAAGGAACAGCCAAACAGATCCGTTTTCATCTAAAGAAGTAGAACTTTACCGAATCTAATTTGGCTTCATTAGCGAATCCATGTATATTCCAGATTTTTGGCACGTGCAACTATATTTGTACTTTTATCACTATAGTCTATAGAAACAAGATTTAAACATAATCATAAGTATTAGTTAAACCAACATTTGCCGCTGTAAGTAAAACAAACAAACCACCATTTACCATATGAAATACCTTAGAGAAAAAGAAACTGAAGAGCAACAACAAATTTACAAGAGACAAATATCGGATTGAATCAGTGAACCAGACATGCGCTCATTGGTTATTGGGCTATATTGGGCTTTTGTATTGTATCTTAGGCGGCAAGTAACTTGCATGCTTGGACAAGGGCTATAAGTTTAATCCTATATCGTTACAAAGTGAGTAAAACAGGAATGTGATATCAAAACAATAATTCATAGATAAATACAATTTTTGAAAAATTATATCCAATTGTGCCTAGATATCTATTTTGTGACAATAATAAAATTCGTTTGACTTCAAAATTTAATGTTTTATATATTGCCACATATAATTGATGTCAAAAAGATACATTGCTATAATTAGATATATAATGCCATAATTAGTCTCCGTCCCATTCAAAGTTGAAGCTACACTTGTATATATTATATATCACATGATAACTAACCAATTAATATTACTCTTGAATAGTGATAAACCCAATCCATTTCTTACATTTCTCTCATCTTTCAATAAGAGAAAGGGAGAGAGAGGAAGAGAAATGGCTAATCTTCGTCTAATAAGCACTCTAATCACAGTTTTTATTTACTTACTTTCGGGCAATATCATCATATCGTCAGAGATCCCTAATATCGTTTTACCCAAATCCTTAAACCTCACCCTCATCACCGATCCTCCCACCATCTCCGCCGCCTCTCACGATTTCGGAAACATCACCACCGTGACTCCCGGTGGCGTTCTCTGCCCTTCCTCCTCCGCCGAGATATCCCGTCTCCTCCGCTACGCCGCCAATGGAGACAGGATGTTCCAAGTGGCGGCTCGGGGCCAAGGTCACTCCTTAAACGGCCAAGCCTCCGTCTCTGGCGGAGTAATCATCAACATGACGTGTCTCGCTGACGTGGTGGTTTCAGAAGACAAGAAGTATGCTGATGTGGCGGCAGGGACGTTATGGGTGGATGTACTGAAGGAAACGGCGGAGAAAGGCGTTTCGCCGGTCTCTTGGACGGATTATTTGCACATCAGCGTCGGAGGAACGCTGTCGAACGCTGGAATCGGCGGTCAAGTGTTTAGAAACGGTCCTCAAATTAGTAACGTCCTTGAGTTGGACGTTATAACTGGTACGCAAACACAATCAAAATCCAATATTTTTGTATAATTTTCTATAATTTTTGTTTTTTTGGTGTGACATCTTTCATGTTTTTATAGTTATCTACTAAATAGTTTTGCACCACACGCAATTAAATATTGGAAACATAAATGCGTAACGCATCTAAGAATTTTTAGTGACTTTATTTGGTCATCACAATTGATAGTATATGCGTGTATATTTGTAATTTTTCTAATGTTCATGCATGACGCATGTAAATGGAACTTTTTGCCTTTGGTAGATTTTTTCTTGGCTTTCAGTTTCTCCAACAATGATTTTCTTCTTCTAATTATTCAAACATCATCATTACGTAAGGTTTTAGAGAAAATTTGACAAATCTATGAATTGGATTATATACATACTGTAGTTGATATATAATGTATTTGATTAATCATATTAAAATTTAGGCATGTTACGTATTTTCGCAGATTATCTTATTTTCTACAGGTAAATAATACCAAGAATTTTTTCACCTAATACAAAATTATGTATATTAAGTTGTGCTTAACTATAATTACTTGTTTGATATATTTCAGGGAAAGGTGAAATGTTAGTATGCTCGCCACAGCAAAACCCAGAATTGTTCTATGGAGTTTTAGGAGGTTTGGGTCAATTTGGAATAATAACAAGAGCCAGAATTATTTTGAACCATGCACCTAAAAGGGTACGTATCAACAAATCTCACCTCTTGTTTTTTTGTTGTTGTTTTGTCTATTATAATCTATGCGTTTCCTTTCTTGATTAGTGTAATTTTTGGAAAGTTTATTGACCATTCTCTGGGTATTAGTTGTAAATTTGTTCACCGTATTTGAATGAAACCGGACAGGCTGTAAATAATTATGGATATTACGGTATAAATAGTTGGTTACATATTGGATAATGCTATCGTGGTTTTACGAAAACAGAGTTAGAGACGTATGGATCACACTAATTCACAACTCACGAAAATTTCTTCGATGGTAGCCCAAAACTATAATTAGGTATACGTATATAAATGATTTGGTGCGAATTTGGAATCTAGTCAAAATCTTTGCGTTGAATGAAAAACTGATATGGAGTATCATAGGACTTGTATAGTCCAATCTTGTCGTATGCTTAATTTGTTTTATTATAGTCAAGCTAATTTTTTGTTAGTGTAATCAAGATCCTTAATTTGTGTGCAAATCAAGCTCCCTAACAATTAGGCAGTTTTCTTTTTGCTAAGACTTAATTAGGCAGTGTAAACATTTCTCTATATATATTTTGTAATCTAGGCAATGAATATTATTGGTGAGAATCTTACAACAACGGTAAACACAACAATTGGTTATCATGTTTAATGAATTTACAAGATGTTTATCATTATTTGGTCATAATATGCCATATGATGACGTTCTGTCTTATGTTACGTATGTTTTTATGATTTGAAAATTTATTATATTGGTTACATTATGAATCAAAAAATTGAAATAATGGTATATTCACTCAAAGTACTTAAAATATGTGAAAATAAAAATGGCTTCTTTATATATGTGTTAGTGTTAATTAGAAGGGAACTTTGCAAATGAAATGTTGTAGGTGAAATGGTTTCAAATGCTGTACAGTGACTTCACAGCTTTTACAGAGGACCAAGAACGTTTGATATCAATGGCCAATGATATTGGAGTTGACTATTTAGAAGGTCAACTAATGATGTCCAACGGCATCGTAGACACCTCGTTTTTCCCACCGTCCGATCAATCTAAAGTCGCTGATTTAGTGAAGATGCACGGTATCATCTATGTTATCGAAGTAGCCAAGTATTATGATGATCCCTCACATCCCAGCATTGTCCAGGTACTACTACTCATTTACATATTCATTCTATACACATACACACTATTGTAATTCCTAACATGTTACACCACATTATTATGACATTCATCATCATCATGTTAGTTTATAGGTAATTTTCGGGTTCCTTGGATCTTAATCTTCTCTCATCTATATATATATGATCATCATTGTTACTGTTATATTCTAACATTTGTAGGAACTTGTACGTTAGATTATAGTAACAATATTGTATAAATAAATTGATTAGATCAATGCAAGTATGGATTTCTAATAAAGAAGGCTTGGATTTTGCTAAAGTAATTTACACAAATATGGTTTGTATCACATCATTGTTGCACCACATACACATATCGATCATCAAACAGAGGTTCATATTTCAGACCAATCAATTTTTTTTTTTGTGTGTGTAGGTGATTGACAAGTTGACTAAAACCCTAAAGTGCCTTCCCGGGTTCATATCAATGCACGACGTGCCCTACTTCGATTTCTTGGACCGTGTACGAGCCGAAGAAGATAAACTAAGATCTTTGGGTTTATGGGAAGTTCCTCATCCATGGCTTAACCTTCATGTCCCTAAAACTCAGATTCTCGATTTCCATAACGGTGTTATCAAAGACATTCTTCTTAAGCAGAAATCGGCTTCTGGACTTGCTCTCATATATCCCACAAACCTAAATAAGTAAGCTTTCTATTCATATTATCTTGAGAAACAAGTAACTAGATTTTCATTTTAATGGTTTTGTTGCTATTGTCAGATGGGACAATCGTATGTCGGCGATGATACCAGATGAAGATGTTTTCTATATAGTCGGATTACTACAATCAGCAAACTCACAGACTTTGCCAGAAGTCGAAAGCGTTAACGAGAAGATAATTAGGTTTTGCAAGGAGTCGGGTATTAATATTAAGCAGTATCTAATGCATTACACCCGAAAAGAAGATTGGATCGAGCATTTTGGATCGAAATGGAATGATTTTGCGAAGAGGAAAGACTTGTTTGATCCCAAGAAATTGTTATCACCAGGGCAAGATATATTTTGATTTACATTAATGTAACCGGAATGAGTAAAGAAATAAGATTAACCAAAATTACTAAAGAATTAGTATTACATACATTAACACAAAAGTAAAATAAAAAAGTAATAATTAAACATTCGTAATCTCTTTTAGCAGCAACATCAAATTAAAAATGTATTATGCCTACAAGATTCGTTTAATGATGTTGACATGTGTAGGTCAAAGATCTTGGGATGCCATTTTTTTGGGAACCTTTTCTCTTTGAAGTGACAAGAAGAAAATAAATTATTTTGTTTGCATATTATTAGTTATGCATACGAATCTATTCTGTTTTTAATAGCATAAGTATATATATTTTTTAAACTAATCGATAGATACTTTTAAAATCTATAAAATACATCTGCCTACTACTACTAATAATATTTTGGATAAATATGTTTACAATTCCTTTTTCTATTATCCAGTTCGCAAATTTAAGGCATTTCATTTCAATATAGTTGCTTGTGTTTTACACAATGTTAAACTGTTTTAATTTTTATAGATAGTATCATTATCTTTATCAATTTTCATATAAATTTTAATTATTGAAACTGTTTTGATATAATCTTCTCTTATATATATATAAGATAGTATTATCTAAAGTTTTAGTATTAGTTAAAGAGTACTAGTGCCGGCGGAGATGAACGATCATTATCGAGAGACGAAGTTGTTCCTTCGCCGATTTCTGCCTTGGCTGTACGTTGATTCATCGTTGCATTTTTTGATTCATCGTTGCTTTTTGATTCCTTGGCGTTGAAGAAAGTGTTTTTTTCATGATACAGAAGCAGCCCCGTGGTAATGGCTAAGAAGGATATGTACGTGGTGAAGCGCGACGGGTGGCTGGAAACTCTGGACTTGGATAAGATCACCGCGCGGCTTAAGGAGCTTAGCTATGGGCTTAGCAGTTACCACTGTGACCCTCTCCTCGTTGCTCACAAAGTCTCTGCTCGTTTCCATAACGGAATCACCACAACTCAACTCGACCACTTGGCTGCTGAAACCGCTGCTGCCATGTCCTGTGACCATCCTGATTACGCCACCGTCAGTGTTTCTCTCCCCCATTGTGATTTCGATATGATTGGCCTGCGCATAACTCTTTTGATTCTCAGCTTGCTGCCAGGATCGCTGTCTCAAATCTTCATAAGAACACTAAGAAATCATTTTCTGAGACGTGAGTGTTCTGATTTTTGCTTTCCTTTGATTTGATTTTGAGTGTATCATTGATTCTGCGTTTATATTTCCAGCGTTGCGGACATGTTCCACCATGTCGATGAGAGATTTGGGCTCAAGGCTTCTCTAATTGATGAGCATGTGTTTATGATAGTTATGGAGGTAGTATTCTCAAAAAAAAAAACAAGCTGTGTATATATATATGCCTTATGTTTCTTGGATGGTGAATCTTCCTTTGGTTTCAATCTTAGAACGCTGCTCGTCTGGACAGTGAAATCATGCACGACCGTGATTTCGATTATGATTACTTTGGATTTAAAACGCTTGAGAGGTTGTGCCTCTTGAAAGTCGATGGGAAAGTTGTTGAAAGGCCTCAACACATGTTGATGCGTGTCGCTGTTGGCATCCACTTGGACGATATCGACTCCGCAATCAAAACTTACCACGTGATGTCTCAGAGACTCTTCACTCATGCACCCCCTACTCTCTTGTACGCAGGAACTCCAAGGCCTCAAGTAAGTCACCTTCAAGGCTTTTTTTTTTATATTTCTTCTTTTAAGATATCATTGTTGAAAATAATTGGATTGGCAGTTGAGTAGCAGCTTCCTTACCTGCATACAAGATGATAGCATCGAGGGCATATACGATACACTCCAAAAGTGTGCTGTGATAAGCAAATCTGCAGGCAGTGTTAGTGTTTCAGTTCACAACGCAAATGGAATTTCTAATCTGCTGGGTGTTTTGAACGCTACTGCTCGTTATGCTGATCAAGGAGGAGGTAAGACTAAGAGACAATGGTAAATCTAATTAGTATATGATCTCATTTTTGTTTGTAATTGTTGGTCAAGGACCCTTTTCTGTATACCTGGAGCCATGGCATGCTGATATTTATGAATTTCTAGAGCTCCGGAAGAGCCAAGGAAAGGTACACAGTACAGTGTCATGCCAAGATCACTCACCATCACATGTGTGTAGTTTCCAAGTTATACAGTTTTTTCGCCAATCCAATGCAGGAGGCTAGAGACTCGTTGTGTACTGCTCTCTGGGTTCCAGATCTTTTCATGGAGAGACTCAGGAGTAAAGGGAAGTGGTCACTTTTTTGCCCTAATGAAGCTCCAGGTTTGGCAGATTGCTGGGGCATGGAGTTTGAGAGACTGTACACAAAGTATGAGAGAGAGGTGAGTGCCCCACCACTGCTTATGTAGCTTGTTATCTCCATACAAGTTAATCTTCGTCCATGTCTTTAGGGAAAGGCCAAGAAGGTTCTTCAGGCGCGAGACCTTTTTTGTCATATCTTGAAATCACAGCTAGAAACAGGAATGCCATACATGCTTCTCAAGGTTTAGTAACATTCATGTTTCTGTAGCTATATGTATAACCACTCGGACTAATTAATGGTTTTTTTTTTTGATACAACTAGGATATATGCAACAGAAAAAGCAACCAGCAAAATCTCGGTACAATAAAATCCTCCAGTATGTGCACTGGAGTTATTGAGTACACTAGTCCAACAGAAACTGCTGTGTGTAATCTTGCATCGATTGCCTTGTCCAGATTTGTTATGGAGAAAGTGAGTTTGAAATTAGAAAAAAATTTCCCAAAAATGTGTAGATAAAGCTCTTAACGTTGTTCTTCTCACGACAGGGCGTCCCATTCGACTCTCACCCATCTAAGCTTGTTGGCAGCCTGCGCTCAAAGAGTCGCTACTTCGATTTTGAAAAGTTAGCCGAGGTAACTGCTACTGTAACTAATGATGTCGATAAGATAATAGACAGAAACTACTATCCTGTGGAGAGTGCAAAAACTTCAAACATGCGTCATAGACCTATTAGTATTGGTGTGCAAGGTCTTGCAGATGCATTTATCCTTCTTGGAATGCCGTTTGACTCTCCAGAGGTAGAAACTACCTCTTTGTATGCATGCGAATTTTTTTTGTTTTGTTCTCTCTGTTGTAAGCAGTTTGATTTGTGACTCAGGCCCAACAACTGAATACGGATATATTCGAAACCATATACTACCATGCACTCAAAGCATCTGCAGAGCTTGCTGCGAGAAATGGTGCATATGAGACATACAAAGGAAGTCCCATGAGCAAGGTATGCACATCTCATTATTTCGCAGTTACATCAATATATCCCTATGACTAAACTTAATTGTGCTTCATTCTCTTAAGGGGATTCTTCAACCTGACATGTGGGGTGTGACTCCGTCAAACCGCTGGGACTGGGCGCTTCTTAGGGACATGATATCAAAGACTGGAGTGAGGAACTCTCTTTTGGTATCACTGATGCCAACTGCTTTAACCAGTCAGATTCTCGGGAACAGCGAATGTTTCGAGCCATACGTATCAAACATCTACAGCCGCAAAGCATTACCTTCAAAAGGTTTCCTCAGTGGGGAGTTCATACTTGTGAATAAGCACCTTCTTCATGATTTGACCGAGATGGGTCTTTGGACTCCAAAACTGAAAGACAAGGTCACCCATGGGAACGGTTCAATAAGTAATGTCCCAGAGATACCTGATGACATTAAAGCGATTTACAGGTAATGTTGTCATTGCTTTTCTTCACCCACTGCCTATGTTTACCTGAAACCTTTTTCTTGCAGAACTGCATGGGAGATGAAACAAAGACCCATGATCGACATGGCTGCTGATCGTGGATGCTACATAGACCAAAGCCAATGCTTAAACTTACACCTGGAAGAACCTGGCTACCTAAACCTCACTATCTTACAGTTCTATGCTTGGATTAAGGTATCATCTCACTCTAAATCATTGCCCAAACTATGAAAAGAGTATTTGAGCAAACTGTTGAGCTTCAACAGGGATTAAAAACTGGAATGCACTACCTGCGATCACGAGCTACAAACTATGGTCAAGGTTCAATAAACAAGTAGAAGATAGTCATGAAGCTAACCTGCACAGATGGTTTAAGAGTGAAGGCCAGAGGCTTTTTATGGTCAATGCATTTGTAGGATGTTTCAAACGAGGCTATAGCAATGTACAATTAAGGCCGGCCTTGTGCAAAGCCGAAGCCCACTTACACAAAGCTCCCTATAGGGTTCCCATCAACTAGAATCTTCTATGATTTAAAGAGGCAGATGAGAGTAAACAAGGTGAGCTCATACATCTTTACATCCAGATCAAAGTAACGAAAAAACCCGACTATGTGAACAGCACAAAGCAATATCCCGTAATAAGCAATTGAAGCCCACTTTGGTCTCTTTAGGATATCAAACTATCTCATATCCCATATAGAGAGAAATAGTATGAGAGTAAAAACCATATTGCATACAAGTCCGATTGATGATTTTCCTCGGCATTCCAGTCAACAAATGCTCACATAACCAACACGAATCAGATGACCTTAATCACTGTATGCACAATCCGAAAATCTTTATATATATATGTATGATGACTCAAAAATTATTATAAAAAGAACATAAATAAAAAGAAAAGAAAAGGAACATAAATAATTAAAAATTGTAAAAACAGTAAATTTGGTTAATATGTGGTTTTAATAGAACCATATAAATCAATTAAATCATATAAATATTTAAATTTGATTAAAAAGTTAAAAAAATATTATCAAAAAGTCAAAATGTTAAAAATACTTAATTGTGTTAAATATAATATAATATTATAAATATTTGAATTTAATTAAAAAATAAATATTTTAAAAAATAACTTGGTCAAAAATTTAAAATATTAATTTAGTTATATATTATTTTATATAATTGATCACTAATATAAATCTTAAAAATATATTTATTTTTATATCTTTATGTATATTTATTATTTTAAAATAAAATTTATAATATTTTACTTTTCTGAAATGTTAATATTTTCACTAATGTAATCTTTGTGAATTAGTCACAATTACATTTGTATAATAAAAAATTATTAAAATTAATTATAAAATCCTATAATCAACTTGCATATTTACAATTGTAATAGTGAAATTGTTACTAATACATATTAGTAGCATACGCATAAAACTAATTAAATTACTCACTTTAAACAATATCAAAATCATTTCTTGTGCAAAAAGTATCCTTTTTAGTAAAATTATTTATAGATTTCTCATCTTACGTACTTAATATACTATAAAACTGCTTTACTCCAAAGACTAATATTTGCTTTCCTAACAATTCTTTATATTTCTCATTTTACTTTTCTTTACTCTAAACATTAATGGCGTCATGGCAGCAAGAACAGTGGTGATTTGCGCATACTTCTTCACTGCGATCGTGTTTTTCTGTTCTAAATTTTGGGTGAATCTGCCAACAGAAAAAGTTTGGATCCTAATCATTTTCTTCATCATATGCAATATTTTATTTCTTTTTCTACTGCTTCAGCTCAAAAAACGGATAAACAGGTATACTCTTCTACGCAATTTTCAAAACAGTCAGAGCTTTGGTTACTTTAACCTTTATAATTGGATTGAAATTTGTGTTCAAAATCTGAATATGATACTTTACTAATACAAACGTCTCTCGTTTTTGCCATTTTCATAATTGCTTTAGATTACATTTACCACATCAATGAAGATGTCAGCTTGTGTGAAAGTTATTTCTTTGTTTGCTTTGTGCTTATGATGGCACATAAAACTATAAAACTATGTTCAGTTACATCAGAACAAAGAACTTGTGAAATCCCCGGTAAAGACAAAGTATGTTTTCGTCTCCACTAAAAAAACCGAATGCCGCAAAAACAATTACAGTATTTGTCTTATATTGTCATTGTTATCGTGTTCTTTGTTAAGTTAAATGAACTTCAACATAAAATCAATTAGCATTACTCAAATTTCTTATATATAAATCAATATTTTTCTCAAATTTTGATGTATCTTACCCAAATTTTAAAGATTAAAGCCTCATGATCCATTAACTTCTACTAATCTCACTATTATTGGTTTTGATCCCGATCATCTGCGCTATTCCGTTTCTTCATCTCCAGCCGCTTAAGCTTAAATATCATATGAACAGCATATACCTCTATGCAATGTTCAAATCATTGGGATCGTTTAGCCGCCTCTTTAATTAATTGGATTGGGCCTTCCTAAAATCAATGTGATGTAAAGTTTCAGAAGCTTTGCATTATTAGTAAATTAACTATCTCTTGTTAGTTATCGTATTTTTCATGACTCAGTAAATTATCAAGTTAAGAATATAATTTGAATTGAAATAAAACTGATATTGGAAAAAAAAAATGTTCTGTTCTAGCATTTAAATTTCCCATACAACTACAAAAATTTCTCACCCACTGCAAATGGATTATAATTTATATGTAAACGTGATTAACTCTCAAACCTAAATTACATGAGGAGAGAGGGAAACTGAATCCAAACCGCATTAAACCGAAAAAGCCTACACCAAAAGAACAATCTTATACAAACGGGAGGTGGGCCTGATCATGCTTCAACGACCGCAGCAGCAACAACTAGAGATGGTGCTTCATTATCTGTGTTCTCAGATGAAACCACAACTCGACCAGAATCTTCTTCGTCCTCCTCGGATTCAGATTCTTTATCTGCAGCTTCATCGGCGATGAGCTTGTCTTTGAGCTTGTTCATGAGCTCCTCTTGAACCGGTTCGTTCAGTCTCAGAAACTTCTTCAAAGCCTCTTTTCCATGGTAGTTCTTCCCGTTCAGATTGTAGAACGTTCCGTTTTTGGCAATGAACTTGTGCGTTATGCTCAGTTCGATTATCTCTGTGACCTTGCAGATTCCTTTTCCGAACTCGAGCTCAAACTGTGCTGTTCTGAAAGGTGGTGCGAGTTTGTTCTTCACAATCTTAACAGAAACTAGGCCTCCCGTTGTCTGCAAAAGCATACAACGTCAGGTCTCCAACACAAGCAAATGCAGTTTATTGACCATTATTATTCAATCTCAAGATAATAAGGAGGCAACCAAAAGGTCTTGATTGACCAACTAAACACACATCACAAGCATAAGACAGATTGGAAAAAAAGACTTCATATAGTAAAGGTAAGAGCTCGAAACACAAGCAAATGCAGTATATATACAATTCTCAGTCATCCTCAAGATCCGTATTTGTTTAAACTAAGCAGGCCACAAAAACGTTTTGATTAAATACCAAGCACACATCACATACATAACACAGAAGAAAATAAGAGACTAGAACACAAGCAATTGCAGTATATGTACAATTCTTAGCCATCCCCAAGATGAGCATTTGTTTAAACTAAGGACATATCGTAAAAGAAGTCAAATTTCTTATGCTTGAAACTCAAAATCTGTGAGCAGGTTTTGGTTCGTATGCTTACCTCTTCGCCTTTCTTGATAAGTCCAATTCGCCTAATATTCAGACGCATGGAAGCATAAAACTTCAAGGCATTCCCACCACAAGTAACTTCTGTCGGACCCCCGAATCCTCCAAATGTCGATAGTTTTGCTCTCACCTGAAGGAAAGACACACTCGCATAAGACTTACATTCCACAAAAGCAGGAACTTTTCTACAAATCTCAACTACCAAAGTTCCATACCTGATTTATAAATATCAGAAGTGTCTGAGATAGCGATAAAGAGTGGCTCAGTTTACGCAAAGCCTGGCTCATCAGTCTTGCTTGCATAGCCATGTGAGCATCACCCATCTCTCCTTCAAGTTCTCCTTTAGGTACAAGAGCAGCCACCTGCAAAATCAAAACCGCATGAAACCGTGAGGAGAGAAATATAGAGCCCGGATCAAAATCATCGATCCATTTATTCATCACATTTATGAATCACCTTACTTACACTGTCAACTACAATCACATCAACAGAACCACTTCGGATCAAAGTGTCCACAAGACTAAGAGCCTGTTCACCACAATCAGGCTGTGACAGAAGCAGATTTTCTGTATTTACACCGATTGCCTTAGCAAGTGACGAATCAAGAGCATGCTCAGCATCCACAAAGACACAGGTTCCTGTACGCAAAGAACGTTTTTTTTAGAATACTCACAACTTTCCAAATACAATACAGTTTCTGTAAACAACATAGCCGAAGAGTTAAAAGAAACATGTAATAACCTCCTTGTTTCTGTGCTTCTGCAATTACATGAAGAGCAAGCGTTGTTTTTCCAGATGCTTCAGGGCCATATATCTCCACAACGCGTCCCTATAAGTAAGAAGAACAATAAAATGCTAAGCTACCCAAAGCTGAGACCAATATCACAGGAATCTTCAAAGAGATATTTGAATCCAATGAACAAAGTTAACCATCGAAAATGAACCAGCCTAAATAATATCACTAAAAGATATATATATATATACCTTAGGAAGGCCACCGACTCCTAATGCTACATCGAGGGCAAAAGATCCGGTGGAGTAAACCGGAACATCTCTGGGAGAGACAGCACGACCGAGCCACATGATGGACCCTTTGCCAAATGAACTGGTTATCTGATCAATCGCTTGCTGAAGAGCAATCTCCTTTTTCGACATACCTTCCTCGGACGATCCATTTCCATCAGACTTGCTCTTCTTTTTAGCTTCAAAGGAAAAACAATCGCAGAGTAAATACTGTAAGAGAGACAATGAGCCAAGTAATCAGAAAAGGAAAAGGTATATAGATGGCTTCATCAAAATCCTGAACCAATTTTTCAGTAAATCAGTTCAATAGACACAAAGGTGAAAGCTTTAATTAACCTTTGGCAGCAAAACCTCGGAGCTGAAACGATGTCCCAACCACACCTCTACTAAATACCTGTACAAAACGATGGAATCTTTCTCAGACAAAACAATTAAGGGCGACAGTTCAAGCAATGAGCAGACTTCACAACAAATAGACAACATTTGGGATTTTCTTTACAAAGAAATTAGGCAGGACAGTAACAGAGTGTTCTATTTGTCGCAATACCCAAGTGAGAAATGTGATTAAATTACCTGAGACGAGAAAAGAGAGCGTCTCAGTGAAGACACGTTTCGCAGAATCCCCGCCATAGAAATGCACTCAAGCTTCTTTCTCGCGACAGGTAGACAGAAAACTCAAAGTATATAAAGATGGAAAATTCGAGACTACCCAGAACACAGACTCATACGAACACTGTTTCGAACTGGAGAAGAAGAGAAACACAACGCAGAGAAGAGCTGAAAAGCCAGGGGGTTTTAGGTTTTCGTTTCCCTCCCAATCTATTTTTTTGGGGTTCTTTTGATCGGTTTTTTCTTACAAGTCCCCACTCACCGAGGTTTTGGTCCTCTGGAAAGTATAAACCGGCTCATTAGATTGATCGGTTTAAGTCAATTTACAGTTAAGCAATCTGAGTTTCATATTACCCGGCCATTTACGGTTACACCCAATTATGTATGAGTCTAAAAATATGAAACCAATATTCCTCCTATTTAACAAAGGTTGTTGGTTAGGAAATGATCACAGAAGATGATGATTAAATTTAAAATCTTACCTCAAATTGGAAAATGAAGATGGTTAACTTAGTTGCTTTTTTAACCGGTTATGTCCCATACGGATAACGGAACCAAACCAACTCACGGTAAAAAAAAAGTTTAAAATATCACTAATTAAATTAAGTTAGTGTTTGAGTATTTTTTTAATCTCTTATATATATATATTAATTGAGAAGTATTTTTGTAAATAATCTTAATATTATGTATTATTTACTATACTGTTATTTTACTGAAGTATTTTACTGTTATTTTTCTTTCTTTTTCTTCACCAAAAATGTCATACTAATTATTTAAATAAACACTATATTTCTTCTCTTATTTTTTGTAACTTACTTTTGTAAAAGTGAAAATCGTTATAATAGAAATTATGTGATTTTTTGTACATATGATATAATTCCAAAACTTTAAAAATAAATATAAATTACTCAAATGATTAATAAAGATGAGTATACTTTAAAGATCACACATTGAAAATAGCCATATATATTTATAATTTTTTTTTGTTTAATATATTTTTTAATAAAACCACATAAACTAACAAAATAACAAAAATATTTAAAATTGATAAAAATTTGAAATTTTAAAAATAGTTTATTATGCTAGAAAAAAAATTATAATGTAAACATATACTGATTAAGTTATTTTGAGGTTATAAATAATTTTATTGCTTAAAAAGATTAAGAATCTATAAATACTTACTCAATTATATATAACTTTAGATAATTGATCAATAATATTAAACTTGAAAAATATTTTACATACTTTTTATGTATATAAATTTTACAATAATTTTCTAATTGAAATATTGATATTTTTATGAACATTGTCTTTACGAGTTAAGTTAAGATAAATATGCAATTACAATATCAAAATTGATTTAAAAAATCTAATAATTTTAATAGTAAAATAAATTTTATTGTTACTCATATATAGTATAATACAAAACTAATTTAATCTACTTTTACTTTAAATAATTTAAAAATCATTTTTACAAAAAGTATTTATAAATTTTCTATTTTGCGCTTGCCATAGATTATTAACTAAAGTAATTATTATTCTCCTTCATTTATAGAAGTTTTGGTCAATTATTTGTGTTTCAATGTTTTTTCAACCGTTGCATTCAAATTTCAACTATGTAATGTTTAAATCAAACGGATCTTTTGGAGGCAACTACATCTTTAACTAGATTGGATATGCCCATAAGATAGAGTCAGATACATTTTTGATTTAAGCTTCAGTCTCTTCCGTTATTTTCTTAATAGGATTGGATTGCGTTTACCACATTGAAATTAGCGTTGAATATTTATATATTATAAAAAATAAATTATTGATACAGAAATAAAAATTTATACTTTAAGAGAAAATAAATTTTTATGCAACGTTTGCTACCATTTATATTCACTGAACTTTGACCTAAAATAACAAAACAGTAAGAAATTAAAAAGCTATTCTTTTAGTTGGTTTACTCATTACAAATTTTCCTATTTATTTTAGGAATCGAAAAGCAAACTAATATGCACAACGTTTGTTCTAAAATTCCATAACAAATTTCATTTTGAAAACCAAAAGAATAAATGAATATGAAATAAAATTGAAAACTATTATAGAATCACAAAATGTCGACAAACTAAACATATTTCTTTGTAAGTTTTACAAAGAGATAGAGGTCAGACCTTTGTTTGGTGACATATTGGTTGTGGTAACTTTTTAAATGGTTTTTCAATCATTATACCTATCACTTCTTACAGTTAGAGAAATAACTTTTTCCATATCATGTCGTTTGAGCTTTACAGACTCGTATTGACATATTTTTAAAAGCTACTAGATCGAAAGCTTTATTGAGTTTTTATAAAAACAAAACTATAATTCTCCACAAATGTTCTCTCGCTGTGAGATCACACAATCAAAAGTTGAATGGTCTCTTGTTTGATGAAAAAGTGCTCTTGCATAATGATTCTCTTGAACACAGATTCAAGAAAGCCTTGGTTCTCAAAAAGCAGACTTCAGTTTGCAAAATTTTGGCATTATTAGCTTGGAAGGACTATCTGACTTGCAAGCTGGATGAGCTTCCTGAGAAAGATTGAACTTGGCAATTATCATGGAGAGAATGTTTGTCAAGGAGTATGTCAAGGCTGTTAAACACTTGAACAACTATGGCATGAACATGAAATAATGAGCATGAAGTAATGAAGTAAGGAGGCAAAGATAGGAGAGAGATAACTCGTTTTTATTTCCAGTGAATAATAACATAAACATAATATATTGACGGATTTGATTTTGAAATGTATTTCTTACCAAAAAAAAATGTTTAAAAAACAAAAAAACTCCACAAACAGTGTCAAAATGTGAATGCATGCAAGATTTACAATTAAATTTCGTTTAGGGTATCAACAAGTTGGGATCTAGATCTCCTTCTTATAAGCCAAACGAAACCATCTATCGTTGTAAAGACTAAAAACGGATGTTGTTTTACGTACTAATAAATGGAATTGTGAAGAGTAATGACGATCTAGATTCGAGATGTTTCAAGCTAAGAGATGAATACAGAAAAATCTGATTAAAACATTAAAGTGTTCTTGTTCGGGATGAAGTTCTACTCCCTTCTCATCTTATATGAACGAGTTCAAGGTCCATGTCCTCTCATCGATCTCCAGTTGATACCAAACTATGCCATCTTTAGCTTGATCTTTTTGACTTGGGTCGAGTTTAGTGACACACCCAACACCAATAGTGTCTAAATAAGTTACGATGAGTAGTGTATATTTTCCAAAATGCTAAAATAGGAAAAAAAGATAGAACATGTATTGGCCCGTAACCAATAGGTTCACATTTAGCATATCTTTGCATAGCCCTAGAGACTTGCTCCTGCTAAGATATTAACTCCATTAAACTTACATATGAAATTTTGATACGTGTGCATGCAATGAAATTAAGAGATTCACTGAATATTGAGTTTATGAAATGAGAGCCAACCTCAGCAATCATTTGGCTGTTAAGCTTATACCAGAACTTTGACAAAGGGTTTGGTTGAGAGGTGAGTAGTGTATTAGCTCTACTCGACGATCATTTGCAGTAGCAACAACAACATCATCTTCTATAGATTCCAGAGGCTCTTCTTCCCAATCCCTAGGAACCCATCCGCGATTTACTAGAATAGGAGACTTCGATACTAGTGACAACAGGAAGAAAGAAAAACAGTTTTGTGTCATTTATAATGCAAAACTAATTTGTATGTGAGTTTGTAAAAAAATTCAGATGCACGTAGAATCTAAATCAAAATGAAGAAAGGCACAAACTCTGCAAGTGTTTGCATTGTCGTCTAGATTTTAGTTAATTGAAGATAACTTTGCATACAACCCGTTGAAATCCTAACGTATCCACAACTTTCGTTGTGTTCAGCTTACTTGGCTCCATTTCCAAGCTTTGTCGTATGTATTTAAGACGTCCCTTGGACTTGAACAAAGAGTTGTAACAAATTCTTTATCAGATAATTATAGATCCAACTCTAATATATATTGGAAAAAAAGGCTAATATTCTATAATGAAATCACATACAATTCTTTTTGTACGTTCGTAAACGTCTCATCGACACCGTAGGTGACCAGTCCAAAGAATAACCATAACGGCCATGACCGACTTTTCTTCAGTTCAATACATTTAAAAAAAAAAAAATAACAAAAATTCCATTTTCATGAATATCTTATATATCACCAAGATTCATGAGCTTGATGAGAGATAGATCACAGGAGAAATAAATACCTGTGGGCTTTTGCTTTCATCGAGACAACGTCTACTTTAAAAATTGGTTTAAACATAACTTTAAGGCATAACTTTAAGGTCACTCTTACGGCCCAAATGCGATATGAGTTACCGTAAGGTCACTCTTACGGCCCAAATGCGATATGAGTCACCGTTTATACGATCAAGTTATAAGATTTTAACGTTGAGCAACTGCTCATCAAAATTTGACCAAAAGGACGAAATACTATTTGTTCAAACCAGTTCATGAGGAACACATTACAAATAAAAAATGAAAGATGAGACACAAACCAAACCAAAGAACCAATTTTTTTTTTAGCAAACCTCCCACCCAAAACTTGATATATAATCATTTAATAAACCGGACCATGACTCTGCAAATTAAGAAACACAAAGACCCTTCATCTTCTTACTTCTTCATAATTAAGCCAAGCTTCTTCACCGGAGAAGAAGATTCCTCACTGCTGCTTACACTCCGGTGGCCTCTCCCCTTGTTGACCTTCCGCAAGTTGACTTCTTCCAGACTTCTGTTCACAGAAAAAAAAAAGAGCTTACGTTAGCACAGCCCTTAAGTAATCAACAAGAAAGAGATACTACGGTCGAGATTGCGTTATTGTTAAAACCTTGTGCCCAGCGGATGACTGCAACAAAACAAAGAGAAAGAACCAAAATCAGTTTCCGAGGTTTTGGCTTTGTATAAGAAACAGAAAAGTAAACAGCTTAACCACATACTGTAGTAGTACCTTCTTTCTGTTCTTCTTTCCTTGATCTGCCTCTTCTTCCTCGTCATCATCTTCATCATCATCCTCGTCCTCCTCATCATCATCCTCGTCCTCCTCGTCATCTTCCTCATCCATCTCCTCATCGTCGTCCTCCATCTCAATGTCATCTGCCTCAACAGCTTCGCCAGTGAACCATGACACAGCATGCGCGATGATTTTGTCTTTGATGGTTGATCTACGGGATAAACAGTGGACAGATTCAGATCCTAGAACTGAATTAAAAAGCAGAGAGAACTGAAAATGAAATAGAAAGGTACAGACCCGATATCATAGTCGTGCTCCATTTGGCCTTGGAGTTCATCAGCCTGTGCAATGCAAAAACAGATTATCAGATCAACGATAAGCACATATCCTTAAGTACTAAATCGAAAATCAAACTGCTTTTGGGAAAGGCCGTACCATTTCATCATCAAGATCCTCTTCATCGTCAGGAACTTGAGGTGGGCTGAAAAAGTTGAAGAAACTCTCACAGTCCTCAGTCTTAGTGATTGGCTTTGTGTTTTTGGATCCCTTCTTTGGCTTCTTTTTAAGGATCTTCTGAGTCAAGCATTTTCCAGGATACCACTCAATCTCCGTCCTGAAATGTATAGTTAACTATCAGTAAGACGGCTTCTTGTCTTAAATAGACGAAAACATCAAATACATGATAGAGCAAAAGATCATACCCAATGGCCTTCTCGAGGATAGGCTCATCCTCATCAATCATGTGATATGTCTTGGTCAAGACAGTGTTCTTGAAGTACGGGTTCTGATCAAAGAAGAACTCTAGCTTGAACCCTTTTGGTTCTTCAACCCTATTCCACTTGATATCCTTAAGGAACTTAAGAGCACCTTCATCTCGCTCAGTTATCTAGAATCATTGGGATAAATAACATTAAGATAAAGAGAATCGCCTCTTCATAAACAAAAAATAACAAAAAATAAAGAGTATCCTAATAACAAACCTCCTCAGCGGTAATTTCATTGTTCTTCAATGCAATAAGCCAGAAATCCGGTACTCCTTTCTCTACAGAAAAAAAAAATACAGATTTTCATATCAGTTGAAACATGATTACACCATCATAGGAACCTAAAAACATAACCAGACTTTAGTGTAAGTAAAGCCTGATAACACACCTTCAGCAGCTTTATCTTCTCCTTGTTCTGTTTTCACTTCTTCCGGTGCACCTTCAACTTCAACCACACCGTTCACAATCTCATATCGCTGTATATGATCAATACGTTAGTAAAGCAAAAATAACATCAATATAAATTTATAATCATACGTCAATGAGAAGTCTTCTTAAACGTTTATTAGTCTTATTCTAATATTACGTTGTGAAAGCAGAAAACCAATCAATATCAATATTGATCAAAATAAGTACCAACAGAGTGAAGAAGTCCTAGTAAACTTTTAGTAGTTAAGATTTCATGCGTATCAAGAACAATACTCTCATATTAGGAAGCTAAAGATCACAGACTCAAAGATCATTCTTCATACCTTGGTGTACAAAGGCTGATACAGCTTTTGGTATTTAGCTTCTAGAGCTGCCCTCTCCTCGAAGAATTTTGCTTCCATTTCATCATGTTGGTTCTGCAGTGTAAATTGAAAAAAGGAATCAGATACAAATTACGCCAGAGCACAAAACCAAACCAAACCAATTCAAACCCAACGCAAAAATCATCTAGCTGAAATTTCACTCGCCTGAATCTCTCTTAGAACCTCGACACGCTTCCTGACTGTCGGGCTCAAGTTCTCAAGGACATCTGAGTGTTGTCCAGCCAAATTCTGCAACTTGTTCTGCACAAACACACAAAATAACATTCAATTTCAGAGGCAGAGACAATCATCATATCGTCTAAAATCATTAAAGTCTGATCAATTCTCAAAAATCAGCAAGGCCCAAATCACTACCAAAGGTTGCAAATATTCTAACGGGAAACAGCAGTAAAACTAAGATGCAGAGACAATCCTCAACGCAAAGTCCATTGTTATGAATCATCTAAGTGAAATCAATTCTCAAATTGCTCAGAACCATAATCAGAACTCAAATCGTCTAGTGAAACTCACCTTGAGAGCACTAACAAGCCCCGCGCGATCCTCCTCGTTAAGAGCTACAAAGCAAACCACAAAACAGAAGCCTCTTCAATAAATCTCGAAGAAGAAGAACAAAAACATAACGCAAAAAAAAAAAAAAAATCCGGCCTCGTTCTAGAAGGATACGATAGAATCATACCGGCGGTGAGATCGCTCATGTTCAAGCTGTCCTTGTCGTTGCTCATCTTGCAAGAGAAGAATCTGGCGGAGGAAGAGGAAGATAAGAAACCTTAAAACCCTAGATTTTGGGGACAGTAAGAGAAAAATAAATAAATGAAAAGAAAAGGGGCCTAAGATGAAATGACCAAACCGAAATAACTGGGCGCTTTATAAGACCCACTTTATCACACCTTAATTTTTTTTCCTTCTTTATTTATTCTTAACGTAATTTGAATATTTGAAAAAGTAAAGCCATGTTTGGTTACAGTAATGCCCTCAAGGCCCAAAACCCAATCAAATGTATATGACAGTAATATTTAAACAGATTTGTATTTAATTTAATCATTGGTTTCAAAGTTTTTGCCAAAATGTGGTGTTTTCCGATTAATTATTTTCTCAATTGGTTTCAAAGTTTTTACTTAACATATATTGTTGTTTTTTTTTAATATACAAATTGTCTGGGCAGTATTTCCAGTACTTCTACCTACTTGTTGCTTTTGAGATTTCTTGAGAAAAAATAATCAATTTTAAACAAACTTCATATATATAAAAACTATGATTAAGATCATTTGAGCTGTCGTTGTGTTTTTGGGAAAAAAAATTACAATAAAAAACAATATTCAGGATTTTCTATATAAAAATATAGAAAAAATATATAAAACAAAGAGTTAGTGGAATAAAGAGAAAATAAGTTAAGATAATACTCCCTCCGTTCCACAATCTAAAATTTTTTTGGTTTTTCACACATATTAAGAAACATTATTATCTGCTTTTTAGAATACTTTTTGTTTTCATTTAATAATTATATTTAATACTTTTTAAAAATGTTACTCAAATTAGTTTTGACTTTTTATATTTCTAATAAATTTTTATCTTTTGTTCTTGGAAAGTGAGATTTTATTAATCTAAAAAATCAATCTTTCGGAACAGAAAAAAAACCCAAAAAGTCTTAGATTATGGAACGGAAGGAGTATAATCCTCTCATGTATTATAAAACTGATTTACTCCAAAAACTAACAGTTGCTTTCCCAACAATTCTTCACATTTTTCATTTTTTTTTCACTTTAAACATTAAAAAAAAATCTTTTTAAATCAGTCGGCTACTATTACATTTTTAATTGGATCAGAGTTGTGCTCAAAATCAAATCTGATATTTTTCTAATACAAGCGTCCCTCTTCTTTGCCGAAGGTTAACTTATGTGAAGCTTATCTATTCGCCGGCTTTGGGCTTATGATGGAGCATACATTCATTCCCAATGAATAATTCTATGCATCGGGCCAACTCTTTTGTTCTTATGTTCAATTACACCAAAACAATATTGTGAAATCTCTCATTAGAGATAAATAATATATTTTCATCTCCACTAAAGAACTGAATGCTGCAACAACAATTGTCACTGTTATCATGTTTATTGCTCCAAATTCCGGATGAATCTATGGATGACTTTGAAATCGTTATTGTAACTAAGATATACTTTAAATCAACTTTATAAACAGAAGATGCCTCGAGAGATGTTGTTGCAAATCTGGTGCAATAGCATTCTACAAAAGAGAACAACTAATGTCAACAATCAACATGACAACATGTGTCTTGAATTCTATTGTGAAATTCAACAATGCAAAATCATTTATAAAAAAATATTTATCTTTTATGTTTCATAATATATCTACAGAATATTCTACAACATGTATTTATAACATTATTAATTCTAGATATAATGGTTAGTTGATGGTAAAAAACTTCTTTAATGAAAATTAAGCTATAATATTACTTGAGAACCGTGTTTTTTTAATAATTATTATTGTCACATGATTTTTTTACAAAAAATTACTGAAAACCAAACCGAACCGAACCCGAAATGGAACTTAGGATAACCCGAACCGATCGTAACTGAACAACCGAATGTCAACCCGAACCGACCCGAGAAGGAAGAGAAGAGGGGAAAGACACTAGAAAGACCACAGGCAACACGCGCAGGTTTTTCTCCTTTCTTCTTCTTCTTCTTCTTCTTGTTGGTTAACCAAAACTCCATCGAATCTCTCTAAATTCCTCACCTACTCACTTCCAATTTCTGAAGAAACTACCCGATTAGACTCCTCTCCTCCGTGAAACCCTAGTTCCTCGGCGTTTTCGGAACATAGGGTTTTACAGTTCGTCGGTGTTGATTCTCGATGGAACCTCGTATTGGGAGCAAGTTCCGACTTGGCCGGAAAATTGGAAGCGGCTCGTTCGGAGAGATTTACCTTGGTTCGTTTCTCTCTCTACGTTTATCACATAAGAAAAATGTATACTTGATGTGTTTGCCGTGTGACTAGGTCAATTAGTTATGTTGCATCTCTTCTGTTTCACTGTATCTAAACGTATTGGAACCCAGTTTCCGGATTAAGTGGAAAGCTTTCACTTTTCTCAGTTTTGGTGACTTAAGTTTGAAGTTTGAAAGTGTTGTAATTGCAGGAACTGATGTTCAGACTAACGAAGAGGTCGCTATTAAGCTTGTGAGTGTTTCAAACTTTCTTTTGAAAACTGGAGTTAAAAGAGTCCCAATTTCCAATTCACAACATGGGTTGGATCATAAAAATCTGGTTTTCACTGTGTATTATTGTGCAGGAAAGTGTGAAGACGGCGCATCCACAATTGTCGTACGAGTCGAGGCTATATAGGGTTCTACAGGGTGGAAGTATGAAGTTTCTTTCCGAACCTCATTATGCTTTCTTCTTCTTCTTCTTGCACAAGAACATGTTCGGATTATACTTGTTCATTTCTTGCTGTGTAATGACGAATGCAGCTGGGATTCCAAACATGAAATGGTATGGCGTAGAAGGGGACTACAATGTCTTGGTGATGGATTTGCTTGGTCCAAGCCTTGAAGACCTCTTTAGTTACTGCAACAGGAAATTTACTCTGAAGACGGTCCTCATGCTGGCTGATCAAATGGTAAAATATCATCTTCATTGTGCATTGTTTAATGCAACTAATATCAATGCGGGTGTTTAAAAGAGTAACACTTTTGCAGATTAATCGTCTCGAGTTCATCCATTCTAAGTCGTATCTTCATCGTGATATTAAGCCGGATAATTTTCTCATGGGTTTGGGAAGGCGAGCGAATCAGGTTATCTTTCTTCTTTTCATTAACTCTCTCAGTTAGAGTTTCTCGTTTGTATCAACTTTGATTTTGGGGTCTCGTTATTGTATATGACTATTTTTTGTTCTCTTTCTGTAGGTCTATATCATAGACTTTGGCTTGGCTAAGAAATATAGAGACAGCTCAACACACAGACATATCCCATACAGGTAACAATGTTTTCATTTCAGAGATTCATTGTCAACAGAAACTTAGATGTTAGATTCAGAATTTTTTATGACTGTTGCGTTTGTTATTATTCAGGGAGAATAAAAGTCTAATTGGGACTCCGAGGTATGCCAGCTTGAACACTCACCTAGGGATCGGTATACTCCATTGCTTTTTCTATAAAACCTTCCTGATAATTGCGGATCTTGTTCTCTCTTTTCACGTTATACTTTTGTTCTTAATTCAATCTCCTGTTCATCTTTATACTTGATAGAGCAAAGTCGGAGGGATGATATAGAATCACTTGGTTATATCCTCATGTACTTCCTCATGGGAAGGTGAGAGTCTTTTGAGTAACCGTTGTTCTTTCTTTTCTATCCCGCTTCTTATCTCCCAAACCATCTCTGATTCCATCTTCTTGTAGTCTCCCATGGCAGGGACTGAAAGCTGGGAACAAGAAACAGAAATACGATAAGATTAGTGAAAAGAAGGTTTCTACTTCCATCGAAGTAAGTTCTTCTCATATACGTGCACTTTCAGAAACTTATATGACTCCATGTACTGTAACTTTGCGTCAGTGTGTGTTTTCAGGCGTTATGCAGAGGCCATCCTACAGAGTTTGCATCCTACTTCCATTACTGCCGCTCACTTAGGTTTGATGATAAGCCAGACTATGCATATCTGAAGAGACTATTCCGCAACCTATTCATTCGTGAAGGTCATTCGTCACCTCTCTCTCCCTCTTCCTCTCAGGCTACTGAAATCATACAGAAGCTCCTATTAACACCTACTGAATCACTGTTTTGTATTTCTTGTTTTATTCTCAGGATTTCAGTTTGATTTTGTGTTTGACTGGACGGTATACAAGTACCAGCAAGCACAATCTGGAAACCCTTCACCTCGTGTCAATGTACACTCTTGAGACTTTTGAAATTTTCATCCCGTTCTTGATACATATACACAGATGAATAGTGTAAGATTTTTTGATGTTTCTTTTGTCAGGACGCTGGTGTTGGAACTAGCTCTGGATCAAACCCTGCGGCAGGCAATGCCGAGAAGCGTCCAGGTATAGATTTTTTTTCTTATGCTTATCGTTCTTCCTTAAGCAAATGCAGCCGGCCACATAGTTGTGTATATACTCAGGGCACTTTTGTCTGCCATAGATTTCACAAATCAGAGAACCAAACCGGATTTTACCTTGAAGCAGAAGACCAAGAACGTGAATGAATCTGCAGTTGCAAAGGACATGCTGGTAAGTTTTGTTCACGCTACTTTTCTTCTTGTAGAATCAGGACATTTCATTCTGTGGTCCAATGATTTCAGATACCTGGATCCTTCCACTTGGGTCGATCAGAAGGATCATCATCGAGACGAGTTGTGGACTCGAGTAGTCGTGAACCGTTCAGTGCCGGGAGTGACAATGCAAACTATGAATCCACACTCAAAGGCATTGATGGCTTGAGGATCAATAACAGTGCAGGGGTTGAGACTGCACCATCGCCACAATCAAATGGAGACGATACTACTCGTGTAGAACCCAAAGCAAAGCTCTCAGACTGATTCGTACATGAAGCGTTAAAACAAAACCGGTATTCGCTTTTGTTGCTTGGCTCAACCTTCTAAGAGAGTTTGAAGGTTGTCTATGATTCTTCCGAAGAAAGGCTTTTATTCTTACATTTAGAGATATGATCTTAAGAGAGAGATAGAGATTTATATATACCAAAGTTCTGAAATATGGTTCTTCAGATGTTCATTTGTCTCCTCCATTGTATAGAGAGAACCTTACAAATTTCAATATCATTCTCTCTGATAATCTTTTATCCCGATAAGTTGGTTTCATGGAGGGTTTTATTATGGTAGATTTAATTTTTGCAGAAGGGAATAAATAGCATGGGAAAGAAAAACAGACTTACGATTTTAAAAAAATAATAATTCAAGTATCATCAGTTATGTTTTGTAAAATAGTCCATATGTTTCATATCTTTGAAAACGAAATTCTTTTTTTAATAGTATCTCCAACTCCAAGTCTAGCAAATTTGTTTGACAAATTATTTGCTTTAGTTGTATTTTCTTAGTATTTAAATTTTGTTTGTTTTTGATGTCCGAATGTTCATGACTAGGAAATATTGTATTTTCTTTACTTTTTGACAACTTAAATTTAAAAATAAAAAACCTGGTGTGGAAATATGTGATTATGCATGTATTCATTTTCAAAAGTTATTTGCTCAGGAATATGAAAACGTTACATGTTTATTTTTCCTAAATTTCTCGAAGCTTGTCAGCATCACTTGATTATTATACAGCTTTTGTTTGGATTAACTCCAAGATAATCTAATTTTCCCGTTATTCTGTATAGACGGTATAATCAAACCCTAATACTTTAAATTTTAAAGATTATGATGAAAAGATTTTATTTTCATTGGTTATAAACAATGATTGATATATATATATACCAAAGTTGAATTAATTATAAGTATATAAAAAGGATAAATTTGTATAACGACATTCATGCCGCAATTCTTTAACATATACAACTATATATATGTAGAATAAAAATAACAATAGTTCTTACAAGATAATAATCATATAACATTAAATCAACTTATATTTTTAGACACGCATAATATGAAACGAAAGTACTTTCTAGTTTCTACAAACAACTAAACAAGATAAGTTGATAAACAACTTACGGATGTTTTAAATGTTAAAGAAATGAGTTATCACAACAACAACAACAAAATCTGTATAAAACATTCATTCATATCATATGTAACGTGGCGCCATTAGTACTTAATACCAAACTAATTTAGAATATGTTAAAAAAATCGTATAATAATATCTTACTCATCTCATTTCCAATCTATAATTAAGAATTGTCGTTAACATCGTAGAGCATATCTATTTATTGTCGTTACATAATTACTAGGATAAACTAAGAAATTCGAACACACACACACACTCACCAAAAAAAAGAGGATAAAAAGATAGAAACTAAATCAAAACCATCGAATGTAAAACACAAAAGATTATTATCTGCTTAATTGAGTAATTTGTTGCATCTGTCTTTGATCCACTTGAAGCTTTTCCTCAAAGAACCCTTAAGCTTACCTTCAACAGTATAAGCTCTGTAACTCACAACTCTCTTCTTCCTCTGCAAATCTGGATCCACAAATCCCCACGAAGACGATGAAGAAGACGAAGATCTTCCTTTCTTCGGATTCGGGTTTTCTTCCGGTATCCGGGTCGGGTAATCGGTGTAGGAAGTGCTGTAAGACCTGAGATCTTGCATACCGTTACCACCGTTAACGCCGAATGAACCTGGACCGTCTGATCTTCGGTCTGATGTTCTTCCGTCACCGTACGATCTGGATCTGAAGTCTTCCATTTTGGAATCAGACGAAGAAGTGTGATGGTGAGGGGAGGTTTTGTAATAAAAAGTCGATGAATGGCTTTTTGTTTTTGTTTCTTTCTTTTACGAGAAGGAAAGAATCTTTTGTTTCATTTACATATTTTTATAGTAACTACTTAAGAGAATATGTATGGTAGGGAGTTTTTTATTTATTTATTAATTTCTTTAATTTTATATTTATTATATATAGTACTATTGTTTATTTTTCTATTTTGTTTATTGGTAAGAGAAACGACATTCATAAATAATAATTTATGTTTTATTTATTTGCAACTTGTATAAGTTAGTTCTTCTGGGATCAAAATCTAATTATGTTAGATACAGCTATTTATTTTTAATATATAATAGTTACAGATTTTACAAATTATCTTATGTTTATTTCGGAAACATAAATTATTCTGGATTTATTTTAGTAATTAATCAAAATGTCGTCAAAATATCTCAGAAACAATAATTCAGTTGATTCAAAATGTCTTAAAAATTAAAATATAATAATTCCAAGATAGACTTTGTTTAAAGTTTTAGTACTTTCGCTAATTCAATATTATAATTAAATTACTCCACTTTGTTTTTGTCAACAAGTAGTTTAAGTCAACATGAGGCGCTGAGTCAGATGCAGCTGTCGGTGGAACGTAAAAATTAATTACTTCAGTTCCAACTGAATTTCTCTGTTTGACCAGTATCTCCACGTGATCCTCACGTGATTCGTTTTAAACATTTTCTTCTTCTTTTTTTTTTCTTTGATAATATATACTACTACAACCTATTGTTTTGGGTTATTTTTTTTTATAATACATTTATACAATTGATCATATATTCATTTGTCATATAATAGTATTTGACTACTTTTAAGTAAGGAGACATGACTTAGAATGTCAGTTTGTTGAAATAATACTATTAATCAACTAACTTATTTTTCATTTCTGTCAAGTCGTTCAATATCTAGCTTGAAATAAAAGTTAGTAACAAAAGCTGAAACAAGGTATAACTTGTCCATAATTAATTTGTAAGGAAACTCAATACAATGATGATAACCTCTTAAAAATCCTATCTATATTAGCCTTTCACTATCACATATTTACTTTTTTGTGGATTTTGGATACAATGTAATTTTATAGGAGTAGTATAGCATTTATTTTAGTATCTTCTTATACGTGATCTTCACATTTTCACAAACTTTGAAACGATGAAAATACGAGCTTTTATTAAAAGTACATTCGTGAAGGTGACCAGTAATTTTGCTACAGACCAGCAACAAAAATTATTTTGATTACGGTTGAATTGCCTCTGATCATAACCATGATGGAGTTTCTTCTTAAAAATCAATAGCAAAATTTGAAAATATGCTACATATAGAGATATGTCAAGATTATAGTGCATATATATATATATATATTTATTCAAAAAAAAGATTATAGTGCATATAAGTTTAATCATCACGAATCAAGAGAAAGATGAATCAAACATTTTAGCAATACCTGAAAATATGCTACACATTGATCTCTTTATATGATAGTATGGACGGGAAAAACACATCAGGATGCATGATCTTGTGATGATATGAATAAAATTGAACATATCGTTAGATACACTTAATTAAAACCGCTGATTTTATAATTTCCTCTATTTTTAAATGCTACGTTTTAAGATTTTCACACAGATTTTTAATATGTTTCTTTTTTAGTTTTGAATAACTTTTTTGGTTGCGACTTCTTTTATTTTTTACTTTTCAACTTACTTTATCAAAATGTTAACACTAATTCATCTCGTAGCACCAAATATATATTTATTAAAACATCAAAAATTTTAAAATAAGTAAAAAATTATAAAATGTCATATATTGAAAAACAGATGCAGTATGCAATTAGGTGGTTGTGCGGGTATAATAAATTTTAATCAGATTAATAGATAATAATCATTTATAATAAATAAGTGATGAATATGTTTAGTAATATATCTGTTAAAATATTAGTTTGTGAAGAAATGTTTTAATAGATTTGAGAAATAGTATATAGCAATAAAATAAAATATATATAAAACTTAAAATATATTTTTTTTAAACGTAAAATAAAATAAAATGGTTCTTATTTATTCTTTATTTTCTATTTTTAATTCACATTTTTTATATTTTTATAGTTTTTCATCTCATTCTATCACTTAACGTCCCATTTCTAGTTCATAATTCTCGGTATATGATTAAAATATATTTATATAAAGTATAAACTTTTGTTTTTTATTTATAGTGTGACAAGATAAGATGATAATAAAAATCAAGAAATTTTCCTTAATTCTACAAATCTGATTCCGTAAATTTTACACAAACACTTGAACTTGTAAATATTTCGCCAAAAATTTAATTAAAATAAGATTACCAAAACTTTACATAAAAAAACTGATTTTATTAATTTTCTGCTAAAAACATGATAAGTAACTTTTCCCCGAAAGAATTACATCAAAAATATGATCCAAAAATATTTTATCAAAATTTTGATTTTGTGAATTTTCCACCAAAAATGAATCCAAAATTTTTTTTTTGCCAAAAATGTGATTCCAAAAACTACCTGTCAAAATTTTGATATCGTGAATTTCCTGCCAAATAAATGAAACCGTAAATCTTCTGACCAAAATCTACTTTAAAATATAATTTAAAAAAAAATCTGTGGAAACCTGATTTTAGAATTTTTTTGCCAAAAACGTAAATTTGTAACTTTCCCACCAAAATATGTATTTTAGAGCAATTTAATTGGATTTCATTAATTTTTTCGCCAAATATGGTGAATTCATAAATTTTATGTAAAAAATATGATATCAAAAATATGTTGCGACAAATTTTCTGCTAAATACTTGAAATCCGTAAATTTCTCCACATTTCAAATCTATTTGACAAAAATCTAATTTTCTCAATTTTTTGTCAATTAAATTTTGTATCAAAAATTTAACATCAAATTTTATTTATAAATTTAATAAAATCATATACAAGCCTCATGTACTAAAAACTGACATGTCACAATTACATCATTATTCTCATGTCACATTTAAATTATTCAAATTAAACATACTAGCCAATTAAATTAAAATAAATCAGCATTTTTTATTAAACTATATTCTCAATTAATATAAAGATGATTTTTAAATAATATTCTACATATTTTAATATATAAACAATTTCCTACGAACAGTAGACTTATTTATTAAAACGGTGGTCTTATTTACCACATTCGACTTATTTTCCAACTGTTGAATTAGATTTCTCCATTAACAAGAACACTACTTTTCCAATACACTACAAGAAATTATGTGTGTTGTATCGTTTATTTTTATTTGTTAATATCATTTTTTTATTGATGCAAATTCAGTTGCATTATTTAATTAAATGACTCTTAAATTAGTGATGCTAATCATTTATATCAATATTATTAATGATGCAACTATTTTCATCATTTATATTAAATAATATTAATATATATCATTTACATTAAGTGATATTATTATTTGACTCAATTACAATAAATGATCTTAATATTTACATCATGATATTAATATTTACTCTCAGTTAAAATAAATGATATTAATATTTACTCTCAGTTAAAATAAATGATATTAATATTTACTATCAGTTATAATAAATGATAATATATATTAAAATTTATATTGATTAAAAATTTTATGCTAATTTTTATATTATTATAATTTTAAGATAACTAATCATTTTATATTTATTATTGTAAAAAATATATGTAAATACATATATATATATATATATATATGATTTAACATAAAAAGGTTTAGTGTTGATTAGTTTCTTTTATAGAGGGGGAACTAGTATTCTTCATAATTTTTAGCAATGTGGGACAAGTAATTGTTTAGTTAAAATTTTATTTGTATCACTTTTATAACTAAAAGAAATATTAGTATCACTAATGCCAGTTGATCAAATGCTTCACTAATATAATTGATGTAAATTTATATATTTTTTGTTAGTTTTTCAAAAGTGATATAAATTAATAATGGTTTGTATCAGATTTTTTTTTTTAATTAATGTTAATAAAATTTGTATTCGTATCAATTGTTTTTAATTGATACTAGTCAAGTTAAGATTAATATCTTTAATAAGTGATTCTAAATAAAATCAATTATTTTATTGACACTATATAAGTGATGTCAAATACCTTTTTTGTAGTGATAATATATAAAATGAAAAAAAAAATGTTGACAAAAGAAAGAAAAAGTTAGAATGGATTGAAGAAAGTCGATAGCTCCTTATCTAGTTTTAAATTGTAGGGTAAAGATCCACAACGAGTGGGACCAATATGTGACTTGCGAATGGTTCAAGACCTACTTCAAGGTGAATTTTAAGTAGTTAACATTCATTCTATTTGTTATATCACTACAAGAATCTATTAAATTAGCTACCGGTTATTCTGTAGCTACCGTTAATAATATGTAGCTAGAAATTGGGAAGGCTACGGTTAGCAAGTGTTATATTCTATTTGACTATTTTTATTTTGTATATGGCTATAGAATAAATCAAAAGTTACATGTTTTTATTTATGAATTACGGGAAGCTAAAAATGCAAGTATTATTATTATATTTAAAAAACTCAGAATTTATTATAACAAAAAAAAATATGAACTCAAAAATATATAGAAATCTGCATACAAATATTTGATTAATTCAACAAAAATAGAATTATTTAAACTCAGAATAAGACCCTTCACTTGAAGTTTCATAGTGATCTTTTTTAGTGTGTAGGAAACCAAGAACATTTTAAGGATTTGAAGAAAAATCAAGTTGAGAATTATATATTATAGACCATGAATAGAAAGTTCTCGACTGAGATGCGAAGGAGCTAGTCATTGTTACAAATCTGCCATTACTCGTGAGTTACCCCAAAACTACCCGTTCTTGGAGTAACGGAGCCCAAACTGCAATGGTTGGGAACCAAAATTGGTGGTCTATATAACCAAGAGGTTCTTTGCTTGCAAGCTCTTGTTGCTATCTCTTTGGCAATTAGGTTTGCAAAAAAGAAGGATAATTGGTCAGAATTTATGATCTGGGTAATTATTGTTTTCAGAGTTTTTATTTTTGGGATAACTTCACTGTTCGTTTTAATGTCTTGAACAACACTCGACTGGTTAAGGAGATTTATGTTAAGGACTATAGATCCGTTCATACGTTGTTAAAGGTTTTTAAAAATTTAATTTTTGAGAATTTTATCATGTGTTTTTCAAATTTTTGACATGTGCCACTTTTTCAATTTTAATGAATTAAGACAATCAATTTTATAAATCTAATATTTGAAAGTGCTTATAAAACTCAAATTGATTTGACGGGCTGCCATATTGTTGGCATGGGTCATTCTCTTTTAGTTTTACTACTTTTATTAATTTTTAATTTGTTACTATTAAATTGAGATTACATTTTGATTTGATTTGGTTTTTAAATTTTTATTCTTAGATTGCATTACTCTTGCATTGCCTTGCCTTGTTTAATGAGCTTATGTGGATCAAGATAATATTGAAGTATTTGATACCCGTAAAACTTTCGATAGGAATCTTACCAACATATGAGCTCTGCCCCAGGACCGGCTGATAAGGTAAACAACCCAAGCGACCGATTAGAGTAGTAAATCCTAACGGGACATATTTTTTTAATACGTTTAAAAGTAAATAAAAACGTTAAGCATTTTTTAACAATAATAATATTTATAATGTCTTTTGTAATTATGTTTATACTGGTTTTGTTAACAATGTTATGGCTTTTTATTAACAAATACACTAATTACGTTTATTATCCAATAATTTTTACTTTTATTAGTAAAACTCTATTTAACAAAAAAACCCTAATAAAACATGTAACCAATCAAAGTTTAAAAACATGTTTTATATCATCATTCAATGCCATAATCATTTCTTTGTTATTATCATATATGTGAGATATTGACTTATTTTTACGGTTTTTGATATTTTCAATTTTCTGAAAAAACGAAAAAAGATTATAACTATAAGTTTATCATCGATGAAAAGAGATTGATCAATGTTTCATTTTTATTTCATAAAATAAGATAAATTAATAAATATTTTTGTATAAAATTATTTTACTGAAATGATGAACATTTGAAGTTATGATTAATGAATTTAATAAATGCTTTTATAAGCAGACATGTAAAAAAAAAAATATTTCAACAATATATATTTTTCTAGTTTTTCTTTATAATTTTTTGTTCGAAATTATATTATTTTATAAAGTTTAACTGTAATTTTTATATTAATATTTTGTAATTTTAAATATAATATATAAAAGGTATATTTTTTGAATTTGTTTAAGGCACTAAAAATCGTTGGACTGGCACTGGCTCGGCCAATAGCATTTTGTCAAATTTTGTTTAGCAGTTGTCGATATAAATGCATATATTTATCAAGATTATAGTGCATATAAGTTTAATCGTCAAGAATCAAGAGAAAGATGAAGCAAACATTTTAGCAATACTTGAAAAGATGCTACACATTTGATCTCTTTGGACACATGATGTTATGGACGGGGAAAAACACATCGGGATGCATGGTCTTGTGATGATATAAACAAAATTCAAAATTGTTCGATACACTTAATTAAAACCGTTGACTTGTGTTTATTATGTAAACAAAAATTTATTATGTCCCACATTTTAAATATATGAAAAAAATTTCCTTACCAAAACGAAAGATTTATCAAAACAGTGGTCTTATTATTTACCACATGCGACGATTATTTTCCAACCATTGAATTATATATCTCCATTTACAAGAATATACACCACTTTTCCGATCATATTTTTACTTTTAATATCTTGTCTTCTTAAAATACATACTTCTCCATTTAAATAAATACGCGAAAGCTAAAAATAAGTAGGCAGACACTAATGGGGACCACACCAATCAACTTGATTTGTTTTCATACAATCCCCATGCATTTATCACATTTTGTCCTTTTTCTTATTCAAAAATCTACGAAAAGTTTTTTACTCGATTTGGAATAACAGTAAAAGCTACTAACAACACACTTTTTCACCCTTGTTTCCAAAAACAGAAAAGAAGAAAAGAAAAGAATACCATTTATTTATTTTTGTTTATTTCCTCGGTATTTGGCAACTGTCGCAGTCAAAATTATTACAACATGTCTGATTGAAATTTCATTACACCACAACAAAATCTAATATCTGAATCTACTTTTTTTTTGGGGGGTTGTTAAAGACAAGAAAGAGCAGATCAAGGTCGAGAGGCAGACAAAGAGAAACAGAACTCAAAAGGATTCGTCTCTTCTAAGTCTTTTTTAACACTACCAAAATTTTTGCAGATACAAACTCTACTTTTCTTTCCTTTTTTCAATTGACAATTGGTAAAAGGCAACCTTTTTTTTTTGTTTTAGCATCGGAACAGATAAGAAGGTCCTTTGAGAACGGGTTCTCAGGCCATGGATCCTTTGCGGTTCATCAGATCGTGGTAATAAAGAAGCACACACATGGGTTGACCGAAAATGCAGAAGATGAACCAGAAAACCATGTTGCCCACCTAAATGATCACATTCCAAAACAGTCAATCTTTTTAGTTTCCATCAAAAAAATTAAATATTTAAGTGGCTATGATCAGAAAAGTGTTATTCGGCCTTTAGAGAGCATACCATGGAGCCAAACCTTTCTTGTAGATAGTTTGTGATAAAGACCAAAGGCACCTACTCAAAACACATTTGGTGGTGGTAAGAAAATGAGATTAGAAATGACAAAACTTCCAGATTGTTTTGTCAATTTTTTTATACCTGAAACATAATCCCCATGAAAGCCCATAGGTTGAAGAGACGGCAAGGAACAGCGATGCATAACTGCAAGGAAATTTGTAAACATGAGAATGTGCGTAACAACAATGCTTTGAATATTAGAGACAGTGCAATGCAGAGGATATATATACCTCATGAAAGACTGCAGAGACTAAGAAAGCAATGATAATGGCAGGTACCTGAGAACAAGAAAATGAGTGGATGATTGTAGTTTTAGAAAAAAAAACGGAATATAATCTCGGCCATCGCAAATCACTATCATACATATTACTCACTTTTGGTATCTTGCTGCGCAGACACGGAAAGTATATATGTCGAACCATCCATTTATGAACAGGCTGTTAGAGAAAACAAGATCTGTATTACCTCTCTTCTTATGTTTTGTATAGAAAAGAAGGCGATGTTTTAGGAAAAGAACCTTACCATATTCCACATTCTCCAATACTGATAAAGGAAGACAAGTGATGGAAACATGAATTTTGGTTAGTTAAGTGACCTCAAAACAACGATAGCATATAAAAATCATATGCTTTTTGAGTAAGACGTATGTAATAACAACTCACGTCTCCCACACTTTTTGCATTCCACCAATCTTTGTAGAATTCACGATCCCCGAAGCAGAGGAGCTCTGCCAATATGTTTAACCTGGGGACAAGAACAACGCAAAGAGATTTGTGTTCAGTAACTGAAATTACATCCCTGGCTATAAATTATCAATTTCTTGACGAGACAGCTTATTTCTGTTGTTCGTCTCTGGAAACTACATCGAAAGAGAAGGGATCACGACATACCAAAGGTGGAAGAAGCAGTAGAACATGCAGAGCCACACGTATAAATTTGGAACTGAAAGCTTCAAGACTCTTTCAATAGCGTATAGAAGATCCCCTTTCAAAGGATGCTTTGAGTTCCTAACAATAGGATTTATATACTGCCAAAAAAAGTAACAAAAAAAAAACAGAAGTCAAGCGATTGACGATGCAGAGATGATGATTTTCACAAGGAAAAATAAAAAGCAAGATGTTGAGAACGCACTTGCTCTATTATAAATCCCATGAATCCAGTGAATATGACCAGTTTTGCAAATTGACGAGCCACCCAACCCTTCCGGATACAAGGAGAACGTGGATAGCTCAGCTGGGAAAAAGCAAAGACGCAAGGTTTAGACAAGAAGCTTTTGTAAGTTTAAGAATGTTTGATGCTATTAAAAAAAGACGCATCTCATTACCTGATAACACAATGTGGGAGCAACCATGAAATATGCCAAGCTCTTCAAGCTAACATAGTAGGAGACTTCAGGATTGGCCTTTAGTTCATAACAGTATCTGGTTAAAATAGTAACACAAGGCTAGTGACTAGTATATATTTCTTTTGATTCTTTTACCTTATCAGCTGAATTGGCTAGGGTTCTTATGTCGTAGCTAGTATGAGCATAAGAAACCAACTTTAGCCACACAATGCAAGTGAGGAGCATCAATGTGACACCTGACAAGAAGGCGGAATCACACCTGTCCATTTTCAAGATCATCGAGTTAGTCAACTAGAATTAAAAAAGAGAGTATCACAAGCTGAGATCAGAAACACCTTAGCTTAATTCACACCTTAGGGTGACGTAAACTGGATACAAGACCTCTGTCATTGTGATTATAATATGAAGAATGATGACAACCTTTAATATTATCAGAAAGAAACTTATAAGTTCTCCAGGATACAACAAACTTGTCTTCAGTAAACAATCCAGTAATAGCTATATAGTCAGTAGTTTACTCACAGGTTCAGATATGCATTTCTGAAGTACCAGTTTCTCGACGGTAAAGGCAGCCAGAGGAAAGATCGAAAGAGAGATACTGCAACAGAAGAATTTATAGAAATATCTGAATCTCTAAACACATCATTATATGAATAAGAATGTAACATTACGAAAGAAAAAAAAATTATATATTACCAACACATGAAAAGCGGCCAATCTCGCAGCGATGTTGAACTAAACCAGAAATCTGTTCTGATCAACCAACCGTACTACAGGAATGAAGGCAACAACAAAGGTAAGGTCTTGATAAAGTTCTCAGCTCAAGAACAAACCTAATTCAATTTTCAAGCCATAGGAGAAAAAAAGTAACTAACCTTCATCAAGTTCTCGATGATGAGTCTACTGTTTACAGCAATAAGAACTACTACACACAGGTTGAATAATCCGGCATGGCTCTGCCATGGAAGACAACACAAACTCGAGTCAAATGAAATGAAGAAATTGTCCTCTCTAAAAGTTAACATGAAACTCAGTTTGAAATTCTCCTCTAACATTAGACAGTATCAAGCACCAAATTCGGAGATTGTCCAGCGTAGAATCTGAGATTTACCTGTTTGAAGATTGCGTCGGAGCTGAGTGGACTTTCCCTAGCCCTCCGATGAGCTGGAACCGACGGACGATACGTATACCTTGTATCGGCGTCTCCTCTTGCTTCACCGCCGCCTCCTCCTCCACCAGTTTCCCTAATTTCGGTATCTCCGCCGTTATCTCCTGCCAAATTCGCTGTTCCCTGAGCGTCGTCGACAGCTGAATCAATCCGATCCCTCGCGTCGGACGGAGCTCCAACATCATCTGATGGGAAAGCATCGGTACCGGGTGCGGAATCGGAAAGAGGTTCGTTGGAATCCGATCGTGATTTCCGTCGACGAAGAGTATCGAGATCCGCAAACTCTCCGCCACCGTTCTCCGTCGGCATAGTGACGCCTCCAGAATCCAAAATCGCCATTCCAAAGCGCTCAACAGAACAGCTTCAAAGAGTAGTTGCTAAGAACGAACGAAGAAGAAGGAGTCACAGAGGAAAATCGAAAAGCATGCAGAGGAGATGGAAATGGAAATAGGGAATCAGAATCTAAAATTGAGAGAGAAAAGTGGAATTTGGGAAGGTTGTAGAAAAATGGAAATGGCACGAGGATGCTCAGAAATCGGTTAATCGTGTCTCCTTCCTAGAAAGAGAAGCAAAGTTTTGAATGAGAAAAAGATTCACGAGAGAGAAGAAGAGAGGAAGATGACAACAATGGTGACGGAAGATTAATTGAAAAGCGGTGGGGATATTTTTTACTTTTATTTTCTCTTTTTTATTATTATTTATTTTTGGCATAATCTCTGGTGAGAATATTCATATTCTAGAAAAAATAATACGCCCTTTCTTTAAACTTCTTCATTTTTGGTTTTCAAATCTCAGCTAAATTTTCCAATTTGGATGTTATATTAATTTTCGATCAAAAAAAAGATGTTATATTAATTCAATTAATATATTCTAAATTACTTTGTCTTCTTAGGTTTGATCATTATCTAACGGTTCCTCTCACAACTGTCATACACACTCGCCACATTTGAGAGATGGACATCTTATTGATTTTAATAATCTTCCTATAATGATCAATTTTCATTCGAACAGTACTTTGGTTGGCTTGAAATAATTTAAAATTTAAGGTCATCTTCGATGGGCTTCACTCAAGGCTTTGTCAAGCAATATCTTCATTCACAAGTAAACACATTCTCTTCTCAAAGACTGAATTCACTTTAGAACAGAGTGAAACTGAATTCAAGTATAAATTTAGCAACAAATACTACGATACTTAGAATATATTGTCAAATCGATAATCTATAGTATATATTTATAGATCAATTGCATGCAATCTCTTCCCTATGTAATCTAGTTGTAATAATAAGGTAAGATAATATTTTACTGTTTTACAAAAGGAATATTAAAATTTTCAGGAAATAAAAACCAAATCTCAATGGAACGTGAATAATGGGGTCGAGCGAGAGAGACTGTTACTGTCAGTGAAAACAATGACATGCATTGGTGTTCAAAATTTTGAACAAAATTCGCATGATTTTTTAATTCAAAATTTTGAAGAAGATGAGATTAATTATTGATTTAGTTAAATGCTTGTGTGTTCTTTCCCGTTCTTTAATATTTAATTGTAGATATAATATCAACAGAAAAAAGACATGTTTTCAAGTGATAAATGTAAACGCTTTTATTTGTTGTTTAAAACTATTTTAACATTAATTTTATGGTCAACTATATCTTTGTTTAAGTTAAGATTTTATCAGTGGTTAATTTTCAATATATATATTTTCCACATAAATGCAATAATTGAATGTCAACGGGAGCTCATACTGAACCGGCCCAATAACCTTGAATCCGAAAGAGTTTCAAATTCGAGAGCAACCACTGAACCACCAACTGGTTCCACCAAACCGAACAATTATTTGGTTTATAGTCAAATCAAGCTGAACCGGACCAAAACACTACTATTAAGGCAAACGAGACTCGGGATGTAGAAGAGTTAGTAGTTATTTTAAAATTCCATGTTATTCAACTAATAATTTTTAAATATTTTATTAAAATCTATGTTATTGAACATAAAATTTATATAAAACCAATTAAAATCATTCTAACCTCCATGTTATGTTATTCAATCAAGAATTTGTAAAAACTAAATCAAATCCACTGTTATTGGAAATATATTATTAAATAGTAAATTTTACTTTTAAATGATTAAGTGGAGATTTTTAGTTAAAAATATAGAAAATCAAATCTCATTGTTTTAGGTAGAATTACATATAATTTTAATGTCAAATCATATTAACTTCCCTAATCCACATAAAATCATCTAAAATCTTATTAAAACTCAAATCGTTTCAATACACCCCCTCACAGTGAGCTGCTACGAAATGTGCAGAGATGGCTTCCAAATTGAGAGATGACATCAACAAGGCCTCCATAACCTCCCACAGCAACTACCTGCAAAATACACAAATTGCACTGGATCAAACAGTTATACTCATCCTGTTTCAACTCCATAACGGATGATATAACGTTATCTCTGGATATATAACACTGTTGAGATTTGGTAATCAGTTTCAATAACCAAGCAGAAACATGTAGAGGACAGAAGCATAAAGGAAAAAGATGCAGGGAGAGGGATCAGAAACATACTCCTGCTGGATGCAAGGAGATGGAAAATACTGAACTCGGAGCACACTGTATTTGAGAAAGCAAAGCTCCATTCAAGTCGAAACGCCTTAGAAGTGGTTCTGTTCCTGCGGTCAAAATCTGAGGTAGTGGGATACTTTGTTAGATAATAACAACGTTGAAAAAAGAAATGCTCAACCTTTACGAAGTAACTAAAACTATGAGTTCATCGGTGTTTCCAGTTTAAAAATTCAGTATAGTTTTATCAATTTCAGCTGTGTTGATACTAAACAAAACAACAGCTACTGCTCCCTAGGCTTTAGGTTACACTGTTCAGATTTCAATGTGATCCTGTTCTGCTTACCTGCTTTTCATCAAACATCACATCCTGTACATGTGCAGGGGATGATATTGTTGATACGCATTCTGAGGCAGGAAGATTCCATAAAGCTAAGTTTTTACCCTGTCCACAAACCTGAAAAGAGGAGAAAATCATAGCAATAACAGTAAAAGCTCGGTCAAGTAATCCAATGGGAAAAGGGAATTATATGCTTAGGCAACATCCTCTCAAAAGAAATAGCAGGTTGTGGAAGTATCATGAGATTATCCAGTAACTAATTCTTACCAACCAGCTTTCACTTCCATCGAGAGCCATAGAACTAATGCGAAAGCCGGACCTTTTATCCTGGGAACCAATTACTTTGATGCATTTCCCTGTTCTGCAATCTGGTTGACAAAACAAAAGGAAGCCCTTGAGCGTACAAAGCTTAGCCTAGACGATTAAAGTACACCAGTTGAACCGGAACCTAAACTAGACACTGAGGAAAGTTCTATAATCACCATAGATGAATTATCATAAATTCTTGAGAAGCATTGGATCTCAAGTGCCACCATGAAGACTCAAACGATCTCAAAAGTTCTATAACCACACATGAACCAAACATAATACTAGAAAAATTAACAGCAGTAAGAAAAATGGTCATGAGTAAGATACCCCAGATCCTTGCAGTCCCATCCTCTGAACCCGTCAATATCTGGAGCAAAAGACTTAATAAGATCAGACCAAAAGTCCGAATGTGGAACTACCCAAATACGGAAATGAAGGTGCAATACTAATATTTAAGGAAACACCATTACCTGACTTGCAGAGCTACGAGAAACCACACAGTGCAAATAGTCTGAATGCCCCTTGAAGGTCATTTTGATTTCACCACTCTCCTAAAAACGTTGGATACACAGAAATTTTAGATATCTTGCAATCACATCTATAGTGATACAGCAATAGACATTCTCCACCATAAAAATACATACCACGTCCCAACAATACGCGGAAGAATCACCAGCAGCCGTAAATACACTACCTGACTATCATAAACGAAAAAAAACAACGAGGGAGGGGAGGAACAGTTAATCTGTAACCAAACAATGAGATATAATTCGGACATTTCAGGTAAAAAACATCGGAGTGAAATAACCCGAATATAATTAAAACTCCAACCTGAGTGTCAACAGCAATGGCGTTTATCTCAGGCATCGGTGAAAGGGAACCCCAAGGACCTCTAATGAGAAAAAGAAAAAGAATTCAATAGAGTCTCACCAGTCACCAGCATCAATTATAACCAAACAAGTATGCATTTTCACTAACAAAGACTCACTTGTGTTGTGGATTAGTCAATTCAAGCAATGGCTTCCCATGATTCTCTGTAGATCATAGAGAAATCTCACAATCTTCAAACTCGAAAAAAAAGCATTAGAACAACAAATATGGTAACACAGTACACACCTTGAGACGCCTCTGTTTCAGAAAAGTCTTTCCATTTCCATCCACGAACTCTTCCATCATCGCCACAACTACAGAAAAACCACACCGAAATAGCCCAATTCCTTAAAATCAACCTCTGATCTCCGTACTCGAGCTTTGAAATTGCCATTTCTCAATCAGCCAAGGGTGGGTTTAAATATACCTGAGGAGCAAAGCATCTTCGTCTTCGCCATAGAACTTGACATCATAAGCCGGTCCGTCGTGTGCCTTAACCACTGCCTCTGGTTCAGCCACCATAAAGTCCTGACCTTTCGAGTACCCAAACGCCGCCGATTGGGACACAAGCGAGTTCAGCGAATGCAAAGCTAGGGTTCCATCGCTGGAGGCAACAACAAAGGCGTCCGGATTAGGATTTATCGCTGGAGGAGCCCAGGCGGTTCGAAACACTGTACGCGTCTGTACTTCTCGTTCCTTCAGAATCGCTTCTCTATACGCATTCTCATTCCAATTTGTAGCGTCTCCGTACATTTTCTTCAGCTACTTCGCAACTTCGGTGATACTTTGCGGAACGCCGGCGATATAGTGGTTGGAGAAGATGACGAAGGAGAGAAATCCCTAAACCGGCCGAGTAATAATTCTGTTAATTATACTTTTAGTCCCTACTATAGTGTTACATTTAATATTACGTCTAGGTTTCTTGGTGTACAATAGACACCTCAGGTCTCAGAAGTTTCTCCTGATGACATGATATCACAAATCGACCTCCTATGGATCTAGGCGTAAGCATCGTTTGGGGTGTCAGATTACTTTGATCTTCGGTTTAACTTGCTCTAAATGTCTTTGATTTTTTACTTCTTGTTCTGCATTTACCTTTTAAGATCTGGTTGCTGACTGCTTTTCTGTTTTGAGATTGTCGGGCTTTTTGTTTGTTTTACTGGATACATGTTTAGTTTCTCTCTAGTTCGATCTATCACTTTTCTCTATGGAGATTCGATGCTATCTAGATTAAATCATCCACTCCTCGCCTCTGCTTTACTGATCTGATTGGAAAGTTCAAGTTATTTGATCAAAGAAGAGATTCATCTATATTGTGAGAATTATTGTCATGTTATCGTCAAAAGTATAAAAAATTCGTTTACTACTGTGGGTACTACTGTGGATACGAGAACATCTTTTATTGACCTTTTCATTGACATTTTCAAGCTTCAGAACAATATTATTTTGATATCGTCAATGTATGATCAAGGAAATCCTTCTTCAATTTGTTGGGAAAAATCATTAGTTTCTTTCTGTATTTTATTTACCAGATCTCTTCTACATTGTAATCATTCCAATTCCAAAATCAATAAAACAATGCGTTAAAAAAAAAGCACTTAATTAGCCAATTCCCTAACTTAATGGTCTGATTTCAGAAATATCTGTCAACCATTGATAATCTTCCTTCAGTCATATTCATATTTTCAAAAAAGGAAAAAGAAAATTAGAATTCAAAATTATTTAAGCTAAAACAAACATAATTTGAGAATTGCCCAAACGTAATTAATGTCACTCATCGCCATCTACTTCATTTCTTGTCATCATGACCATCTCCAAAATGACTATAGTAACGGTTTTTGCTTCGAACCACGTCATCGTTGGACCAACCTAGTACATATTCATATTTGATAATCTTCCTTCAGTCATATTCATATTTTCAAAAAAGGAAAAAGAAAATTAGAATTCAAAATTATTTAAGCTAAAACAAACATAATTTGAGAATTGCCCAAACGTAATTAATGTCACTCGTCGCCATCTACTTCATTTCTTGTCATCATGACCATCTCCAAAATGACTATAGTAACGGTTTTTGCTTCGAACCACGTCATCGTTGGACCAACCTAGTACATACGTCCCTAATGACGTTAACACTTAACATATACAATAAGCATCGCAAATAAAAAAACCTAAATATTTTTGATACCACGTAAAAAGTTTACGTTGGCGTTTCGATGAACGTAGTGATTAAGGGGGACCGCTTATGTATGTTGCGTGCATCAACACACATGAACAAGGGAATGTGAATGAGGGGAATCAAATCAAATCCAAATGCAAAAACAATATAAAAATTAGTGAGAGGAGAGAGGTACATCATTAGCATCTTTTGGCTTTACTTAATTTACTCCAAAAACTTTAGTAATATTCGCTTTTGTTTCCATTTTTCTATCAATTTCTATGGCTTACGTTTCGATTTAACATTCGTCCTTACACAAAGATACTTTTTATTCCTTTGTTCTCTCTTCTCTGATTGGACCAGTGTGTGTTCTAGTCTTCTAGAGATCTTAAGTTTGGGAATCCCTAACATAGATCTAAACCTATGTACATAGTTAATTGTTTTTTTTTTCTGTTGTTGTTGATAAACGTATATATAAATTGTTTAAGTGCTTGTTTATGCAAGAACCAAATAAATACTTCCTCCATTTTTTTATAAGATGTTTTAGAAGTTTTTTTTATTCAAGATTAGATGATGTTTTCAGAAATCAATACAAAAAATAATTATTTTAATTGTTTAAATTTTACATTTTATTTTTTTATTGGTTGAATTGTTTTGAAATTGATGTTTAATTTTGGAAAAAAAGAAAATTAATGAACTTCTTAATCTATGTGCAAAATCTTAAACATCATATATAAAAAACGGAGGAAGTAGTAATTAAGAACCAAACAATAGTTTATTCGTTAATTATAAGTGGGATATCACGCTCTAAAAAAACTCTATTTTTTCATATAATATGCATGTTTTAGAGCAGAGCAGATCGAGTCTCTCGTTTTAGATCAAGTAAGAATATTTTATCTCTTTATAAATTTTAATCATTCTGTACATATGTGTATATAATATTGAAAAAAAGAGAATCTCAAATTGGTCACAAGAAGTAAGGGTTTAATCCAACGGAATATTTCTAGAAAATATAAACGAGGCTAGTGGATGATGATGCATGCATGCATTGTCATATATGATATACCCTCAGTTATCCTTATATATAAACCCACAAGTCAGACACAATTGTTTCATATCAATATATGATAGAGAGAAGATTAAAACTAAGGGATCGTGGCTAATAAACTTAGCGAATATCGATGAAGATACTAATGAATTGAGGTAAGTGAATAACAATAAGGAAGGCGACAGAAGAGAGTGAGCACACATGGCTCCATTTTTCTAGCATGCTCATGCTCGAAAGCTCTGCGTGCTCACCCCCTTCTTGTCTCCCTCTTTCTCTCTCTATCTCTCTCTCTCTCTATATATATATGTATCTCAGTATTTGTATATCAAATTATATATGCATCATGCATGGCATCATGGGTTATGAAAAACTCAAAAACGTCTATATATGGATCGATAGATCAATATCACCAGTGGTTTCTCGATTCATATTTTGTGTTCATAAATGTTTTACGGCTTACATATACGTTAACATCACTTGTTCTCTATGATAGCAGACAAAACAAACAAATTCTGTCATAATTCGCCAAATATTCATTGTAAATGGCCCAAATAGCTATCAAAAAGCTCTTTTGCGTGGAGTCATAACAAAGAGTAATTTTGAAAATTTATTTATAAACACTAAATCAATATAAAATAAGGCTGCTTAGAGTTTAATTTTTACAAATGATGAGTTCTTGACTTCTTCAATGATTTACACATACAACTGACCTAGAATATGTTAAATTTATTATTATTTTTTTTTTGTCGACAGAATATGTTAAATTTATTTAGCATCTAATTTATTATTTCGAATAAGTTTTTTCTCTGGTTAATGGTTAATTGTATTGCAGAAATTTTTAAAAAATTACAGAGGAGAGTTTGGCCTTTTTGGTCGAGTTACAAAAACGAGAAATTGATGATAATTGTTAAAGGACAGACAAAGAGAGGGACATGTAGGTAAAAGTGGAATCAAATGATCAGTTATGTCATATTTGGCTTCTCCTTCTCGAATATGTAAAATCGATCTAATCTGTTGTAAATGGCTGGTCTATATTATTGGACTAATCGTCTATATCAGGCTTAACTAATAAAGTCAGAGAGTCGACAATGATTAATTAGTTTAAATATGTCGTTCTCCAAAACGACCAGTTAATTAATCATTATTCTATCACTAATTATTCGGGTATATCCTCATTTGTGCTCAGCAGAAATTCACAAAAAGGAAATAAAAAAAATAATTGTTGGACCTTTTTGGTTAATTTTTGCTTTTGGATAAAAATTCGAAAACATTTTTACTCAGCCAAATCAAAAACCGGATTGCTCATAAATTTGCATATATGTTACATGTTTAGACGATCAGATCCCAAATAACTATGACCACTACGATGTTTGTATTAAAACTGATAATGGTCACGTATAACAACTTTCTCCAAATTGTGTGATGTGGTTACCATACGTGATCACTATAACCACATCACCAAAATTTAAGATGATAAGGTAATTAGAAACACTATGATGCATGTTTGTATTCAAACTGTTAATGTATATTAGTAGGTGACTAGCTGTATCTGATTAAAATACTGAAATGTTTACATTTTGTTAGAGTATCTCCATCGATAAAAAATGTAAAAAAAGTATCTAAAATAAAGAATATTAATATTTTAATAAAATCTGAAAAAAGAGAAGTTTTAAATTTTTTAAACCTCTTATATAAACATTTGTCACCAAAGTCTCTTAAAAATCTTTACAAACGTATTCAAAGCTCATTGAATAAGCAACATTTGTTACTCTCTCTCTATATTTTTTCCTTTTTAATACTCCCTCCGTTTTAAAATAAATGTCGTTTTAGAGTTTTATTTTTGTTTCACAAAGAGTGTCGTTTTGTATTTCTAATGCAAATTTTTAAACAAAAATCTTGTTTTAACCTTGTTATATTAATGTATTAACTAGAAAGAGAATGTTATTTTGTGTGTGAACAAAGGGTAAAACGGAACTTTTAATATTTTTTTAATTTATGTGAAAAATGTTAAAATGACATTTATTTTGAAACAGAGGGAGTAATTGTTTATTGTTTAGATACTTTGTTAAAAAACCAATGGAGGTGGTCTTCGCCCCAAAAAACATTGAATAATATTGTCAGATAAAATGGTTATCTAATCTATTGATTGTCACTAAAACCTACACTGTCTTATAAAAAAATCAGATCAAATATAAAACTGTGTGAGTTATACTTATATATGACATGGGAAATAAAAATCTCTCAACCTAATTAACCCTAAAAATAATATATAGATAGAAGAAGACTTCGGATAATAAAGGTGCACGCTAACAATAAATAACTATAATTGGCCGTCCAGAAGTTTTCGAATTTGAAAAGTATATAATTAGATGAATAATTAAACCTTTGAAGGCCATCTCCATGACTCCATCCCATCGATTACTTCCTCTGTTTGTCTTAATATTTCTAAAATTTATTTTACAATAATTTATCTATATTCAGGACTGCAAGATCCGAATCGATGATTACCAGAAAATCCCAACATAGACCAAACTCTCTTTTTGTTTGTTCCTAAAGTCAATAGGCAAATTAAACAATATCCAACCTACGAGTCTACTTCAATATCTTTTTATATATATATATATATGTTTTTATTTATTAATACATTTCGTAAGTTTTCCACCCATATATATATATATATATGGAGATATCAATACAACATAGCCGTGATCAGAGATACCCATCTCTACATTTCCCGAACCGAATTTTAAGAAACAAAATCGTATCAGTCACCAACAAAAATCATATATATTTGGGGTTACTTGAGCCATACGTAAGTAAATTGATTTAGATGGTGGTAA